TTTCATGACAAATTTCATGACAAAAAAAGAAATATCAAATTTTATAATCGTCAATTAATTATGAAAATTCTAAAATTGTGCCTTTTTAAAATCAAATATATATTATTTAAATTATTGTGAAAATGATTTACTAAAGTGTTTTGCTTCTTCAGTTTTAATTCTAAGAACCATTAAATCATTTAATCTTTCAGCACCAATTAATGTCCTCAAGAAATTGTTTATCAATTTTGGTGAAGAAAGAAACGTTCACTTGATGCAGTTGTCACTGGTAATGTTAACATTATAGACAATATTTTTGTGATTTCAGGAAATGCAAACGGTAGCTTTAAAACAATATTAAATATTAATTTTAATTTTAATTGGGACATGTCTTCTAGTTCAAATGTTGCCTTAATTAAAGAAAATTCTGATGGCAGGCTTAAGAGGACGTTTTACCCACATCTACTGTCTCAGTCCAACTACCGGTTGATATGCAAATGAAATGCATATGCACAATAAGTAAAACTAGCTTAATTTCAATTTTAGAGTAAAAGTACTCATTATAAAAATTATAGAGAACAATATAATGGAGGAAATGTTGTAGGGTTTTTGTATTATTCAAAATGTACGGCTCGATATAAAAATTACAAAAAATTTTTTTTTTAATTTTTAAATAACTGTAACTTTTTTAATAGTTTATAATTACAAAAAAAAACTTATGAAATTCTTTCTGAAATATTGTTCTCTATGAATTTCATAATAGGCTNATTGTTTTTGCATATTACCCAGCAGTTGAACTGAGACAATAGATGCGGGTATAATGTACTCTTAAAGAATTAATTGGAGAACTTTTATATTGGTCTAAGAATTCATTAATAGCAGTACATTCTGCCTGAAAAAAGTAACCATTTGTATAACCAAATACATTAAATATGTCAAAAATTTGTTCACTTTTTGAAAAACGTCCGTCTAACCGTGCTACAATCCTAAAAAATAACACATACTTTTATGAATTAATTAAATGAAATTAGTAATTAGTTATGTAATAAATACCTATCAACCACTTGATACAACAGTTCAACTTTTATATTTGAAATATATTTTTCTTTATTCCTATCTTTTCCCAAAGTTGTACAAAATAATCATTGAAATATTTATTGAAAGTCTGATTTATTTTCTGATTTTTACTATGATATTGAATTTGTATTCCATTACATATTGCTATATAAGTTGCTTTTTGATGAAATTTCAATCACCAATTTTCACGGCGCAACTTTAAGATATTATTCGTTGATTCCAAATTTTGGATTTGCCAGATACCGTAAAATGTTACATTACCGATACGTTTTGTTAATCTTATTTTTTGGGAGGTGAAACCATTACCCGGATTTGATTTTTAAATGACAACCTACATTAAAAATGTCTTAAATAGATGTCAGGTCAGTTGAAATAATTGTTTGAGTGGAAATTTTAAATGAGTTAGAAATATATATCTCCCTGGTCCGGTGGTCTCAAGGCTGTATCAGTGGNTTGCCTGATACCGTAAAATGTTACAATACCGATACGTTTTGTTAATCTTATTTTTTAGGGGGGTGAAACCATTACCCGGATTGGATTTTTAAATGACAACCTACATTAAAAATGTCTTAAATAGATGTCAAGTTGATTGAAATAATTGTTTGAGTGGAAATTTTAAACGAGTCAGAAAGATATATCTCCCTGGTCCGGTTGTCTCAAGGGTGTATCTGAGGAGAGGGAGTGTTTCAAGGTTCTAACACCAACCCCCCCCCCCTCCTGAAAAATATTTAGTAATACATTATATGTTGCGGAAAAATAATTATTTTAGACAATAAAATTAGAACACTACAAATGTTCGGTATACGATCCTCCTGCCGCCCGGAAATTATTTTCGAGTTACGGCTACGGGAGGGCTGCTTGAGTCGGTGGTAATGCGAAATGCGCGTGTATTATCGATCGATCTATGGTGATAATTGCATAATTTATAAGTAGCACAATATTAAAATAAGGAAAGCGCGGTTCACTACGGTACGACACGGTTTGTTGTATCACCGTGGTATTTAAAACAGCTGAAAAATAAACAATATCCGTTCGAGTCGTTCTTGTGTGTATTGTGACTATTGGTCATTGTGCGTTTAGATCCCGGTGTGTGCAGACGTCGACATACTTTCGAAAAATTTATTCTAAATATACGAATTTCCGTACCTTCTAATTAGTTGCAAATAGAGTTAAATTAGACGAGACCGCGCACGCCATGAAAACCCGTAATGGAAAAACATTGAACACCGAGAATGCGGACTCGGGGAGCTCTCTGTCGCCGCGAGCGGAACGGCCCGACGTCGGTGAACCATACCAACAACAGACGTCGTCCATGAACGTTAACAGACGCTCGACAAAACGACAAAACAGACCTAAAAGAGTCTCTCAAAGGCGCATACAACGTGCTCGATCGGAAAAAGTAATAACGGCCCGGAATGTCGGGTTTATTAACTCCGAAGCGCTGTACGCGATCACGACTACCACTCCGTCCACGGACCGCGAAACTGTAGAACTATTGCTGACGGTAACTAAAAAGAAGCTAATGAACGTCATACGCAGGAAAGGCCCCGTTTCCGAGATCGCGTTGTATTTCTCTAAGCGGATGATAGCAAAATTAAAAAACCGTCGTAATCGCGTTCAATAAGATTTTCGGTTATTTTGAATATTTGATTTTGTACAATTTTAATTTTTTTTTTTTTTTTTTTATTGTTAGTAAATGACCTTAAGTCAGGGCGTTCTGTTTAAGTCGGTGCATTCATTATCTCGGAAAGTATTAACTTTTTTCGGAATTTGTTTTGTAGAACATTTAAGGAACAAGCGGTTTTACAATTTTACTTTTATGTTATTTTTCGTCACCTTTATTCTTGAGGATAAAGCCACTATTTACTTTTAATTTTCAGATAGTGGCCTAAATAAAAATATTTGGATCAATAATATAGGTGCTATTTGAAAATCTATAGTAGGTAATGGTTTTATCCCCAAAAATAGAGGTGTCAAAACATAACATGGATTTCAAATTGGCGAGCTGTTTGTTTCTTAAGTGGTCTATCAAACGAATTCCGAAGATAGTCAATACTTTCCGAAATAGTGAGTGTGCCCGTTTAGATGGGACACTCTGTACTTATATTTTCTCTTGTTTTCCGGAAAACCAATTTTTCTTTATTGTTAACAATTGTATACTAAATTTTTTGTTTATACGTTCAAATAAAATGATATTATACATTTATATATGACTTCCTGAACGCGATATATTTTAGTCTAACGATCGCATTATGTCATTTATGTCGATTATATGGACACGAGATTTGTACATAAATTTAGTAGTGAGCATAATATTTTAAAACAAAAACAAAAAACCAAACATAAAAGAGAAAGGCTAAGAAAATAGATATAACTATACAATCTTATGTTAAGAAAATTGTACTATTTTTTTTTATGGTTGACTTTTTTTTTGGCTTATTTAAACACATTCTGTTGATGTTGACTGCCATGGATGATATCGTTATGATGCGCGGCTTGAATATTATCACAGAGGAAAGGTAAATGCTGCAATCGTGTTTCATACAAAATCAAACAAATTTCTAGTATCGTCAAAAGCACCGCAATGATATTTATCCGGTTGGCGGGCGCTCGTAAATTTTTCCGGCCAACGTAACCACGGAGCAACAGTTGATTTGTTTACGTGTTCNACGACACGGTTTGTTGTATCACCGTGGTATTTAAAACAGCTGAAAAATAAACAATATCTATTCGAGTCGTTCTTGTGTGTATTGACTATTAGTCATTGTGCGTTTAGATCCCGGTGTGTGCAGACGTCTTCATACTTTCGAAAAATTTATTGTAAGTATACGAATTTCCGTACCATCTAACGAGACCGCGAACATCATGGACACCACTAATGAAAATCAGACGTCGTCCAAGAACGTTAGCAGACGCTCGATAAAACGACGAAATAGACCAAAGAAATTATCTCAAACGCGAATACAACGTCCTCGTTCGGAAAAAGTAGTAACGGCCAGGATTGTCGGGTATAGTAACTTCGAAGCGATGTACGCGATCCACTATACTCCGTTCATGAACATCAAAACTATAGAACTATTGATGACGGTAATGAGACAGAAACTAAAGAACGTCATACGCAGAGAAGGCCGCATTTCCGAAATCACCGTGTACTTCTCTGAACGGATGATAGCCAAACTAAAAAACCGTCATAATCGGCTTCATTAAGATTTTCTGTTATTTTTAATATTTGAATTTGTACAATTTTAATTTTTTTTTTTTCATTGTTAGTAAATTACCTAAAATCATTAAGTCAGGGTGTTCTGTTTAAGTCGGTGCATTCATTATCTCGGAAAGTATCAACTTTTTTCGGAATTTGTTTTGTAGATCATTTAAGGAACAAGCGGTTTTACAATTTTACTTTTATGTTATTTTTCGTCACCTTTATTCTTGAGGGTAAAGCCACTATTTACTTTTAATTTTCGGATAGTGGCCTATATAAAAATATTTGGATCAATAATATAGGTGCTATTTGNTTATCTCGGAAAGTATTAACTTTTTTCGGAATTTGTTTTGTAGAACATTTAAGGAACAAGCGGTTTTACAATTTTACTTTTATGTTATTTTTCGTCACCTTTATTCTTGAGGATAAAGCCACTATTTACTTTTAATTTTCAGATAGTGGCCTAAATAAAAAAAAAAGGATCAATAATATAGGTGCTATTTGAAAATCTATAGTAGGTAATGGTTTTATCCCCATAAATAGAGGTGTCAAAACATAACATGGATTTCAAATTGGCGAGCTGTTTGTTTCTTAAGTGGTCTATCAAACGNCTTTCCGAAATAGTGAGTGTGCCCGTTTAGATGGGACACTCTGTACTTATATTTTCTCTTGTTTTCCGGAAAACCAATTTTTTTTTATTGTTAACAATTGTATACTAATTTTTTTGATTATACGTTCAAATAAAATGATATTATATATTTATATGTGACTTCTTAAACGCCATGTATTTTAGTATAACGATCGCATTATGTCATTTATGTCGATTATTGTCTCGTTATTTATACATATTTTAATCAGTATCATTATATAAATACTTATTAAAACATCTAANTACTAAATTTTTTGTTTATACGTTCAAATAAAATGATATTATACATTTATATATGACTTCCTGAACGCGATATATTTTAGTCTAACGATCGCATTATGTCATTTATGTCGATTATATGGACACGAGATTTGTACATAAATTTAGTAGTGAGCATAATATTAAATAGCATAATATTTTAAAACAAAAACAAAAAACCAAACATAAAAGAGAAAGGCTAAGAAAATAGATATAACTATACAATCTTATGTTAAGAAAATTGTACTATTTTTTTTTATGGTTGACTTTTTTTTTGGCTTATTTAAACACATTCTGTTGATGTTGACTGCCATGGATGATATCGTTATGATGCGCGGCTTGAATATTATCACAGAGGAAAGGTAAATGCTGCAATCGTGTTTCATACAAAATCAAACAAATTTCTAGTATCGTCAAAAGCACCGCAATGATATTTACCCGGTTGGCGGGCGCTCGTAAATTTTNATTCGATCGAACGAGAAAAATAAAAGAAACAAATAATAATTGCAGGTCCACATACCGTCTTTATTGAGTGACGTTACTTTTAATCTGGTGTCCCAAAAGCCGCCGGACGAATCCGTCCACATCCATCTGGTCAACGTGAACGAATCGACGACGGTGTTGTTGAAAAACGACATGGCACTGCTGCCCGGATCGACTCTTTTGAGCGTCCACGGTGGCGTCTAAACGGGGAAAAAAAAAAAAAAACAATCATTTCTGAACGGTTTTTTAATACGACTCGGGTATTTCCGGTGGCCGTGCCGCCAAATGCCGGAGGGTTCTGCAAAAACCTAACCAACGGTAAATGTGTACAAGCGATATTGCATAGAAAATCGTTACGAACNTTTTCAATACCCTTAAGATTGAACTCGACACGACACTGCTGCCCGGATCGACTCTATTGAGCGTCCACGGTGGCGTCGAAACGGGAAAAAAAGAAAAAAAGAATCATTTCCGAACGGTTTTTTAATACGGCTCGGGTACTTCCGGTGGCCGTGCCGCCCCAAAGGCCGGAGGGTTCTGCGGTTTTTACGGTAAATGTGTACAAGCGATATTGCATAGAAAACCGTTACGAACTTGGCAATCGAATACGGCGTTGAACAAAACGACCACCGTCGGGATCGACGAAAACCTGACCGTCATCGCGATGGGCTGTAATACTTCTGAAATGATATTGTAATTATTCAGCGTCGCCTCATTCGTATCCGAGCTGCAGCGATGCGGTGTGTGTCGCGACAACGTTATTATAACGCCGCGTAATTAGTTCGCGGGGGAGAAAATTCGGACCTAAAAATCGTCATTTATAATATATTTGTAACACGCGCTATAATAATCATATTGTACAGATTTTATTTGCCATAGTCTATGCGTTCCGACCCGTAAACGAGTAGATGCCTCGACTCGATAGCGGGTAACGAACACACGCCGACGTTATCGTTACCGGAAAATATTCCATTGAAATCACTACAGTACAATTGGTTTAAAATTTCGTATGTGCCCACGTACACGGGACAAGTCATCAAGAATAAAGGTTTGATGCTTTTTAATTGCCAGATGATTAAAAATTATAGACCCAATAAAGATTTAGTGATTTATGTTATAAACATACTTACTCCATTAGTAATAAAACCAACAAGATAATCTGCTTTAGGCGTACAGACTAAAGCAAGTACACCTTACGTTTCTATCCCTAAAAATAATCGTAGTTGAACATTGATTTGTGTGTTAATTTGTTTATTATAGTTTAGGTATTTATAGCTTTGGATTTCTTTTCTACCGGTTCTTATCAATATATCATTGGCAATAGTCATCTGTCGATTTCCATCTTAAACCTGGTAGATAATCAAGATAGATACATAAAAAAGTGGGTTAGATATAAAGGAAATAATAATTTATTATTTTGTAAAATTCATGATCTCTATAATAATTATATGCATTTTATAAAGAATAATACTAATAAAGTGATAACATTAAGTAAACATTTGATAAACTATCAAATTAAACTATCATCTATCTATCACTCTATGATAAACTATCATTGTTTGATATATTATTGACAAAGCATCACTATCAACTAAACGCCGCTCAGAATCCTTTTCTTTGTTAGCGATGGTTAATTGTTGTTTACAGATATACATTAAATTCCCTTCTGTATCCTACCTTCCCAATTTCCCTCCCACTAATTAAATATTTATATAATTTTAAAAAATCTGTATTATCTATTTACAATTAAAATGTATAATATTTTTAGAACTTTCAAATTTAACTTCAAAAATATTATTCAAACTTGGGTTACACCGCCATATAGTTAAGTAATTAACAAAATGTATGATTTGTTTTAATATGTATATACACCAAATGTATATAGAATAACAAAAATTATAGACTGATAGAGAAAAAAAAACTAAATTTAAGATTATTATAAAGTAACTGATTTTTGATTATGTACATAGATAGCGCTGGATACACGGATTGTAAGGTTGTACCGTTTGAAAACATTTTAGGTCCACTAATTTGATTTTTGTTTCCAGTCTTGTATATCTTAGTTCGTGCTATATACGAGATTATTTTATCAAGAAAAATAAATAGTAGAGTTATTATATTATTGGATTATTTTTATTTTTATATTGTTATTCACGTATAAGCCTTAAAAAACGAAAAATGTCAAAACATTTTTTACTTGATGGATTCTTAAATTAACTGAGAAAAGCTAAGTTATTTCAATTCTCATTTAAACTAATTAAGTTTATAAGTTGGATAGAAAATTAACTGAATAGTTAATGCCCACTTTTGGTTTTATGAATATTTGACATTTTAGTTGAGCAATTTATTTTTACTTACAGTGATGTAGTCGTACATTTTTAAGTGAGTTTACGCTTAAATGTACTTGATAAGCAATTTTTAGATAAATGTACTTAAGACTTATTTAAATAAATACTGGATACTCATAGTTTATAAAAGTCAAAATTAAACAGTTTAATAATAATTATTCGATTTATTTTAGAAAAATATGAAAATAATGTTCGATGTTTATTTTTTTCTGGTTCCATATTTGACATTATGTTACAGAAAATAAATTAGTTTTTAGCTTAAAATTACAAACGGTTACAATTGTTAATAAAATTAAAATATTTCATTTAAAATTATTTAAAATTTAAATTTTTTACTATTTTGAATATTCAAAGAGATAAATGGAAATTATCCAAAACATAGAACTATAAAAAGACGTACTAGGATAATGAAGCCGGGTACTGTCACTGTTATAAGTAATTTAATGTATATCTGTAAGCAACGATAAACCATTGCTAACGAAAAAACGATTCTGAGCGGAGTTCAGTTGACAATGATATAGCCGTATTATAAATTTATTTGAACATTTTTATTTCATATCCGATATTTGTAATAAAATGCCGAAAGATAAACAGCCGTTAAGTAGTCGGTTAAAGTGTTTTGTGTCCGAGTTTGGAATATTAAGAAAAATGTATTTTGGTTATTTGGGTATGGTACGAAATATATTTAAATTATATAATTGTTTTGACTTGTTTCAAAAGCTATTTATTTTATAAATACTTTAAAAAAAAAATTTTCGGTGCATATTTTAAGTGCATATTATGTGATTTTTAAGTGCATATGTGCTTGCATATTTATTGCTTTTTAAGAGCTACAAGTCCTCTGCCCTAGCAAGTAGTATTGAATAGTATATGAAACAATATAAAAATATACGATAGAAAATTGATTTAGAAACCGGGAATTTAGTTCGTTCTAAATTGAGTTTTCCTATAACTTGTCCTCAACCCGTATCTATGGTTTTATTTTACGCGAGGTACAAAATATTTCGTTTTTCTCGAATCATCGGCCAAAGAAAACGCAATCGACGGTTGTGGATCAACGATGAGAGACACGCCATATACAGGTTGTATACAAGCAATGGCGTAGTCAGGATTTATTATTGGGGAGGGTTCAGAAGAGGTCTAGGGGGTTTAGATAGTCTAAAACATTCTGAAACTTACTTATAGCTAAAAAAAAAAAGCAGTAGTAGGGGTTACAACGCTCCCTTTACTGGCTAGGTTCAGATCCTTGTAAATTTAACGTTACGTTTTGACAGTAGCAACACTTCATATTATATTATTATGACATTATATACTGCCATTCCCAAAACGATTGTAATATTATATTTATCCGTGAAACGATATAATTCGGAAGATTCGGTATATTACACCGTTTCACTAAGAGAACGGTATCGCCCACAGTACAATAATAGTAGTTTTACGTCATCGTCATTCGTACATGGCGAGCGCGCGATGAATAATTATTTAAGAAACCGGCGAAGTTTAAACGGCAACTCCAGATAATGTAATATATACAGAGAGCGAGCCTCGGTATAATGAGAATAATGTTCATTCGTATGAAAACTTCTATTATTGATAACGAATTTGCTTAAATCGAGTGGCAAAACTGCCGAAAAAATGTTATTTACAAATAATGTTATTATTCTATGTATCATATTATACACGGTCGATATAATATCGGAAATGTCAATATAATTTTCATATTAGTATGATATTACTGTAAACTGTACTTAAATAATACACCGAACACTACGTCATTATCAGAGTCCAACTTGGGAATTTTGGGGCCCGCTGCTAGTTTTTTTGGTGGGGCCCCTTATGTTATAATTTCATTTTTTTTTTCGCTAACTCGGGTTTTTACATTAAAATTATTTTCGAAGATTACAAATAAATTACACCATAAGTCTATAAGTATGATGTTGATTGATGAAAGTAAAACGTATATGATTTTATTACGACAATTTATAATAAATCAATTATATCAATTTATTTATCATTCATAAAAATTAAAAATATAAATATAAGTAAATAAATGAACAGGTTTTTTAATTTAAACGAATGGTTTTTTCCGGGCCTTTATATCACTAAACTTCTCAATTAAATCTGAAAAATCAAGTTTGTTTGTTATATCCCTCTACGTAGACATGCGAACAATTGGATTTAATTTTTCTCGGCGAAAAGAAGTTCTTCTGACGTTTTCAATTAATTCTAATTTTGAATTTGTTCTGCCGTTGTCGTAAGGAAACGTATCTATACATGTACAATCCTATAACAAAATATTTTGAGGGGAATACGATGGTAATTTTGTTTGCATTATAAAATTTTAAAATTCACCATACCTTGCTTTTTGTTTATCAACATCATCTTTAATAATATATTGATAAAAATATCAGTAGAATTTTCAGATAATAATTCTTTACTAAAAAATATTACAGACATTATCGTATGCGCTCATTCTCTTATCCAGTTCAGTTATGAATTATATTAATATTAATGGTTTTACAAAAATGTTTTTTTTTTTTATCTGTGTGCAACTTTTTTGCCAGAAATCTTGCACTGATTTTTAAGTATAGCAATTTTTCTAAAAAGAAATTGGACTGGGGAGATACTTTGAAGAATTTAATTTACATTAAATTACCTATACCAATAGCTGCACCCGTCCCCACTATACTAGGACAGGTTTTTAAAATTATGCTTATTGTTTAGTTATTTTATTATTGGGTTTATGGTGTATATTTTATTATTAGCTGTCCCGCCTGTTAATGCCCGGGCCAATTTTTTATTATTTGTTTTATCCATATTACTTTTTGGTATTGACTGTGTCAGTATTGAATGAAAATAAATAGGTGGAAAGTGGGTACCTTCGCCGGACCAAAAGTGTTCTGTTGTGATATTTTTTCATGATTTTCATATCAAAAATATTAAAATACTGAATTTTAGGGGGAAGGAGATTTCAAAGAAAATGAAGTCTAACTTAACCTATCGGCGAGTAGGAACGCTCGGCAGTGGGAGAGCGCGTGTACTGTATTATGTAGTGGTTAATCATCATTTTTGATTTTAATACCTTCCCTATACCGGATAGTTGAGTTCAATCCTAGTCGGACCGTATGTTTACCACGGTGGCATTGTAGCATCAGTTTGTGTAGGTTTTCTGTCCTGTAAATTCTAAAATCAAATTTATTGTTTATTATTGAAATTGTAAGATCTAAGAAATTTAATTCATTATATATTTGTATTTCGAGTGTAAATTGAATTATATATTTATTTGCGAGTATTAACGATTTTAATAGTTTTGTTTTAATTTTATTATTTTACTATACTATGGCGTATATATTGTTGATGAAGCAACACTATCAACTGAGGGACGCTCAGAATCGTTTTTTCGTTATCAATGGTTTACCGTTGCTTAAAGATACCTACTCATTAAATTTCACCTCTGCTACCTTTCAACTTTTCATTTACAACAGTGGCTGCACCCACGTGCGAAATATGTCTGTATTTTTTGATTAAATTTTTGATTTTTTTTTGCTAATATTACGTACTCAAACGATTAATTTTATATTGTAAATTTTTTCCACGGAACGACAACAATTAAGACGTCTTCTGGGTGAAATTTAACTATTAGGCATAGTGCGCTTAATAATAATTGCACGATTAGCGTAATTATAATCGCTTTTGCTTTTGACGCATGAATATTGTACTCCTATTATGAATGTCAGAAGAAGAATATTATAATTGTTCGCAGTTATATAACATAGTGGCGTTCGATCGTCGACGTCGAATTTTCAGTATCAAATTATATAATATACCTATAGGTACATTATCAATTTTTTTTTTCTGTTTACCAAAAACACTTACTGCAATGTTATTATACTTGCGCGCAACACGCATTTGACGTAATTTTACAACAGTTGTAGTACATCATAGCTCAACATATTAATAAAATACAAATAATTACAACGATTTTTAACGGGTTATGAACTCTGATCAAATTATAAATTAATTACAAATTAATTATAATATTATTATCATCTCTTTGTCTGCTATAGTAGTCGCGGCGTAGCCGCAGCTTAGCCGTATTACTGTATCTACGTGATTTTATTACTTGACAACCGATCGAGTTTAAGTGTTAAGTATTTTTATTTTCAATTTTTTATTACTAATATTATCATATACATAAGTTTTATCGATTTTATTAATGTTCGTTTTATTTCAATAAGTGTCGACTCGAATAGGTAACTCACTAAAAATACCTATAATATACCTTAAAAGTTAACGGTTTAATTTTTTTTTGAGATGCTAACTTAATGGTATAAAAATGCATGAGTATCTATAGATTTTAGATTTTAGATCCGAGCAAGGAATGTATATTGATATTGCAATAATGTTTATTATTATATTTTTTTTCTAATAAACATCTTTTCTACCAGAAATTTGGCTCCGATTTTCAAGTGTAGCACTTTTTCTAAAAGGCAATTTTATCAGGGTAGTACTTTAATGAGTTTGTGTTTTTTAATTTCCAAGCTGTTTTCATGACAAATGGGAAAAACCGGTAAAAACGGGAAAACTTACGAAAATATAAAAAGTTATATTATTTTAAATTTTGTTTTTTTTTTTTTTTGTTATTATTCAGGAGATGCAATTGCCTCACCTCCGATCAAATCAGAGTAGGACAAACGTATAATTTCGCATCCCCCTTATACAAATATATTGAATAGACAGATTTTTTGAAAAAAATTACGGACAGGTGCAGTTTAGCTCCCTTAGCTCATACGCCTATGTTTAAATACCTTCCCGAGTTGCCGCCTGCAGTACCGGCTCTTTTGGTCTTGTCTTCTAATATTCAGAAGAACGCAGCGAGAAATATAACAATATATTGGTTGGGGTTTTTCTTCTCTCCGTTTACATCTTTTCTGTCCCGTAATCTCGGTCTGATTCAAGTGTACCGTCTTTTCCGAAAGAAAACTGTCGGTTTAGATGGGGAGGTGATTTTTTTTTGTCGTTTTTACCGCGACTTTGTTCTTCGTGGTCGGGAAAAATCGAAAAAAACGGGAACGCGTTTTCGTTCTCGTCATTTGTTATTGTACGATATCTCTATGATGATGATATTATAGCCGCACGACCGGACGGTTTCAACGTTCACGCCGCCGCGTTACCGGTGCCGCCACCGTCACAGCCTGCCGATCGCGCCGTTATTCGAAGGGATCGCGCGCGCGCCTGCGAATTGGCAATATCCTGACGCGCACACCGACGCACGCCGACACGCACACACACACGCGCGCACGCACATACATGACGCGTAAACAAACACACACACACACACATACACATACACAAGTGCGGGCGCGCGCGCACGGCCGTCGCGGGAGGACCGGAGACCGCGGAGTCGCGTTGCTCAGTAACCGAATCGTTGAGCGGCAGACGAGACGACGCCTATAAAATCTGGCCGTCCTATTCCCGGCCGAGTCCGCCGCCGCCGCCACCGCCGCCGCCACCGCCGTCACAAAACATTACCCGGTGCACCCGCGATTATTATCATAATTGTATTGGATATTTGACGCCGAACGATAAAATAACAATAGTAACAATAATAACAATAATAATATTTACCGTCCGCGCACCTGTGCCCGCAGCAGTTTATTGTCGCGGTTATTTCGGCGATATTGCCCCGCAGCCACAGTTGCAGGGCGCACGCGACCGCGTGTCACGCATTGTTATGTCGTGTGCCGAGACGGACCACGAGACGTCGTGACTTTGTGTTTCCGGTAAGTGGTAACGTCAAACGATCAGTTATTATAGTGTACTATACGTAGCGGTTTCAGTTATTCGCCCTTATTACGACCGCGTTCGATCGATAAAAACTCCTAGAATTTTCCGTATAAAAATTACGCGGCTCGACGTGCACGGCGCGCGTTCCGGTGGATTTTACGGTCAGGCGGAAAAGGGCGGGCGACGTCGAGAATTTCATCGAAAATTTCCGATTTCCGGCCTGGCGGAACGCTATTATATGCCGCCTTTCCCCGTCGCTGTCGACGCCGATTTTTCACGACCCGAACCGAATTATTATTAAAAACTATTACATCAATTTACAAGAAAAAAAAATATATTAATACGTCCGACAATTCAATAATAATTTTCATAACACAGCGATATTTAAAAGCAGTCGTCGTCTCTTCCGGTTGTCGGGTGACCGCGGACACCTCGGGCACTCCCACAACCACCCCTCCCCCTCCCAACCTCCCAAAATATATTGTTACCCGGTGGTGTCCAAAAATATTTGAATACGTGGGTCGGTACAATTTTTTTCAGCCCATCTATCCCTGAAACACCGACACCGAAACGGAATTTTCGACATTCACTATACGTTTCTGTTGTACTTATACGTGTATACACGTCAACCGCCTACCCGCCCACCTATTCAATTTTTGTCCTGGAAGATCTCAGCCGTGTCGCCGTTACCGAAACGATAGCAAAAGATTGATTTTCGCACGCGTTACATAATTAAGTCGAAAATAACAACAATAATTATTTTCGGGACAAATCGAAATTTTCAATGTAACTAGCGGCGTGTGAATATTATTATCATTGGGCGCAGTCAGTGGCGCTCCCGCGAATTTCCAACCGGAGTGGTCGCAGTAAATATAATAATCACCGATTCGCGAACGTATCGTAGACTCGCTGTGTGTGTGTGTCACGCTTAACACCCGCCGACGGCGCGAATTCAAAAGCCGGATCGAAAAAAGTCAATTTTTTCGTTCGTCAGATCGCGATATTCCCCCGCGGCCGGAATGTATACGATTTCGGGATGAAACAAAAAACGAATGCGTACCGTTCATATAGTTGTTGCGTTTTTAATCCGATTCGGAGGGGGGCGGGGAGGGGGGCGATATAACCCTTCGTCCCTCCGGGCGAGCCGCCGGACGCAGCGAACGGAATTCGATATTCGGACATTTCGATGATATTAGACCGGGTCGTCGTGCGGCGTCTTTAATGACGTTTTAATGGGTGTGAAAATCTACGAAACGCTATTACATATTTACTGGAAACCGTAACAAATATTTTAAACGTGCCAATTAATATATGCGATCGGACTGGGGTTACCAACCGGGCATTATAACGTGTACAGTTTCGCACGCGCGTCAATATTGCGACTTGTGTTTGAAAACGAATGCGCGGCCGACAACAATCGTACGAATAAATTTAAATTTTTAATCGGAGAAAAAACACTTTTGTCCATTACGGTTTAAGTCCGCGTAAAACGCGCTCTTTTCTTTTCTTATTTTTTCCTGCGGAAACGTCGGATAATTTGTTATTATATCATCGATCGAACACGCGCGCGATACTGTTTTTTACCTTCCCGGAACCCGAATCGAAAAATTGTAATTTTTTTTTTTTAGAATTACGTTACGACGCGCCCGGTCCGTTTATAAATATCATTATTATAAAATAATAACGTTATTGTTTCGTTTCAGATGAAAAACCGTCAATAAATCGTTTAGTATACTCATACTCTATATAGTATAACAATACAATAGATAACAGTCGATAAAAAAAAAAAGAAAACCATGGGCGCGAAACGCAAGGACGTGTCGGATGTGTCTCCGGTGGCCGCAGATGAAGTCATCAAACTCAAACCGAAAATGAGCCTTTTGAACGGCATCACGGTGATCGTGGGCAGCATAATCGGTTCCGGAATATTTATTTCGCCGACCGGAGTACTGGAAAATACCGGATCGGTAAACGCTTCGCTTATAGTGTGGGTTTTGTCCGGCGTGTTCTCCATGGTAAGCGTTTCGACATTTTAGATTCTGAGTGGAGCGTAGAAGCTTATAGTTTTACAACTACATTTTATTTTATTTTTTCATATCTGTGAACAACTTTTCTACCGGAAATATTGTTCCGATTTACAAGTGTATCACACTTTTTCTAAAAGGAAATCTGACTGGGGCGGTACTTTAAGGAAGTCATTTTTTGACTTTCTCAAGAGTTTTCCCGGTAGATGGGGAAAACATGAGAAAACCGGGAGAACGGGAAAATAGGTACAATATCAAACAAATATTTTTAATGAAAATATTTAATGCCTATTATATAATTATTTTACCATAATATATTATATTGTTGAAAAAGCAACATTATAAACTGAACTCCACTCACAATCGTTTTTCCGTTAGCAATGGTTAACCGCTGCTTACAGATATATATTAAATTCCCGTCTGTATCCTACTTTCTCAAATTTTCACCTATTTTTATCTTTTTTTTCGACACTGCTGCAGTCAGAGCAGCACTCGTTCACGACCATTATATTAATATCGTTTGAATTTCAAAAACCGTTCGTGAAATCCTAGTCTAAAAGAACGTCTCAAGTCTCCGTATAGTTTTCAATTATATGATATACACTATTTAATACGACTTTTTCTCTATTTTACATGTTTATCATCATATTTTACATACAGGCCAATTTCTGTGACACAAAATTCTGATCACCCTGCGTAAAATACTTTGTACGAGAAGTTAAATCAAAATTATAATTTTAACCACACTAACCAGTAGGTCCGGGTCGAAATCCCGACGTTTAGTACTCTTTTAAGTTTCAACCTTATTTTAAAATCGAATTCATTTGTGTAGACGGCCAGTGATGGCTATCCTCTCAAAAAAAAAAAAAAAATAAAAAATAAATATATATAATGTATTTCTGAGCTCACCCTACCCACAATCAAATAAAACAAATACACAAGTTTTGTTTAATGAAACACTAGGAAATATAAAAAATACCATAAGAAAAATCAACCACATAATTTTATAAATTTATTTAGGTACCTGCAACCAAATCATTATGTTACTAATCCGCCCACCCATTAATTGTTAAATGTGTCCAAAGCAAAACTTAGACCACATAGGATAACCAAAGTTCATGTTTTTTTTGTAAGTGCCTCATTCATTTGGTTTAAATAGACGATTAATTTTAAAACTTAATTTTTCTTCTTGAACTTTTTTTTGATTAGGACCTGTAGTAAATTTGAACTGTCGTGATTTTGATCGGAGTTGGTTATTTGCACCAAAATGAGTATCTACTTGTATGTATTAGATTATCGATTATCGAATATTCGATTGTCAAGTGTTTATTCAATAGACCCACAATAGTATAATAGAAAATTTTAGCTGGCCTATACTACTATTTTTAAAAATACAAAAATTATTGTTTTCTTTAAGATAATATTATCTTCACAATATTTTGTTTCTAGAGAATGAATCTATTAATATACGCTCGTTTTATAAAACATTATTATTACATTATTTGATTAATATTTTCAAACGTTCGTATATTTTTATATTATTTCATTTTCTCACTTAAAACGATAAAACATACATATATTCTATTTCCGGGATTTCAAACTACCCGTCACCCTTACTGGTAATCATTTCAAAGTTTGATGTTCGATTATCCGCCATAATCGCACAATTTATTATTTCGACCAAATACTAATCTAACTTTTAGTCTTTTCGACATTTCATTTATATCACAAAAATACTAAATTATACTTGCCAAAAATAATAGAATTGTTATAATATTATTTAATATATCTGTCATTCATTATTGTTATAAGGTAGTTTTTAATACTGACGTAATCGTGAAACGGTGTAAATTAAATAAATACTTAAAAATCGAAACGGAACATTCTGTATCTTTAGCTACTTATATCTCAATATATTATATTCTATTATCGAAACGTGTGTACATAGATACTATCAAAACAATAATCGATTTGAATTTTGGTACAAATTACAATTCCTATTTCTTACTACCTGAGATGGTGCGAAAATTACAAGTGCAGTTAAAAAATGTTGGTGCAAATTGCACATGTTGTATATATTTAAGATCTATTTCGGTGTAAATTGACTGCACTCATTTCGACTTGTCGGGATATCGAACACTTCTCACTATAATTTGCACCAATTAAATTAAGTATGAGTAAAAAAGCATAAAAAAAAAAAATTGAAACTTGTTTCGTTCAAAAATATTGTTTCAGCCGCTCCAATTGAAATACAATTACTGTTTCTATTATATTTTAATATGTTTCTTTCACCCAAATTCTCCGTCATAGTTTCCGCCGCAGACATTTTCCTATTCTAACTTCGAGCGATCTTCACACTTTTTAGGTGGGCGCCTACTGTTACGCGGAACTGGGATGCATGATAACCAAGTCTGGAGCCGACTACGCGTATATCATGGAGACGTTCGGTCCGTTTTTTGCGTTCATGAGACTGTGGGTCGAGTGTATGATTGTCAGACCTTGTTCCCAAGCTATCGTTGCACTCACCTTTAGCCTGTACGTATTGAAACCAATATACACCGACTGCAATCCACCGGAAGAATCCACTCGACTGCTGGCCGCTTGTTGCATAGGTATATACTAATTATACCTATAAATAGTAATATATCGTTATTGTTAGGATAACGTGTTTTGGAAGGATTAAGATTAAAAGATTAAAACTACATGGAATATCAAGTTGAAGTACCAGCAAACATCACGGGAGCAAGTCCGCAATACTTGCAGGCCGTATGTTTCGGTACCGCTGACTGTAAAGATTGTACCCACGCAAAGATTATATTATTCCCCCACGCGTTAACTTATCTGTAGAAAATGACATGTTTTTAAATTTTCCTATTCGTTTTCTGGGGGGAGGGGTTAAACTCTCAATCCCACCCCTAGTGTACACGCCTAGTAATCAGTAGTATAATACAGTAACGATATACCGATTAACGGATCGCCATGAAAAAATATTCCCACAATTTGAATTTTAAACCATTTACTATAATAAGAAAGGTTAGGTATGTATTTATGATCATACTTATATTTATATAGGGAAGGAAGACAATAATCCTCTATGACGTGACAACTTGAACAATTATTTCGGTCGCGTCGGAATATTCGAGTAAATTAAATTAAGAAATTATTAAATAGTTTTAATTAGATTATTCTGAATATGAATCTAATTTGATAAGGTTTGTACAATTATTGACTTATTGGGCATCTTAATACGATATAATAGCAATAATTATTATATACTTACTCGCATCGGCGATTTTAACGTTTCGAAACTAATTAAACGATATGGATACGAGAAAATATTATTCAATATTGTTATATAAACGACAGAGAACTATGTTTTAGCCGTATAGTTTTATAATATATAAGGTCATTTTTTTTCACGTTTATTTACGCTATATACATTTGCAGGTTTTCATAAATATCATAATTACCATTTGATAATTTCCTTTGATTTGACAAAATAATTACAATTTCTCTACATCTTTATATCTTTCCTTTTTTTTTTTTCTAGAAAACCTTGTATGCTTGTATACTGTATGGGTCCATTGTTTAGTTTTTTGAAATCCACGTTCCCTCTCCGCTAGTATTTATCAATTTGAGTTTAAAAGTTTAGTACGAGAATAGGTAGGTCTGTTTTTTCCTGAGTATTTTCCTTTTGAAACCCATCGATTTAGTATCCTAACGTTGCATCGTGGACCACACCCATACACGATGAGACTTAGGTTACTACAGGTAACCTGTAATATGCAGTTTTCTTGGCGTCTCTTGAAAGAATACTTTCGAAGTGAACATCTTACTCATTGCTCAGTATTTTCAGTTTGCTGTACTTATTCTTAGTTTAATTTTATCATGTTTTTGGGATGTACATTATGCCCGAGTGTTTCAAATTCACAACCCGTTCAAAAGATAACTGCAAGTCGATATTGAATTTTCGTAGTACAACACACGGGATATCTAATGTCTATAACAACTGATTAGCATATATTAATATACCTACTTGGTTTTATCTTCGTTTATTGAACGCCCGTCGTTTGACTAGATTCGATTAGTTTTCTCATACTTTTTCCATTTATATATTCTATTCAAAGTTTTGCAACTATAAATAAGTATTAGTAGTTTTATAAAGAGGTTATCTTGAATACTGTTCAAGTATATAGTTTTATAATAACTATATCCTTGACAGTGCTAAATACCGAATAATCATTTTCGTTCATATTATAATATAACATAACGCGGTGTAATGGAGGTGATTAATTTATCGTTATAAATGAATATTATTTAATCGAGATGTATATATTGTGTCGATTTGAAATCATTGTATGTTTGCAAGGCGATCAAGTCTTTGCAACATTCAAATCGTTCCGATCGGTACTATTACGTCTTAGTGTACACGCTATGTAGTAATTATTATTTATTATCCAACTACTATCTGTTGTTATAAACCAGTGACTAAATCTTTAATATATTAAACAATTAATAATTAACGGAATTATTAATGAAAATGTAAATAGAGTATACGAGGTTTTGCTTATTTCAAAAATTGAAATTGCATTTGTCTTCTAATTTTTTCTACCAGATAGTTTTTTTCCCGGCAACTGTTTTTAACCCTGCGAACGCTAAAACAATTACAATAACACTGTCGGCGAAAAATGTAGCGATTAAAATGGTATTGCCCATACGACAAAAAGTAAAACAACGGCTTTTTAAACTTTATTTTACCCGCACTGCGATAATTTTTGTGTTTAAATAACAAATGTTTTTAAAATTTTAATAACATTTTAATGTAGCAAAGAATGTATCAGTTTTTAAAAGATGTTTATTTAATTATTTTTTTCTTATGTAAACACTTCTTTTTGGTAGAAAGGTTACTTCGATGTAAATCTTTCTCTGAAAGGAAATTTTTTGGGGTGGTACTTTTAGGGAGGTCGTTTTTTGATTTTCCCAGGAGTTTTTTCAACAAATACGAAAAACTGAAAAAAAAATTAGGAAAAACGGGAAAATGTATGAAAGCAGGTATTAGTTGAAAAATGTTTCAATCTTTTTTTCATGTGAACAACTTTTCTATTAATAGTTTTGCTCGATTTACAATGATAGCACATTTTCTGAAAGGAAATCTGATTGGGGAGGTAATTTTTTGATTTTCCTTAGAAGTTTTCCCAATAAATGTGAAAAGCCGTAAAAAAAAACATGGGAAAAACGGGAAAATCAGTACTATATTAAACAAATAATACCAAAGAAAGTATACATAATGCTTATTTTATCATTTTTAAGCGTTTTAAAATGTTAAAGAAAATCGTAAAATTCACTGTATTTCAAAACCGAACATCGCTCAGATTTGGTTAAACGAGTTTTATAGTACACTTTTGTTCGGTTACGGATTTCATTTCCAGTTTGTGCGTCGCACTGGGACCACGCGTAGGCGGTTTAACCCGATGATGGGCGAAAACCACGTGGTGTGCAGTGCCGTTTCGTCGGAGCTCGGGGAAAATCAATGAAACTTTCGCCCGCAGCTTCCCGTCAGGTGATTGCGCATTTAAAATATTCCGCCATCGTCATATTACTGTTATTACGTAAATTCTCGGCGTAGATAAACTTAACTATACACACACAATATATTAGCACAAGCCTAAAAACGCTCGGTTGGTTTCTATTCACCAAACGTTTAGCTTGGTCCAGACGACAATAGTTATACTATCGCGATAGTTATCTCGAAATTCGCAACCGTGATAATTATTATCGTGAACTATAGTCGTGCGAATATCGCGAGACCATGAGAAAGATAGCTGTCGTCGTGCAGTGATGAACTTAATATACACTATCGTTCCATTATTTCACCGTCGTCCGTTTCTATCTGCAGTGGCTGTTGATTGTTATTTGTTTTTTTTCTATACATTTATAGGTAATATAATACAAGGAAACAGGTTACGGGAGCGGATACCTCCCGTTCTACTGTTCCTGATTTCAATCGAAATACATTCTACCATTAAGTTTTCTACTATATACACCCATATCAGTCTACTACATCTTCGTACGGACGGTCTCACGCAGATCTCTGTTATAGTTAATGACACGATACTAACTGTCACGATAGTAAAACTTTATTTTTGTGCGGGCCAGCCATTTGAGCTTAAATCACTTAAAACTTGCAGTGTTTATAACAATCACACAAATAACAATAATCTGCGGACCTGTGTAATAATGTTAATCGTCGTTTATAAGAAATAATAATTTTTATGTCACGTACCTATTAAAAAAAGTCCGTATTAAAAAAAAAAATAAAATATATTATATTGTGTATTAAACGCGACAAACACCATCATAAGCCAATATAGACTCGGTAAATTTATATTTATTATCTTTTAAATAGTCGCGCAAAGGAAACACCTTGTTAACTACAATATAATAATATTCGTGAATAATAATAATATATAATAATTCCACTCGGTGAAATAGCATATTATTATTTATTTTTTTTCATTGTAGATGTACGTGTCGCGTATGAAAAAATAAATAAATAACGCACGGACGAAAAGTATGTTTAAAGATAAGCGGGCCAGAAAAGTGTACACTGCGAGCGTGCAAAGTTCCCGGTCTTTCGTTAACGTTTTTCCAACGACAAAACTATAATTCATTTTTGAAAAAAAATTCGGCGACCTGATCTGATATTATGCTTGTTTATAGATAGATAGGTATCTAAATAAATTAAATATTAGCTCAATTTGCGGACAGGACATTTTTAAAATTCTTAACGTACTTACATTTCGGTATCTGTTTTCTTTTTTCTTAATATTGACTAGTGTGAATATATATTTTATTAGTAATTTATTTTTGAATTTATATTCAATAGCTGATACTTAATATTCATGTTTTAATTCATAACAGCAATAATAACAACAATTATAATATAACATTATTGTTAATATGTTATGAACAAATTATAGCACACGTGTTCCACGGAGATATTCGTAATATCTCCATAGTAATATCTCCGAAGATAATAAAGATAATCAAATTCTGTTTTGTTTACATAACTCACTGGGATAAGAATTAAAAATGTTTGAATTGTAATTCATTTTTTATGTTTTGGTAAAAAATTTAAAACTAATATTGAAAAATTTGAAAAAAGCCATTTAATAAGTTATATTCGTCTGAAAATATTGACGTATCAACTTTTTGTTTTCATTAAATTCGTAATTTTTAATAATTGTTTAAAGTTCAGAGAAAAGAAGTGTATAGTCAATAACTAACCGTAATAATAATAATCAATTAGAGAGTGAGATTACAGCCTGTTGTGGAATTATAGGTACTTTTCTCTGAACTTTAAAAAAGTAACGAATTTAATGAAAATAAAAAGTTGGGCACATTGAAACTTTCAGAAAAATAAACTCTATAAAATGGCTATTTTCAAATTTTTCAAAAATAATAAAATAATGAGTTATTTTTTTTATTATCAAAGCATAAGAAATTGGATTGTAATATAAATATTTGTAGTTCTTATTCCTGTGAATAATGTAAAAAAAAAAAAAAAAAAACAGAATATAATTATCTTTATTATCTCTGGAGATGTTACAATGGGTATATTTTCGTGGGGCACTCAGTATATAATATCTCTTTTCGACCAAAACTTATGTTTAGAAAGTTAAAATTAATAAAATAAACGCTTATGTACGTACAAATTATTATTTCGAAGAACCGAGATAATTCATATTTCATAAAAATAGACTACCGTACTTTGTTTTTTAGTGAAACAACTTTTTTGCACGTGTAATATTACAGATTAAAAAACGTGTAGTTTACTACGGACGTTACACGCTGGCGTACTGCACATATATACAATATAATGTATGACACTCATTATCTCGGAATGTATTAACTTTTTACGTAAAATTTGAGAAACAAACAGCACTAATGTATAACATTATTCATATTTTTTGTCACCCTCGTATGCGAGGTTGAAAAGATTACCATATTTTGATTTTTAAATGGCAACCTATATTAAAAATTCAACGATTAGATATCTTGAAGTTTCCTTTTAAATAAATTTGAGTGTTGATATTTGCAATTTCCGTCAACGTGATCACACTGTATAGGAATTATTTTAAATTTAACGCAGTTTAGATGAATTTCATTTTAGATATTTTCGTCCTGAGATATTTTACTTGACGAACAAGAGAGGTACTTATTATTATAGATGCACGCAGAATGTTTATGGATTATGAGATTAACCACCATTTAACACTCACTACAATATAATTGCATTTTTAAACACTAATTAAAATTTTAATTTGCATACTAACTCCAGTTGAATACCTATTCAAGTTTTATTATTTGTTGTTTTTTTAGTTTTTTGATCAATGGTAATTATATAAATATACATAGTGCAGCCTCTTAAATCTCCAAACTATAAATAATTGCCAATAAATTAAGCGCTTATTTTATTTTATTTTTTTTAATTACAGTTTTCACAAAATGTATACGCGATGATTTCTAACGGTTGGTTTTATATAATTTAATTAATTTTACTGATTGTATTTTTTGTTTCCTTTCATAATGATATAGCGGCATAACGTATTAACAGGCCCTGATTTACGCACGAGCACAATACTCCCAAATTCGTATAGGGTCCCATTCTATAACAAAAAAAAAAAATTAAAAAATACCTGGGAAACAGGGATCCATTTATATATATAATGGTATATATGTTATTCCTATATATTTATCATTATCAAATAGTATAAAAGTTAGAAATCCAATTGCGTATAGTCGACAGCGACGGCAGGTAGTCCTAACGATATCACTTTTGAAAAAATACAAATGTCCTATTTTTTAATACATTTTTTTTTCTTCAAGCATACTTGAAGCATACAAACACATACTTATACTCTCTGGGAGTTTTTCCCACCATCACAATCTTCTACCGTATAATTTTTATATTATAAAACCTCGACCTCTGCGCACTCCACTGTGGTTACATATAAGTAGTTCTTCTTTCTTCTATGGTTCTTAAAATGCTTCTTTTATATGCCTCTTAGGACCATCCCATTTCAAACCCACTCACCTCACTCTTCTCAATTCATTGCTATTTCCTTCCAACTCGTGTCTCCTCCTAATGATTCCACATCATTTCTGTCTAAGTTTTCCCATCTTGTTTTGGGTCTTCCAAGTGGTCTTTTTCCACACGGGTTTTGTTCCGTTACTGCTTTTATTAACTCAGTTATATATAGCTATATACTCGTTTGTTCCAATCGTCTCACAATACAGCTATTCAACCATTTATTTTTCTCGCTATGCGTCCGTATATAAATTGCCTAAAGTCCTTCGCACGTCTCTAATTTTGTACTCTCAATAACGTATCTAAATTTGATTACACCGACGGGAACGCGTGAAATTGAGCGAGAAGTTGAGAAGAAAACAAAACAAAAGTACCACGTTTTGAAAACGTAAATCGAATTGCGCCTTTGCCTAATTCCAAGTTATCGGACGATGTCGTTGAACTCGTACCAGCAGCAAAACACCCCTGTACGTATTCTTTTATTAATCGTCACTGATGAAACCATAATAAAGACTTCTTTATATACGTGTTCGGCTTAAAATGTTTAAGTGCTCGTTGTGTGTGAATCGCGTTAGAATTTATAGTCTGTAGAAATTAATATGCAGTAATGTAGTGTATTAAAACGAAATTAAAAATTCCAACGGGTTTTTTTTTTTTTTTATAGTTTTTAACAGATAATATTGTATACATTGAAATTGATTGTGCACATTTTTACTGATATTGATAAACGTAGAAATGTGTTTTACAGTGTACCTATATAGTATAATATCACAATAGTTTGAACAAACTGTAATTTGGTTTTCCAGCAAATGTGAAAAACCGGGGAAAAAAAACGGGAAAACCGGAAAAATCGGTACAACATTAAATAAATATCATTAAAGAAAATATATAAAGCCTATTTAATTTTTTCATTTCAATATGATATATATATTACATTGTTGAAAAAGCATCACTATCAACCGAACTCCGCTCAGAATCGTTTTTTCGTTAGCAATGGTTTATCGTTGCTTACATGTATACATTAAATTACCTATAACAGTTGCTGCACATTTCCCATTATTCTAGAACGTCTTTTTATTATCAATTTAACTAGAATAATAATTATAATGATCCATAATGTCAATAAATAAAGCTATATTTGTTTTTTTTTCCAATGTTTATTTTTATTTTATCTTTAGTAATAAATGATGCAGTAAAATTTGTAAATATTTGTAATTATGTACAATTGTAAAAAATATTACTGTTTAATAAATAAATAATATTATCTTTATTTTGTATTATTATTATGTGGTTCAGAATCAAATTAATTGATAATACATTATTATTATTATTAGAGTATATTTAATGACAAAATTTAAAAACATTAGAACTTCAAAATTATAAGTTATATTTTATTGAGGGTATTATTCAAGGCTGGGTTAAAAGGAGGGGGGACGTTAGCTATACAGATCACAAGACGAAGGGAATCAAAAAGAAATTTCGTCTCTTTTTTTTATCTTTACATTCTTTTTGGATTTTAAGTGTAGCCATAAGTTTCACAAACATGCGTTTTTTTCTCGATAAACATTTTTTTATTTAGTAAAAATTGTATAATAATTAAAATATGCAACAAAATAAATGTGAATTAAAAAAATAAATCAATTAGAATAAAAAGAAAAGCTTCACGCCGTATAATTTCCCCTCTCAGACTATGCGTCCGTCTTTGTAGGTATATTGTAAACATTTTGTAGGTTCGACGAAACCTGTACTGGGAGTATCAAATAAATTCGAAATGTACTTTTCGAACATAATATACTCGCGTTCGTGTTGAAAAAAATAATACCATTTTTTTTTTTCCAGTGATATTGACGTTTATCAATTGCTGGGACGTCAAATGGGCCACACGCGTTCAGGACATATTCACGTACGCCAAGCTGTTGGCTCTCATGGTCATCATAGCGACAGGAGTTTACCAGTTGTTTGCAGGTAAAAAAAGCCGTTTACAATATTATTTCATTGAGAAATCATGTACGTAATATTATACGTACGTTTGTGTCAATACTTTTGATTGACGTGTGGGCTATATTGACGTATTTTATTTAATAACAAATTGTAAGGAAAACGAATCGTTGCCGAACTGAAAACCTATCCGATGGGCTTAGTAAAGTTAAGACGATTAGATAGTATTTTTTTTCGTTGTCATCGTTGCAGCGTAGCAATAATTTAGATCGATTTTCTTTCAATTAGCCCGATCGACGTAGTGAAGCGATACGAATTATTCTGAAAAAAAAAATGATTTGAATTGGTCCAAAGCGTATCTACACGAAATCGGTCGGGTCACTAAAGCGAATTTTAGTTCAAAAAATATGAATATTGAAAAAAAAAAACTATAATTAAATTGAAAAAGTTGCCGGCCGATTTTAAGTACACACTATGAGACACGCGATGGATCTATTTTCCACATGAATCTATTTTCCTACATGTAAAATATATATAATATATGATGTTGATGGTGTTTTGTTAATAGCGCCGTTTACCACTAAAAATCTAAAAATGTGTGTTTTGTATTAACAAAATCAGAAAAATTAGGAACACAAACTGGTAAAACGGCGTATTTAAATACATACAATTAAGCACCAATACTTAATGTGGACTAAAATATATCCAGGTGCCCTTTTGAAATATGATTAAATCACCGATGATTTGTTAAATGGGCGTAAATCACATTTAATACATGTATACTTTGTGTACAAGCTATTATATTGTGTACGAGCCATTTTATTGTTTTCCACGATAAACATCACTAAAAACTGTTTGGCTGTTTTTTTATTTTTTTTTGCAAAGCAGTCCTTTTTGCTTCTTGAAAAAAAGTGAAATGTGATTGATGCACTTTTAACAAAACGCCGTCTTTATAATTATGTACGCACTCAGCAAAACAGGCGAGTCTGATCATATTGTTTAATCCAGTACACACAAAATAATACATTTTCAATAAAACCGATTCGAGTTTTTGAAATGCCATAGAAAACATCTCGACGGTAATAATAATCTCAAAGCGCCCCCCTCCTCCCTGCGGACTGCAAACACTCAAACTAAAAGGGACGGATGATTTTACCTCAAACGTAAGAAGAGGAAGTCCGTCCCCGTACCGCTTTAACCGCTTTGTATCCGACTAAAATTGTTTCTTTATAATCTTTGCGATCTGTCAACTTGCTCATAGACGCCCACCGGGTAGCGGTACAACTGTATTATTGGTGGATTCGTGTTTTTTTTTTTACATTTTTGTTATTATTAGATCCGCAATTCGCGATAAACGATACAGGGTAAACGTATATACAAGCTTTGAAATTGAATTTATTTCCTCGATCACATTTTGTTTATGATTAAATCAGACTAAATAATATTATAATATGACGTATGGAGTAAACGTAACATTTTGAACGTATTATTCCGACCGCCGAAAAAGACAAAATGCAAACATTTTATCGAGTCTTAAGAAAACTCGGTAAAAAAACGTCACCGGATATAATATAATATATTGCGATTGTAATAGTTTATTGATAAAAACGTTGTTTTATTTACAACATGGCACCCTATATATTATTTTCTTCTTCTCGAAAAAAAAAAAAACACATTTTATACGATAAAAAATTGTATTTTAATAGTACGCGCGAATTATACATCTCCGAAAACGGAAAATCGTCGTGGTAGAGTTGTAGACCGTTCAATCTGCAATCATAATAATAATATGATAATGATGATGTATTAGAAAAAAAAAAACAACATTCAATCGTTTAATTTTCCATAAACGGTTCGGAAATACGAAAACTATATAAAATTAATAACACATTTATAGACGGTGTATACATATTATAGGTAATGATAATAATAATAATAATAATATAATACACACGTAAAAAAAGTGCACAATGGCAAAATACAATTTTTTTTTTTTTTTTTAAAAATTGCATACAAAAATGCGTTTACGCTTTCGAGTAAAATCGTTTGCCTGCGTTTAACGTTATAATTTAATAATCCAACATATAACGTACGGTACAAATAATTATATTTTTCAACAACCCAACCTAACAGCCCTAATCTATGTCGAACGTGGAAGGATGGAAAAGCATTTTCCGGGACAAGTTCTCGTTGGACTCGTGCAGTCGGCCGGGCAGACGGAGCGGGTCCGGTTCGTGGTCTTTTTTAAACTTCGAGAAACCGCCCGCCAAGTCGGTTTTACCGCCGAAAAATCGCTGTTTGTCCTTACCGAAGACGCTGCTGCCGCCGTTGTTGTTGTTGTTGCCGAATTGCAGTCTGAAATCGTTGTTGTCGTTGTCTCTGGACTTGGATTCGAAATCGAGAACGACCGGCTGAAAGTATTCCAATACCGATTCGTCGGACGACGTTCGGCCGCCTTTAAAACGGCCGCCGCCGCCGAATCTGTCCGACGTCGACTTTCCGCCGTTGTACCGGAACAACGGTTTCGGACGTTTACCGCGGTCGTCGTCGTCGTTACCGAAATCTCGCGAAAACTGCGAGGACAATCGGCCCGCCGTGAAGTCGACACCGTGCCGGTCGTCGTTGTTGCCACCGAAATTATCGGAAAAGCCCGACGAAAACCGGCCCCCCTCGGACCGCCGGTCGTCGTCGAAGCCCCGGGAAAAATGTTCGGCTTCCAGACGACCGGGATTTTTGTCGTCGAGCGCGGCCGCCGACTGCAAGCCGAACTGTTCAAAGTCCAGTGGCTCGCCGGACGAGTGTTCGGACGGGAACGACGACAACAACGCGGTCGTTTTGGGCTCGTTATTATTGTTATTGTTGTACCGGAACCGGGACCGGCGTTCGTCCGGATTCTGGTTGACGTTCGACGAGAAACTCGACACGGAAAACGGAGTCTGCACGCTGAACGACACTCCGCGGCCCGTGTTTTCCATAGTGCTCTTGGTCACGTGGTAACCCCTTTCCGGGATCGGTTTCCTGGCCAGCCGGTTTCTGAAGTCGTCGATATCGAAACCACCGCCGCCACCGCGTTGGCCGCCATCGGTACCCGCGCCGCCTTCATCCCGTTCATCGTAGTTTGATCTCCCGGGTGACGACGACGTGACGAATCGTCCCTTATTGTTAGCGGCCGACGACTTTCCTGGCTCGTCCCAGGCATTAATTTCCCGACCGAAATCCACTTTGAACCGGTCGCTGTCGTCTCTGAACGCGGACGGCGCGTCCGTCTTTTTCGACCCTCCGCGATTATGCAGTGCCGACTGATCCCCCGCGTTCAGGTTGCGCACCTGTTGTACGTAACCGTTCGGGTTGTTGATCACCGACTGGTCGGTGATGTCGTGCGATTTTTGTATCTGCACTTCGGTGGCGTGTCCGACGTTTTGGGCCACGTACGAATTTCTCAAAGACTGTCCCACGTCCGAGTCTTTATTCGAAGTCACCGCCACGGCACTGTTGTTGCTGGTTATCGTCCCGCGCGGTTTACTACTGGCGGCGGCGGTGTCCGTGGCGTCGCGTTTATGTCGGTGTCCGTTCACTGTGCACGGGCACTTTTGGGTTTGGTCGCCGTGAGACACGCCGTTGTGGCTGGAACCGTCGCTCTGCATGTCCGTCTCGGAAAACGACGCGATCTGAATGGACGGCTCGATGGTTATGTGCGACACGTACTCGACGGTTTCGGGCGTTTGGGACGACGGCGACGGCGATTCGTTCACTTCGGCCCAGTGGTCGTCGTGATGATGAGAGTTATGATGTTGGTACGAACCCTGATAAATGTGATCGTGGTGATCGTTGTCGTTGTCGTCGTCGTCGTGGTGGTGGTGGTGGTTGTGGTGATCGTCGTGGTGATGGCTTTCGACATCGTTGTGCGTGTCTTCGTCCGCGTTCTTCGGGTATTCCTCCTTATTGTTGTAATCGGGCGACTTGTAGTTGACGTGCTTGTAGTGCACGTGCTTGTAGTCGACGTGCCTGTAATCGACGGGGTTGTATTCGACGTGATTGTAATCGTCGGGCTCGTAATCGACAACGGGCTTGTAATCGGCGACGGGCTTATTGTAATCGACGGGTTTGTGTTTGGGAGGATTGTATTCCATGGTCTTGAAATCCGGCGCCTTGTAATCGGTATTGTAATCGACGTGTTTATAGTTGGCCGGATTGTAATCTACGGGTTTAAAACCGGACAGACTGGCGGTCGACGGCTTGAAACTCGAGTATTTGTAATTATTGATCAAGTGGTTGTGCTTTCGGGGCAGTTTGGCACCGTAAACGTATTTCGAATGTTTCTTAGCGTCGGGCCAATAATAGTCTGAATAATTTTTCGTTTTCACGGGCGGCGGAAGCGGGTGTAAGGCCCACGGCATCGATTTGTCCACCTCGAGTTTTATCGCTTTGGCCGTCGGCATGGGCGGCGGAAGTGGATGTAACGTCCACGGCAGATCGTTCTTCAACAGCGTCAGCGACGAGTCTTCCGTTTTTATTGAAAATTTTTTCGGGTATCTCAGTTTCACTTTCGGTTCGGCCACTTGGCGGGCGCGCAACTTGGACAATTTTAACTTTTGCATCGGAACATACCTGTTGAACAAAAAAAAAAAATACCAAAAGCGTCAGTCTATATCGTATGTATCTAAAAAAATGCAGTAAAAATATCCCGAAAACGCCTTAATAAAAAAGTAGAATTAAAAACGATTGTTCTCCTATTTAAATCGGCCAATATTGTTTTCTCTTAAATCGTGATTAGAAACAATAGTGTCGTGTACGTGACATCTGACAGTATAAGGTATTACCTATATTTTAAATAGAAATTGGTTCGTAACAGACCAACGATGGTTTAGTTTTTCCGTCATTTAAAATTATCGGTAATAAAATGATATTTAACCGATTAAAAGGTGCAAAAACAAAAAAAAAAAATAAAAAAAATAAAAAACGATTTGATTCTGCTGTGTGTCATAGTGACGCGGTATAAACGGACAGAAACGTGACAAAATCGTCCGACAAACGACGAAAGTAGTAAAACATTATAATACTCGGGGAGTCGTAAAACCGTTTAAATTATTTAATTTTGAACAACAGTTACTTTTAGAAGAAAGAAGGAAGGGGTATAAGAAAACTAAGAGATCTATACAGCACGCAGGAAATAACCAGACATCATAGTGGAAGAAATAAAATAAAAAAGGACGGAAGACCATTCCTCGTTCCACTCAGAACTTAAAATAACAAACTACAATAGGCAAGCCACATACGGAGACAACAGAGCCAACAAGTAAGGATATTGTAGGAGGATCCTAGTGGAAAAACAACTTTTGAAAACTGTGTTAAGACTTATTTAAAAAATATTATGTGTTTTGAATTTTATCTCACCTATAGACGGATGTTTTAAAACCTATCTGAAAATTCTCCAAGGAAGAAAAAGATAATAATATTTTTAGCCTCCATGTATTTATTCATAAAAAAAAAAAAGCCGTTCGGCTTTTTAACGGAAATAACGAAATTGCAAGGAACTCGGGTGTTAAGGCTCGAGCTTTAGAGATCTCTAACGAACAGGGCGCATTGACAATCCAGAAATAAAACGATAGCCGACCAGGGCCCGACGTCTTGATGACAACGATTCAAGCACTTCGTTTATAGGGTGCGATAACCGCGGGGTCGTTGAACGATATTTAAAACTGTACTCTTCTTCATAATTCAGGAATCGGCCATGTTCACCATATTCAACTCTTTGTATTATAGTAGTGTATACGGTGACCGGACGACCGCGAGCGCTAGAGCATAAGTAAATAATGAAATATATGCCAGTTTTTGTCGTTCGTTTGGAAAACGTCGAGGAAAACCGAAATCGACCGCCTGGGTCCATTTACTAGATCGAAAATTATTCCACGAGAAAGTTCCCGTAAAGTTTTTCAATTGAAGGTTATTTTATAAAAAAAAAAACACACACACACACACACATACATCATAGAAATACCGTAATGTATTCGCTCAGAATTTTCAAACATTATGTCGATGTGATATTTGTCGACTACAGAATTGATTCAATAGATAAACTGTAGCGGCGGTGGTGTTTAAGCGAAAATATTTTTTTTACCGACGAAAGTAAAACGCGACACTTATTATTATATTATTTCTACGGCGCGGTAATACACAACAACAACAACAGCAACAACAACAATATACTTTTTGTCGGTATAAAATACCTGTATCCGTGTTTAGTACACAGAAATTATCTATGACGAATGATAAATTAAAAAAAAAATGATAATAATAATGTATAAAAATTCAGTATGCTACGCGTTCTGCCACGTCTTCTCCGCATTATTTTAGCGGTATTATTATCTAAATAAAAAAAAAAAAGTGCTTTTACAATACACCTAAACATAATCGATGGAATGTTTTTTTTTTTCTATAATATTATGTGGATGGCGTTTGTTTTGCGGTGCCGAGTATAATATATAATGGAAAAAAAAAATAAAAATCTCGAGGTAATTTTTATTTTTTCACAAATTTACCGAAGTTTCTCGGCGGAATTATTTTCGTTTTCCGTTCAACGGTATTATATAGCAGAGCTGTTAACGACGAACTCTCTGTTTTAGAGCATAGGACGTACCCGGAACATAATAACCTACGAGGTCGCGTGCCCGAAGATCCCACCGGCGCTACCACGTTTCTGGTTATAACCGTTTCTGTGGCATACGTTTTTTTATTTATCGAAATGAATATACCTGATGAGAAAAAAATACGTGTTTAATTCGAATATTATAATATAATGTAAATCAAAGACGACACAACAATATTTTATAAACACATTATATTATTATTATAATTAGAGGTCGGATTTATAATCTCTTATGATCCGCGAAAAGGCACTTAAAAACGTCGAAAAAGTACTTAAAAATGATATATGGGTTTAAAAGTCCCCCTCTAGAGGCTTTGATTAAATTCAATTTCCTAATACTACAAAAAATAATTGATTCGAAATAATTTCTTTTAAATAAAATCGCACCTCCGTATTATATATATATAAAAAAAAAAAAATTACTATTTATTCAGTTTTGTAGTGTTGGAAAATTGTATTTAGAAATTTAGATCAATTACAGGGGGACTTTAAATTTCTCTATTATTTTTAAATGCTTTTTTCAAGGTTTTTTGACGTTTTAATTTACTTTTTTGTTGGTTTTTAGGAACATATAAATCCGGTATCTAATTACAATATTAAGTCATAAATTATAATGGTTAAAATACGAGTAAATAAATATACGTAATTGTTAATTAGTAAAATAATAATATTATAAATCCCTTTCAAATCATTTCTATATTAATTTCTAAAATGTGATTATTTTTTCAACTTTTTTCTAATTTGAATAACTTGTTTGGTCTCTATTGCTTCATGAAATACCTATAGTTGTATTGTTAATATTTTCTTAGTATGTTATTATGTTTTAATAATGTTATATGTTTTTATAATAATAACAATCACTAAATAAATTGGGTTTTAAGTTTACACTTGCGACACTAACTTCCTTGGAGTAATATCAAGTTTGGATGTATTTTCATGTTTCAAAGTTGCTATATCTGGATCTAGTTTTGTTGGCCGTTTTATTTTTTTCGTATACTGTTATTTTAGCATGCTATTTTACTAACACTACTAAAGTTTTAGAAGTTTTCCGTAAAACCATTAAACCTTTAAAAAATTTTAAAGGAGAAAAAAAATATACACCTCTATATGTGTGTTACACTGGAATTGTTCGTAAATTAGTTTTCCAACGACTATAATTTTAGGAAGTTTTATCGATTTCCCGTAAGATATTGACATCTTCGGAGCATTATCTGGTTTGGACGTGGCGGATTTTTTATACTTTTTTGTTGACGTTAGTGTTGCTGTAGGTCGCTGTGGTTACAATATTGTCACTAATCATTTTTCGATAAAAGTTATTCCACTATTAACAAGAGAGTGGCAGAGACGATTTATATTTGACGAATTTGAACGTGGATAAACGAGTAAAAACAAATCGGGATCGTAATTTTTTGGTTCCAAGACGAAACATTTCTCGGGGTCGGTGAGCAGAATGATTTAGGATCGAAATGGCTGCGTCCGAGTTGGATCCCAGACGGTAATATTTTTGATAGGTTGGATCGTTACTATTTGGGTCCCAATGCATTTCAGGTACTCTACTAAAGTTCGGTCTGGACGTTCGAAAGCAATACAAAAAATTGTCCTTCCCATTTTTACAGACTTAGGACTTATGATTTATTTCACCAGTAATTTTTCTGTCATTTTATCCTTTGTAAAATACAATCCCTTCGGGTTTTCCCCCCGATTTTTCATATTAATGTAAATACCTATTTCTTTACTTTATAAAACTTCTATAAATTGAATATAGGTAGTAGGATGAATAATGCGTTTTCTGAACATTCAAAATGTTATAATTATTTTGAATATTACGGTAATAGCTGATTGCATGCGGAAACCCGGGACCCATCTAGTGCACTATCCTTCTAAAACCAACACGGATGGAATCTCTCGGTTTTTTGTGTTTTTCCGCGATGGAAATGACCAAAAGAAAAATCTCGGAATGTTATAATTTCGTTCGATCGTTTTCAACAATAATAACAATCCTGCAGAAGATTATCCGCGTTCGCAAACGATTTCGTTTTCATCGCATTCCTAATGTTCTGTATACAATGAACTGTTGTCCGGCACTCGCGGTTTCAATCTCCTCTCGATCCGTCATAGGTTATTGTTATTATTACTGTTGTAAACTAATTTTTTTTTTTCGAAATCTCATATCTTCCAACAACAATATCGCGTAATTAATTTTACGGTTCCATTTCGTTTCGCGGTGGACTGCGGACTTATAATAATAATACACGGATTATAATATAGACGCGTTTGAATTATTATTTGAATCGGGAATTTCACCGTTTTTTTTTTTTTTTACGATTCGTTGATCTTTCCGTTCGGGTGCCGTGTACAACAATACGGAACACAAATTGATAAAAAACGAGTGTAAATTAACAACGTCTTAATATTAACCGATTGATTGTGATTTCAATCTGGTTTTTAGACTGTATAAATTGTTTCGAAATACCGCGGAGACGATCGCACGGACTATTGATGAAACCGATTAGGTATTGCGGCCGAATTCGCTAGATTTTCGAATAACAATTCTTAAGCCGCGTGTCTCCATCAAAACCACTGGTTCTAAACGGCCGATTACTATTGTACGGACATTTATTTCGATCGAACCTAACGATCGAAATCGTCGAAATGATGAATACAATTATCGTACGAATCATTAGAAATTCACGATTATTGTCCGTGGCGGTGGTGAAAATCAACTAATAAAAACCTACTATACTATAATAACGTCGGGCAGTGACTTATTTACGGGGTCGGATCTGGGGATGGATCCACTCTAGTAGCTATTACTCAATCCCCTGATTGCGGCCCAAAGTGACCTTTTTTCCTTTTTCATATCTCGATTGCGGCCCGTGCAAATTAAGTAGAAAATACCGTTTTCAGTGGTTATAAAACTAAACACGTATCCCAGTTACGTTCAAAGTATTTTTATATAAAATATATAATACAGTACATTTACAAAATACAGAAGAAATTTAAATAATATTAAAGTATTAATATAAATTATTAAAAAAAAAACTAAATAATCGAATTATTTAGTTCAATAACTAAAAGCAATATTATCTTTATTTACTAAATAATATAAAATTGTTACCGTAGTCGTAAATTGTATACTATATTTATATATTGTAGAAAATGCAACGGGGCGGAACTTGTGTGACTAATAAATTACACGGGACGGAATTAGTATACTTATTTTAAAAACCGGTTACGGAATTAGTATATCCTTAAATTTAAATTTTACATTTGGGACGGAATTCGGATGCAGCCATAAAAACTTCCGCGGTTCTATAATCGTGACGAGAGTGGTGATAATATTATGATTTTAAAATGTATAGTTAGATCCTTAAAAGTTAAAACTATTGTTCATTTGAAAACAAAATTGTTTTATCAAAAGCGAGGTGGGTGTATAAATGTGTAATACATACGCTGAGGGAGAGGGGATCTTATTCCCTCACGGGTATGCGAGTGAAATTGTTTTGTATCCACTTCATAGAAATAAATGCTAAACATGCCACTGACGCGTGAAAAGGTTTTGAAACGCAGATATGTGGTAAAATTTAAATCTAGATAAAAATCAAAAATCATTTAAATATACACATAAAGTTAACAAAATTTTAAACTATCTCAGACAAGTGAAATTTATATAGACAAAAACAGATACAATTTTTTTTTTTTTTATGACTATTGTCGAGCATATTACATTAGAGAGAGATACACATTTAAACGGTTAAACAGCTAACTGAAATTATACTATTGAATTTTATATTTTATACTATGGCTAATATACTATATCGATTTTTCTTTCTTTTACCTAGGTGCATTATACTGAGATAATCACTGAAAAGATTATTATTTTTTTTTTTATAGTTTTCAAATTGATATCATAGACATTTTTATCTAGATCTAGAATATGTAATAAATACATATTATCCAAATAGATTTATTTGTAAATAAGTCTCAACACTATTTACAACGCACGTGGCAGCGCGAGTTTGATCGTATTCATTTTCTCGGTTGACTTGTTGCAATAAGCGACGAATTCAACTGTCGACGTTTTGAATATTTTTGCAAATAATAAATTAGAGTTGGCTGTAAAATTACAGTGTATTGAATTATACTTAAAGTTCAATCTCTACAAGCAGACCGTGGTGATGCCGAGATAGAAACGCCGATTTAAATGATTTAAATATTATGTGATCGAGTACGGAAAAGTACGTTTCTTTTTTTGCGGCTGGAGGTTTAGGTTAGGTTGCCAACTTTTTCATTAGCGGCGTTCAAGACTCGAAAATCGCCGAAACAAGCGGTGCCCCTAGTTAAAAGTAATTCGCAAAGAAGTAAACTTAGAAAATGTTAAAATATCCCCCCGCAAAGTTTTTCCCACGGTATTATTATAAATAATCGATAAAACAATATGGCATTTTCTAATTTCATTCGCTATCGTCGTATAGCACGAAACAAATTTCCGCAGTCCGAAAGACATAAACCAAAAAAACTTTACAAAAACCCGAACACTACTCTTCAGAGAAACACGTATTGTTATTAAGACTCTAGGATAGTAGTTGTCCGAGTCACAAAAGCCAATTGCTAAATCGAGTATTAAATTCCGCCCTAACAGGCCCTAAGCATCCACATTGTTCATATTTGTCAAGGAAAATATATTTTCATTTATTATAACGAAATTAAAAACAAAAAATTACTACGTGTATTGACGAAATTTCGTAAAAATAATGAAATAAAAAAAAAAAACAAAACAAAATTTTTCCGGTATCATTTTATTTATTTATCTTAACGATCAAATCTTTGAAATAAATCCTATACATTATCTTAGTTTATTGTGAGAACTGTTTGGTGAGCACACCCTAAAACCAAAGTCTACCTCCGCCACTGCATGTGCCCATGGACCGTCTTGTAAAATTGACTAGTACAGTTCACTATAGTAACGAATTCGCATAAATTCTCTGCTCGGTTAATGGAACAACAGTACGGTCGAAAACCCGCACTTTGATGATCATTTTATAATTAAGCGATTCAATAAAATAGGCAATATAAAGCAAAAGAAAATACGATGAAATAGATCGAGACAGCCGTTTGCTCTTGAGTGAACTTGCAGAATATGATGTCACGAATTGCGTGAGAACGATTCTGTCAACGATTACTCGACTCACTTGCCAAATAGACACTAGATAAAATTAGTGATATCAGCGATTTTACTGACACCAGTGGCATCTACATCGATTTAGTAAATATAAACGAGCGCGAGTATACAGCACGTCCAACTCGGACTAGAGAATTGAACCGAATATAGAATTTATTTAGCAGTATTGTCCTGCAGCGTAAAAAACGGTATTGCACTAGGATGGTGCTCGGCCGAGTTACTAAAGCAAGTTTAATAATAATTTAGTAGAGCGTTCGTGTTCACGCGTAGAAGAGGAAACGTGAGCCAGTGAATTAGTAGAGTTAATTAGTGAACTATATTAACCTATTAAATCTTTATAGATTATTCTTTAGTTAGAAAAACTTTTATATTTATTTTTTTTATTTTAAAACTGTTGTAATAAAACTATTGTAAAAATGGCCAAAAAAAAAAAAAAAAAAATGAATGTCGATTAAACAATGCTTAAGATTTGATCCGAAGAAAAATTTAACTGTTGTAAACAGTTTGAGTTTAAGTTTAAAACATGATAAAATATAATTTAATAACATTATAACTCCAAATAAAAATCACGAGTGATAACTCGTGATTTTTCTCTAAAGATAGTTTTGTCTACACTACAGGCGACTCAAAGGCGAGTCCGGCTACCCGGCCTAGTAAAAAGAATTAGTTTTTATTTATTCGATTAAATCCATAGCGTCCACACGATTCAAGTTAAAACGCTTTGACGGCTCGGTTTAGTTACTCGACCGAGTACTACCACATTAATAATACGTAATCCTACATCAAACCCGGCATTCGGTAAAGTCGGTATGTCAGGTTTTCCCGGACAAGTTTGCGGAAAAAAAAAGTTACTTGTAGACTTTATGAGGGGCGGGCATGTGCGTTATGTGGGCGATCACGGTGGACGGCTCGGGCACCGGGTCCATGTGATAGTACACGGCGTTCATGAGTCCCTCGACGAAATCCGACACGGTCCTCTTGTGCCGGACGTGCAGCGCGTGGCCGCCGGCTTGTGTCTGGTGGCCGGCGGCGGCGGCGGAGGTGGCGGCCACGCACGCGGACGCGGTCAACAGCGAAAACACCAGCAGCGCGGCGACGGGTCGCCCGCGACCGCACGCGGCCGTCGACGCGACGCGGTCGGCCATATTATCATTTGGACGCGACGACGCGAGTTTCATATAAAGACCGAGAAAACTCGGGGCGCGGCCGTGTACAGCGCGTCGTTATTCGGTATGCGCGCGTTACACGGTATTTTACGGTATTCTACGGTATTTGTCCGAACGCGAACGATGGCGGTGAAACAAACGATATCGCCGTCGTAGTCGTTGCCGCGATATCCTTCTCCGGGCGGACGGGCACTGCGTACTGAACGGCATGTCGACGGATCGCGTGGACGACGGCGGCGATACGATATGTTGTATTATTGTTACGGTGCGGGAGATTTCCCGGGCGTTCCGCGAGACACGCGGCCGGTTCCTCGTCCGGGGTGGGGATCCGGACACTTTTCCAGTGGTGAAAATTCGTAGGCGATGGCGGCGGCGTGTTGTTACGAAAGCGGCGACGGCCGTGTTATTGTTGTCGCGTATCCGGTAAATGAGAGGGGGGGGCAAGCGAGGGGAAAACCGTAAAAACAGTACTCGGCCGTTGTCGCTGTCCGTCGAAACCGCAGGGGTTAAACGGGTAGGAGAAACCGGAGATTACGCGTAATAAAATATTATAATATCGCACTTCTGCGTCGTTGCAGGCCCCGGTGACGTCGATATCCGGCGGTCGGAGGGCACCGGACGTACTGACCTGTTTGTAAATAATATGCCTGGCCGCGCGCGTCTTACCGCGACGTGTAATTCTTATTATTATTTTTTCCCAGTCCGTCGACAACTTTTCTACCAGAAATCTCGAGATACGCGAAACTGGCGTCGCAACTAACTTGAAAAAAAAATGCCTGCCGAGAAGTTATCGACTTTTCGGTGCCGAGTTCACGACCAACAGCGCACTTGGCTGTCGAGTGAAAAAAAAAAAAAAGTATACTAAGATGGGGACGGGTGCAGCCGCATTGGCGCACATTCAGTCTAAAACTCGGGAGCGCTAAAAATATTTACGACAGGGTATCACGGGGAGGGGGGCTTTGCCCTTCAAACCCCCAACCTATTCCACATTTCGAAATAAAATTATATATTGTTACTTACATATTTAACAAACAAAATTGAAATAATGAGATCCCATTTTCAGTAATGAATCTTATAAATATAAAACCTAATATATAACCAACAAGGATAGGTAGTTCCTTAAAAATATGAAAACAATTAACATAAACTTACATAATAATATAATATAAATACTGTACAATATTAATTATTAATATATTAAACATAATATAAATCAATACACAATAGTGTGATAGTAATTACTTATCTGATATTTGTGCACTATTTGAGTAGTATGTTTGTTTTATCTAGCTCAAAATCTGGGGGTGTTAAGCGCCCCCTGGCACCCCTGTATGTGCGCCAATGTACAGCCACTGTTATAGGCGAGAAGTCTGGAAGGCAGTAGAGGGAAAATTTAATGTATATCTCTATACGCAACGATTAACCGTTGCTAACGAAAAATGATTCTGAGCAGAGTTTGGTTGATAGTGATGCTTTGTCAACAATATATTTATGTCATATTATGATAAAATAATTATACATGCATTATAATATTCCATTAATTTTTTAATTATTTTCCTGGTTTTTCCGTGTTTTTCACATTAATTGGAAAAACTGGAAAAATCAAAAAATGACCTCCTTAAAGTACTAGCCCAGTCAGATTTCTTTTCAGAAAAAGTGCTACAATTGTACACGGTACAAGATTTTCTGTAGAAAAATTGTTCACAGATAAAAAAAAATAAACATCATCTTGGAGGATAAGATTTCGGGAGGTGTGTTTCATTCAAACGCTAATACGAAATATTGCAGCCTGACGAACTTGGAACGAAATCGGGTGGCGTTAAAATACACATTTTGAGTCAGTTTTCAACACTTTAACCCAATATGCACGGTAAAATTTTCTTTAATGGGAATCCTATTTTCAACACTGTGGATTCGAATGGTCCAATTTTTTTCTGCTTAAACTTTGATCAATACAATTACCATCGATCTCGAAAATCACTCGAGACACTAAAAATAATATTGTTTATAATACAAAAATCCTATATTCCCTTCGAAATATTGTTTTTTATACAATTCATTATAGGAACCTTTACTCTAAATCAAAATTAAGCTGGTTTTACTTATTCCGCATAAGCATTGTTTTTACATGTTACCCGGTAGTTGGACTGACAGTATAGATGCGGGTATAACGTCCTTTTAAGACCGTTCACTCGTCCTTAGAGCATTTTGTCAAAAACGAATTGTGCCTCGGCAATGTGATCGAACGTTTTCTGTTCTTTCATACTTTTCATTGCTGTCCGACTAACCCTCTTTATTTTTCTCCGAATCCGCATTTTCATTTCCTGTAACTTTTTATCATCTTATAAATGACGCGCCACATGTTTCGCAACTATATAATATACTTTAACTATCTACAGTACCTACTTAATTTTTTTTTATCTTTATACCCGGTTTTTTTATTCGCAAGTAATTATCTTTATTGTATTATTACTGATCTTTTTCGGCCATGGCTATTCACTGTCTAATTTCTAATGGACATCTTCCATCACCATATATTACGTAAACGGTAATAATAATACGATACCGTTAGATTTTCAAAATTATTTCGTACAATATTTGTAATTGTGATTTGTCGATGGACTTGTATTAGTTAGGGTGGGAGGGAAATAATATTTTACTAAAAAGTAAAAACTCAATTATTATAACTATCCATCAATATTATTAACTGTGGTCTGTGGACCATATAGAGAATTATTAATTTACGATATAGACGGTTAACTATTTTGTATACATTCATAAACTGGAACGAAGCGAGAAAATTTTGTTTGTATATTACAGGTATTAAATAATATATTTATTGAGAAGGTCGTATACCCTTAAATTAATTTACCGATATGGCCGTTTAAGGGAGAAGAGGCAGTTGAGTGGTGGATTCCTCCTCTTTCCTCCTTCGGTCTATGGCTATTTTGTAATTTTATTTTCCATTTTACTTATGTGAAATAAGTGCACGTGCATGTATACTACGATGAGAATTTCATTTTGTTTTAGATTCTTCTTCTTGGGTACAATGAAGAAGCTAGGTTGTATTATTATACTAAAATTTGTTTTTTTTCTCTCCGAAACACTGTTTATGGTTAGTAAAAATGCTTCGATTTTTGCACACTATACCCTGTAAGATGAGGATTTTTCGCCCGGTAGCATAGATTTCCAATACTGTTTTTCTAAAATAATGAAAACAACCGACAGTAAAATATCTCGATACGTCAAAGATACTTTTTGGTTTTTTGATTGGCCGCAAAATTAATAAGAAACACAGCTAAAATCTTACTGGTTCACCGAGTTTCGCTCAGAATCGTGTATAAACTATCCTTTCAGTGTATAAACTAAACAGATTACCACACTTCCTACGATGGGGATAAGTTGATTACGTTTTAAATTGTCTATAGGTACCTTTATAACAGCGACCTATGGTATGTCCGGCTTTTTTTTTAAATGTTTACGGTGTTTATATCTTTTGAACTGATAATAATTATATTATTGAACGAATATTTCGAACAATGTTTTACCTTTTTTACGTTGGTCTATTTGCCCGTAAGAAATTCTTCGCAACATTTCCTGTCCCGGTGTATAGGTATATGTCTACTCGTATTTATTATAATGCGTCTAATATATTTTATTATAACGTCGTGTTATCGTTGTCATCGCTATCGACTTTTGTGTTCGACTACAAAAAAAAGTGAAACTCACCGTGATAAAAAAAAAAAAAAAAAAATAACCGGGTCTTAACAATTTCATAATTATTATTATTTCTTTTAAATCGCACCGTCACTATGACGAGGAAGAACCGCACCCTCCGTCTACACGAATTTAGGTCAATTATATACACATGTTTTTGAAGATTTATAGTTATTGTTGGAAAAAAATGAAAAAAAAAAAGATTAAAAACAAACTAAAAGGTAAAAAGTATATATGATAATAATAATGGAAAGTGTTAATACAAATAATACTAACATAACTAAATACATTTTTATAAGCTTAGGTCTTTTTTTACGTGTATCGACAGAATTATCCGGAGCACCTCTTATACATTCATTTGTGGTAACCACTCCTCGTGATTGTGTTAGTGCTCCAACAACACGTATGATCTAACTGTGGGTTATTTTAGGCGGAGGATAGACGAGCAAAATTCGTATGGGGCATTTTTTCATATTTTGAGATTTCTCTCCCTCCTCCAAACCAGGGGCGCCATTTCAGTTTTAAAATAGGTTTGTCAAATTTTTTATCACGCTACATTTTTCCACCACTAGACCACAGTTAACAATGAAAATTGAAATGTAATAATATTGGGGCTATTTCTGATTTTAATAGGGATGAAAAATAAATCTGCAAAAAGCTTGTAATAATAAAAAATAGAACCCTATGCTCCCACTAAAACTTGTACTTCTTTGAAATTACAACAGTAATCAGCAAGCTACTTTTTTGTATTCAATATGCCGTTGTGTAATCTAGATTGCACTGCCACCTATAAACCCAATTCAAACATTTAACAATAGCACCTTAACTTAAAATGACTAATACCATACGTTATTTAACTAATCGTAAAAATTGTCCCGCGAAACAAGTAAAACACATCTTTGTAAAACCAATAGTTTCTCCGTTAGAATCACAAGTACCTAATAGAGCCAAACTAAAAACCGAACCACTCTATCTTCAAGCCGCCGGTGGTGATTCCGAAAAAATTCGTATTGCGAATCCGCGAAATGTTTTTATTATACGTTATTGTCACGTCGAAATGTTTTAGTAGAATACGTTTTGAACAGCCGCGTTTACGTGACCGACGATTCCGAAAGCCCAAGGAAAATTTAAGAACAATAATCATTTCGAAATATTAAAGAAATCGTTTGGCAATCGAAAATACCTAGTCGCATTACACATTAATTAATGTAGTTTCGAACGAACGATAGCAGAGTATAATCGATTTTTATTGTACTTACTGGTTGGGCAGTCACTATATACTCGTATTATTATTATACTCTCGTGTATCACATAATATTAGTGTCTCTTGTCCGTTCGATTTCACCGCAAAAATCATCGAACTTGTAATTATTGTTTTCGCGAAAAATATCTCGATGACGTCTATAATAATACTGCACTCGTTATATTGTATACGGAAAAATATATAAAATTATTATTATATATGCTCGTAAAATATACGCGTTGACTTTCTAATCCGTTTTCATAGGCATATTTATTCGATTAAAATCATATATTATCGTGTACGTATAATAATATTATTATATATCTAATAACTCTCGCGGTTTTATTCGATGATTACGAATACGTGTACGTTAGCTGGTGGATTTTGTCCAACATAGCAAAAAAATTTAAAAAAACCCGTCAACAGCAGAGCTCAGTCACTAGAATTTTTTTTCACCTATTTTTATATTATATTTAAATATTTTATATTATAGCCGAATATGTATACTGTATTACGATGTATCGGTATGCTATTATAATACTGTATTAAAACTTAACTTCTCCCGAGAAAAAAAATAAGGTGAAACTAGGACAAAAAAAAAAATGATGGTTGAAAGTTGAAATCGCCAAAAGTCACGTCGTTTGATGTCACTAACGTTGTGTGTTTACAAAATGCCATCCTTCAGCTTCATTTGGGAGGTTTAAAGTAAGGGTATTCAAAACTAAAAAAACAAACAACGTCCTCGCGCAAAAACACGATGGTGAAATTTATATTGAAATTCGAATACTTCAATTCGCCTATAAAAAGCTCTAAGTAAAGAGAAAAATCCGTAAGTAAAAGAGTAAAGCCAGACATGCCCAAAATAAAACGATACAGTGCAATTGTCTAGTACTTTTATAGTAGTAGCCACTGAGTGTACTACTAAATAGGTAATTTTGTCGACTTGAGTTGTATTATTTTGAAAACGTGCGATCCAACTTTAAAGTTACTCGAATTAATTTATGTTTTAAAATTAACTTTATTTTAGCTTATATAGCTTGTTCACGGGTTAGGTTATGTTAAGGTTAAAAAAAACCTCACTCTATGGTACATAGTTACATATTATAATTTATGATATACTCTATATATTATTATGATAGCCTCCGAGAATTTTTAGATCTAGACAAATTTAGATAATATTCGTGGCGTCCATTACAGACCAAACTCAAGCTAACCGAATTCAATATCGAAAATCTCGCACAAACGTGTCGTTACGATGCACATTTCAATCGCTTGTAATAGCATGTGGGCAAGGGCGCTCATAGGGTAATTTTCAGATGGAGGACAAAACGATAATAGATTCCGAAACTATTTCTAGCGTATAGATACTAGGTTGGTTTTGATACTTTGTTATTTTCTAGGGGTACATGTCCCCCTATTGCCCCCCTCCCAATGGACGCCCATACACGCAGGCACTATAGACACTAGACATTGTATTTCAGAGGTATATAAATCTGTTGGGTTAGGCGAAATTACATAGTTATCTGGGGGGAGGGAAGGAAATCCGGATCCCCTCCCCCTCTCCGTAAATCCGCCACTGCGTACGCGGACGCATAATGTAATATAATAATAATATCGGATACTCGTTAATTTCGAACGCTGTATTATTATAAATCGGCCGAACGAAAACGGACGGTGCGTCGAAATGGAAATGGTATACATAGTTATCCGCGGTATACTACGGTGTAATATATTATTTTATCGGTAGGTACCCGTACAAATCTACTAACGTCCGTGGAAAGGAAATCAAAAAAAAACCTCGATGATGCGGTCGCCGCGTGTTATCGAACCGTCGCCGGTCGCAGTCGCCGCCGTTTCGGAGTTTAATTGTCGGCCCACGTAATTGCGGTACAACGATAATAATAATAATAATACACGCGTCGTATTTTCGTAAACGTCAAGACTGTCCGTCCGTCGACCGGAATTATTTTCGATTTTGATACGTTTAAACGGCGGCGAGAAGAAGAAGACGGGGGGGGGAAACTTTCCACCCGAAAATCGCGTATTATCCGGCCGGGGGATTCCGAGACCCCGGGAACCGCTCTCGCGCGGACGACAATAATATTTTAAATATCGACGGTTTTTTTTTCTTTTTTTCTATTATATTGTAACGCGTACGACATACGACAACAACGGTACCGGCAATAATAATAATAATAATAATAATAATAATAATAATAAAAATAACGACAATAATAAACGGTCCGTTATTGTTACGCGACGGCCGATACGCCGCACGAGCGCGTCATGACGTCTATATAATACATTTCGGACGACGGATCCGTCAAAGACGCGGCGATTTCCTCGCGGATCCGGCGACTGTAAACGCCGTCGTGCGCGGAGGATTTCTTCGATGATCCGACGGATTGTACACATCCGCTAATAAATCATAAAAACAGCAACAACGATAACAGCGATAATAGGACGTACTCGCGTTGTTAGTTTATTACCGTAGTCGCGTTTCCGATTTCTATTCCGTTGCGATTTTTCGCGTTTTTCCCCTACATAACCACGCGCCTGCCGCCAGGTGGTCTGAAAAGTGATTTTTGCCGAAATTAATATCATCTTTTATTTATTAGATATTACTACTAAAAACATCATAATATATGTATTAAAGGGCGACAAATCCAAATTTGACATAAATTTATAAGTTTTGAATATATTAACTACTTACCTTCACTTAAATGATCCATTGTGTAACAGTCTAACAAATAACGCGAGTGGCGACAAATTTCAGATAATATTTTATGAACTTTTTACTCATAATCAAACGTCAAATGTATTAGTGACCGTTATTATCTACAGACAGGATACTTATCGTCTTGTATAGGTTGTCCATTTGTCCCCAATATATATATATATATACAAACTCCAATTATAATTTTGTTGTCATCAAAAATTGAATTTCGGTAAGCTAAAATCAATTTTCAGACCACTGTTGCCACCCGCGTTTTTCCTATTGACGGGCCATAATATCGACGGTGTTTTGGTAGAAACGCGCGCAATGGCGCCTAAACCAATACAGTCAAGGGTAGTGGTCACCATCCTTCTTTTAATGGGTAAGTAGCAGTGGATTCATAATGGGTACCTGAGCCATTTTTTTTTTTTTTTATTGAATTGGTCCATATGGAATATAAATTGTGTATGGAGGTTTCTTTTGTAAACGAGGATGGTGGAACGAATGGTCTGCGCCATTGAAAAATCGAAAAATACATATTTGGTATCGAAAATAATCAGAACAATTATGAGCATACATTGGTAAAAGGTCGTATTTAAATGTTGAAAATTAGGTTGGTGATGCTGACTAAAAGATAGCCCTTTTAAAATATAACTAAATTAACGCTGATTTGTTAAAAGGGCGTATACCATATTCAATGCATGCATACTTTGTGTACAAGGTATTATGTGTACGAGAAATTGTACTGTTTTCCGTGAAAAACTGTTTTGCTGTTTTTTTTGTTCCCTGAAAAAAAATGAAAGTCGATAGATACTCTTAATAAAACACCGTCGATATGTAAACTCCTATACGCGAACGACCGTTGAATTTAAATGATAGTGTAATCTCTTACACGGCCCCTGTTTAAATGCTAAAAATATGACGGTGTAATCTCCTATGTAGACCTTATTTTAAATTTTCAAGTCCGGGACAAGTAACGCTTATTGCATGTCAAAACACACTTGTTAGATCAGTGGTTCCCGACCGGGGGGGAGGGGAATTTAGGTACTGCACGAGGGAATATATAGTAATGATGAAATAACGAGAATTTTGTTGTTTTACAAATAGTAAAATTGAAAACAATCATTTATTTTTAGCTGTATAATGTTTAGTATATTAGTTATTTTTTAAAATTTATTTTGTACTACTCACTAAAAAAAATAGGTCGCCTAAACTTTAATAGTCCTAATCTAATTCAAGGGAGGGGAAGGTGAGATTTTTGAAAAATGTATAACGAGGGGCATAGAATAAAAAAAAGTTGAGAATCTACATACTACGAGTGGGTAAAATCGTACATTTTTTTCATAATTTCGGAGATAATTAATATAGTAAAACCACAATATTTTAAAATAATAACCAAAATACAATCTAGGAGACATAATAATTTAAGGTATTGCATCGAATATTCTCAAATGTACCATCCTAACATATTTCACGTTACAATTTTATTAAAATGGTGTGTTACACAAACAAATACAAATAAATGTTAATATAATACGACTGATTTAAAATATTTATTAATGTATCATAATTCACAACTTAAAAGACTGATATTATATAAAAAAAAAACTTATGTGTCTAACATTTTATTTTTCAAATTTTCTATTGTACTACCTAACTTACGTAAAAGTTTACACTATATCCATGTAGGAAATTACAGGTTCCACAGATCTAAGGAAAACATTATTTTGTGTTTTTATTTACAGTGTAATCAATACACGATAAGACATCGCTCATTATTAATTATTATCTCGGAAAGTATTTACTTTTTTGGTATTTTAGATTCAAAATGTAGCGAGGAATGAATTTGTTTAACAATGATGTTTATTGTATATATCCTTTTTTTTATTCTGTGAACAATTTTTCTATTAGAAATCTTGTTGAAGATGTATCAAGTGTAGAATTTTTTCTGAAAAGAAATTTTATTTAAGTGATATTTTAAGGAGGTCATTTTTTAATTTTCCAAGCTGTTTTCAAAATGTTGAAAAAACCGAGAAAAAACGTACGAAAAACGGGACAATTTACGTACTTGTATAAAAGCAATTTCACTCCGAATCATTTTTTCGTATGCAGTGGTTTATCATTGCGTACAGATATAAATTGAATTCCCTTCTATATCCTATTTATCAATATTGTCATCAGTTATGACTAAAGACGGGATTTATATGTTTTTATATATAGTTACTGAGCTTATGCAATCTTATGAGAGCAAGGAAAGTTGACAGTTCATTCAATTCTGAATTCGTCGGACATTTTTTTTTTTGTATATTTGATAATATTTTATGAGTTAAGGAATATTTAGCTTAAAAAAATATTAATTTTAATAATACGGTACTTCGAAAATATATTTTGAACATTTATAATTTTTTTTTTTTTGTTATTTTGATAAAAAGGTGTAGTTTTAGTACCACCTACCTATTATAAGTTACCGTTCACTAAACTAATAGTGGCTAATTTGCAATAATGAAAATTGTTTTCATATTGATAATAACATCAAAATATTTGATTTTCATTAATCATGATCAATTATTCAAATGTCCAAATATTTTGTTTTGCACTTTTCCAATAACATGTAACGTGATTTTTAAGTTTTTAAAAATTAAAGTACTTATATTGTTTTATTTATATTATATTCTTACTCTTACTGAACTGCACTATTATTCTATTTTACTACACAAGTGGAACTAAGTATTTATGAAATTTTGTAAAAAAAAATTTCACATTAAAGTATATATTGATGTTCATTGATTATTTTTCAAACTTCTAAGAGAATACAATGAGAATATTTTTAGATGTTTTAGAGAATATAAGCATCATATTTTAAGTGTTTTAAGAGAATATAAAATCCGGTCTTTAGTTATGACGATTAATAATAATATATGCTATATAGATCTATAACGCATAGTATTTTGGTTATAACAGTTGTAGGAAGTACAAACAAATTCTAAAATATGTCCAGCTGTTATAAATAAACGATGTACCTACTACACAGTGGGGGTATCAGAAAAACCAAAATTCCAAAGGAAACGGGACAGTGTGACGTACGTGTTTTATAATAAAGTGAAACAAATTTAACGTGTCTGCAGGCGAATTGGTTCTATTCTACCGAAGATCCAATATTTCATGCAGACTTTATGTTAAAACGTATAATACATAATATGAAACGTTCTTAATGCATCGTTACATCTCTAAAATCTGAATTATTTGTACATTTTTTGATTGACGAACGGACGGTTTAATGCCGTATTCATTATGTTTATTATATTTTGTTATATAAATTGTTGTTGTGTCCTCTGATTGGTGAGAACCCGTTTTCGGGAGTCTTGGCGGCTATTATAACCGTGCTATTACCCATGCCCTCCCCCCAAAAAGATTTCAGGGCGCGTATATTTTCGTCGGCCAATAGTGAAAACGAAAACACCTGTTTATAATGCATCGTTTATATGATATTGGAAAGCCGCTGCCGCAGTTCGATCGAAACACCCGATTGACGGAAAATCACAACAACAATAATAACTACGACGAGTTCGCCTCGTGGTGTCAACACTTATATACGGGCCACGAGCTGCTCGGCACATTGTAAAGAATACGTCGTCGTAGAAGTCTGTAAATTCTGTAGTCGTCTCTCCGGTGCGCATGACCGGAACAAAATCACTTCGATTTATAGATAATAATAATAATATTATTATTATTATTATGGGCGATGCGAACGACCGACCGGCCGTTGGAATAAAAAATAATATAGACGGTCCATAAAAAAAATAAAGACGTTGACAAAATACGGCGGTGAAAAAAAAAAATATGAAAAAAATGAAAACTCTCGCGTATTGTTATACTCATTTTATAATATTATTATTCGTTTAGGAATCGCCGGAACGGTGTCGCGAGCTCGATAATTATTGCGATGCGAACGATTTCGAGCGACCAAAAATCATTGTAATCTGACCAGAAATTCGATCGAAGTCGCGACGTGCGACGGTAATCACATCTAAGCTAAGCCTCACAGTGTTCTAGAATGATGATTTAGTAGACCAAAATACTGAAGTCATTACATATACGTGTATGTACACAGTGGTGTGCACAGGAATTCTTAATGGGAAGGGGTGTAACAAATAAAAATCTTGAATAAATTTATTACTAAACCAATTCGACTATGGGAATAGGTAATTTAAAAGCTGGATTCTAAAAAAAAGCCAATTTCTAATCAATACATTAAGCTTTTTCTCGTAACTTGGCTGAAATTTAAACATTTCGATATTAGATTACTCATATTTTTTTGTATTTTTAAGGCAATGGGGGAGATATAACCCCTATTATCATCCCCCCTGCACACGCCACTGTATGTGTTTATGTATATGACTCACAATTACTAATGAGATAAGCAGTAATTGTTAATTTCAAAACAAAGATTTGTGACTGGTTTTTATGTTTAGATAAGGGTTAGCACTATCTGAGTTATCTGTTTATACATGATCCGACGGCTTATACAAAATACTAATGTTCTATTCCGCGTATTTCATTGCACGACAATTATATGTTTTTTTTTTTTTTTTACATTAAGATACTTGAAAAAATGTAGTGATTCGAAATTTGGATTTTTCTAACACATTTTATGTCCTCTAAACAATCTGTGATAATTATTTTGCACCAATTTGCATTATTATCAGTTATCACACATTAAGATTACATGCGATACGTGATTGACAGTAATCGAAAAAAATGAATTTATTTTGTGTGTTGCCAATTTTATAAAGTTTTTAAATAAAATTCGTCTTATCTTTATGGCAAAATTAAGTTTTCTCAAAGGTTTATGCGTACAGAATACTTGTGTGTATTTGCTTACTTAAATAATCTGCTAACAGTGGTGGATTTAAGGACTATGTTTTGATGGCCCCTTCTTCGAACATTAAAAAAATTATTACTGAACAGTAAACCATTACTAAATGAAAACGATTCTGAGAAGAGTATTATAAGTCGTATTTTTTCCATTGTTACCAAGGTATGCCGTAAGAAAATTCCCATAAAATTTGTGACAAGAGCAAGATTTCTTAAACAGAAAAATTGTTTATAGATAAAAAAATAAACACATCATAATAAAAACAATGTCTCACTTTGCTCAGAATCTAATATATCGCCGTGTACGTTGTTGTGTTTACATAATATTACAATATGTAGAATGTCTTTTTAGTTTTTGTTTTTTAAACAATTTATCTGCTTTGACTGCAGTATAATATAAAATAGAGTATTTAATTGCACGATTATCGTGCATCGTTTCCTAGACGTGGTGGCGAGAGTATTGCGATCGAACGGTTCGTTAAAACCGATCGTTTTTCTGTTCGAGCACTTCCGTTAATTATTTTCGCTCTCGGGGCCGTCATTATATTATACAGGTATAATAATATAGGTACTCGGTGTATAATGGACAAAGAAAATAAACAAAAAAAAAATAAAATCTATAAAACAAATTGTTCTTTCTATATAAAATCATAGTGATAGAGGTACTGTGCAGTTTATACGATGACGAGCTTCTGGAAGCATATTTACGGACCCTATACAAATATGTATATATATTCTATAAAAGCCTCAGGTGCGATTGGCTCTTCGCGATTGCACGCAATTTTTAAATTTGATTAACTTATAATAACGTTTATTGAAATTGGCCCATTAAAATAAATTAATATTAATGTACTCTTACACCGCTGATAAAAATCATGACTTATGGTACGAGTGTATTGTGAAAAGAAAAACTGTTTTTGTCCGAAAATTATTCGAAGAAATGAAATGTATGTTTGGAACACGGAATGCTAAGTGAAAGTGAAATCCGGGCATTATCAATATAAAAACAAAAATGATTAGAGGCGTTTGGAATTATAGTGCTACAGAACGATGATAAGAAAAAGTTGGACCGAGAGAGAACAACAAAATGAAGAAGTCCTAAATAAAGTAGATAGGTATCGGAATGAAGGATCTTGGTATCTAAGGAAAAGTTCGATAAAAAGACGAAACTCGTGGATTGGTCGTATTTGACTGTAACCCCACTGACGATGAAGCACGAGGGCCTATTGTAATTGATTACCGAGAGAGGGAAGAACCACACACGGGAATACAGACTGGAATATATAAAATGGATCGCGGACGATCAAATAATAGTCAATATTGGAAAGTAAAGGAAACGACAGAAACGGTTGGTGTAAAGGTGCAAAATGATCCGAGGAAAGGAAGATAGATAGAGAGAGAGAAAGAAACAGGGTAAAATAGTTAATTAAATTTGAAGATTCCCGAATGTTATGTGATGGTTACTTTCGAGTATAGCGTACACATTATAAGATCCGTAAATACGCAGCCCGGATGTACATGTTTTATTATAATATTGTAGGCATATTATGTCCGTCAATATATTATTATTGGGTATTAATCGCGCGAAAATGTTGATAATAATATTTTTCTTTTTTTTTGTTAAATTTTACTTTACATAGTCACGCCGCCGAGAAATATGTATTCGTCGTAGGTATATAGACGCGCGATTATTCGTGCATAACTAAAATTAGCGATTTTCTATACCACCGCACAACCTTTATTCGTTGTTTTTTTAATTTTGTTATTTTTTTTTGGTTATAATATACTGTATATTATTATGCGTGTGCAATGTGTATCATATAATATATTATAATATTATAATAGTAGTCGTCGTTTTTACGCGTATGTTTTAGTTTTAACGATAATCGATTATATAGGTATCCGAAACGGGTAAAAATATTATAAAAATGTTATGATTTTTATTGTTCTCTTCGAATTTCCATATAATATCGTTTCGAAAAGTAAAAAACAAATCCCCCGTTTTGACGCTCATATAATATTATCGTTTCAAAAATAAAAATAACCCTATTATTGATGCTGAAATGAAAAAAAAAAATGAGCATACAGTAGTACCTGATTCAGTGGCGTATTTAGGATTTTGTCAAGGACGAAAGTATCGAAATTGCAAATATTTTATAGGCTAAAAAAAATCAATTTTTTATTTACATATTAGTTTATTAATTTAATCTGCCTTAAAATTATCATTGAAATCAAAAAACTCTAAGTATTATTAATTATTAAACGTTTGTTCAAATATTAGGTATACCTACTAACCTACTAAAATAAATAGATGACCTTCAGTCTCTGAAACTCGATAAATGTGCCTGAAATAACATAGAAAGTTAGAATGTTAGACTGGCCATTTGTTTTTGATGTCAATAAAGTCAATACTGATGTTCTTGTTTCTCAGGTAAACAAACCTATAACATTAAGTTGGTGTATGAACTCATTTTGCGTAACTTGGATGATCAAACTTCATAAATTAGATCGCTAGCGAACAAAAACAGATTACAAGAAACAAAAACATTTCTATATTGTTCGTTGATACAGTGGTTGGATAGGTTTGGTTTCAAATGAAAATGTATAGGAATGATTTTAAGTTTTTTTAACATATTGACTAGGTACCAACACTTTTTTGATTTTTCTAACCAAAAAGTAAAGAAATTTGAATTTAAAAAAAAATACATTATCTATTCAATACCATTATTATGTTATTAATATAATATTTACACATAACAAAAAGCTATAGCTATTAATAATTTAGTTTAAATGCCTACTTTCTTCAATATTATAATTTAAAACAATTCTTAGTCAAGGATGTTTTATATATAGCACGATGGGTCCACCACTGTTGTAGGTGTGAATTTAGAAAAATAAATGAGTAATTTTATGTGCCCAATCTGTACGCTACGATGAATCATTGCTAACGAAAAACGATTCTGAGCGGAGTTTGGTTATACATGTTTTGAAAGGCTGTAATGTTTAAGATTTGAAAGTAATACATTTCGTACATTTTCCCGTTTTTTCCATTTATTATGAAAACCCATGAGAAAATCAAAAAAATACCTCCTTTCAGAAAAGGCGCTACACTTGAAAATCGGAGCAAAATTTCTGGTAGAAAAACTGTTCATATAAAAAAGAAACATCATTGTAAAACCAATAAATTCCGCGCTCCACTCAAAATCTAAAATTAGCAATCGTAATGTCCTCTTAATTACACCTCCTAAATACACCACTGATTTGTATATCGGGACAATGTATAGTAACGACATTTTAAAATACAGTCTTGAAGTGAGTTTGTTAAGCTGTTGGAGGGTTTAGCGGGAAATTGTAACAAAGGCCCGGATTCAGTTGTGCACTGTAAAAAATATTAAAGCTAGAGTAATAATAGCAAGACTAAACCACGGCTGTAGACGGAATGGTTATATAACGGTGTATCTTGCGGTAGTTCGCGACCAAAAAAATTCTTGTCAAATTTAAAACAAATTATATTATGCCTGGTAGCGCTTTCAGTGGAATATTGGACTAACTAGACGATTATGATACACAATAATTGGTAAAGATGATTGGCGGGAATTTAAACTACATCACGCCACCATCCACAAGGCAGGGAGTTTTCCGTGGTTTTTCCATAATTTTGATAAGAATCTCTGTCATTCCTTGTAACTCGTTGTGTAACCATTCTATACCGTGTAACCGTGGACTATACACTAACAGTGTTTTTACACTATTATTACATTTGGTCTGGATGACTCGGTAGAGCAGTAAAGAACGCGGATGTAAAATGCGTAGAGCTAATCACTAGATATTTGTAGTCGATATTTCCCTCGAGAAATCGAGTGAGCGTTTTAACGATATCATCGAAACCCGACGGATACATTTTAGTTGTTATATTTTTTCAATTCGCTATCCGTTTGACACTGAAGATAATATAATTTTCTGTCAACTCCCGTAGCGCACTCATTTCCAACGCTTATGCATTCCAATCACTTCCGTGTACGTTTCGCCTTTGGTTACCAGAATGAATCGTTCCTATATAGTATGTACACGAACCCAGAAACGTGTATCTGCTAATAAAGTTGTGCAACATTGTTTTTCAAAACTAATTTTTAATCAAATGTATGTACAGTTGGAAAAAAATAAATGTTTAAATAGTATAACGTATTCGACACAATGTTTGATCCATATAAATTCGTGTCGGTTTTTGCTATGTATATGTATAATACACGCGTAATTGAAATGATTCTAGTTTATAATATTATATATTTTATTGTATCGAGTGAATGTATGCACTATGTTGTGGTGTATATCAAGTAAAAAAAAAAAATAATAATAACAATAATATAGATATATGTACGAAGAAAAAGAAAATGGTGCATATGCAATTATGTGTGAACGGTATACCCACCATCGCGGTTGTATAATGATTTAATTTCTTTTTTTTTTTACCGAGATTTACATAAACATTACGTCTCGGCGGTCAAAATATTAGGTTTTCATTAAACAAAACAACGTTGTTAAACAGTGTGTATATATTAATAATACGAATTTAATCATTATTGTTAACGACAATAAAAATATTGACACGTTACGCGAATAAACTCTGTACAGATTATAAAGATTGGAAAGTGCACATGATGCAATATAATATATACAGTGGAAAATGGAAATATCGAAAAGTCAAAAGCTATTATAAACTACAATAATAATAATGTGATGGTCGTCGCTAAAATTAAATTCCAAGACGCTGCGTTTAAGAGGTTGTTTTTTTTTTTTTTTTGTTAATAAAATCGGTGACGAAAACAGCGATAAAGGGCGACGCGTTTTAAAAAGATCGTTGTTACGATAAATTAAAACCATTACGGGAGATTCGAATAAAACCGACCACGGTGGCGTTAGTTTTCAAATGAAATGAAACGCGTAACTATAACGACTTCGGCCGATTCTGCGCCTTTTCGGATTATATGTGTAAACGTAATCATATTCGATAAAACTTACTTTTCATATATTACGTACGTTGTGGATACACGGTTAATAGACATCTCAAACATAATATTCTATGCACAAAAGAACAATGAATCTCTTATGATAGTACAAATCCATGCGAAATTCAACGACGTACTCGTCATACGATCTCGACATTACATCGGGCGTCTTTTCCGTTTTCATCTGACAAAAGTGATTTGTCGTATACGAGATTCGAGAATGTTAACCCCCTGGTCCGCCATTTCGTGGTAATAGTAATTATTGCGATACGGGTGATAAATCTCTCTCTCTCTCTCTCTCTATACGTTCATATATAACCCTTTATCAACATCTGATATTATCATAATATATTTACGTGAATACGCGTGATGAGATTCTCATCCACACAAATACGGCGGAAAATATAATACGCGGTATACACTATTCTATAATAACCCGCGAGTCTGACCCCCCGCGACGAAGTTCATCGGTGGTGTTTCCCCGCTTCCAACACTCGTCTGTTATACGTGTAGGTGTATTGTATTACGGTAATTAAAAGAAGTAAAAAAAAAGAAAAATCGGATGTCGGAACGTCGCGGCCACGGAACTGTGACTTGCAACAACCGATAATATTCAATACCCCGCGCGTGTGTAGCCGGGAATTTTGTTTATACCTATGTATACTGTATAATACACTTCGGTCCATGTACGAAAATTATTCGTTTAAATTTTATTTTATGTAATTAACTATTCTATTTGAAGCCTCGTGATTAATAACGCGTGAATATAATAAAATATTGTTATGTACACGGAAATCCGTGTTATACATCATAATCGCGTGAATGAAAATCCTTTTATTTCCCGTGACGGATAGGTTTTTCGAGTAGGTATAATCGGTAACATTTTTAAGTGTCGCTTCGCAGAAGGTCGTTACCGCAGGACCCCCTCGTACAAGGCTATGTAAAAGTTCCGAAACTCGGACATTTTTTCGAAGTCCGGTAATTTTCACATTTTCAGAAGTATATAATACGTTCGGAGGAACTAGGACACACACTTACAACTATTTACTATATCGCAACACAATTTTTAGCTGTGTACTATGTGATTTTCCATTCCGATCATACAATAATCTATAGGCGTGATGTCTACGGGAGAAGCACGGCGAACAACTGCTTCCCCGGTTACCTGATGGAAGTTTTAATAGAATTTTTGGGGAAAAGAAAACCGCAATTGACGTTACAGGTGCGTTGTGTTCGATTTTTCATCGTCGTTAAGTTTACACCGTACACAACCAATCGTGTTTCAAACGCAGCGAAAAATCGAAACCGAAGAGGCCGTTTCAAGTTTAAAACATAAAGTTGCTTACACCGCTCTTTGTACTCGTGCTGTTATTGAGGTTGACTTTTCGATCGATTGTCGTTTATAATCAACGTTAATTGTTTGCGATCAATATTGTCGTGTGATTAGCGACTAACGACGCGATCGGTGTCTGGGTATCTGGACACACTCTTTAAACCCATTAACGTTTGACAATCACAATTTTTATATACGATTCGTATCTGCTTATGTATAATACGCGTTTTTTTCGGTCTAACGGACCTCGGTAGCGGGAATAGTCAGGAATAAGTTATAGAGGCGGGAGGGACTGGGAGATTTAAATTAGCCGTCGGACACCCGTCTCGAAAAATTCCTATGTAGTGGCGCCGCTGTGCGCGATCAAATGTTTTTCGATAAATTGACGGAACACGTCTACGCAAAATTACTACAATAAAAATATTTTTAAGAAAATGTGGACAACTAAAACAGACTAATACATACGGAGCTATAGATAAGGTTAAGAACATTGTGGCCTGCCTAAATACCCCCCAGAACCCCTAACCCTCCCCCATCCATTGATAAATCCTGGCTGCGCCACTGTACGTATAAACGTGTTAAATATCAATACCTGATATCTTCATGTGTACAGACATACACAGGTGTAGGTAAATTTCAGCGTGTACCGAGTATAGCGGTCGTATTTTTACGTAATTTTTTACGTTTCGCATTATATATGTACACTCGTATTATAATATAATATAATATTATTGTACCCTAAACGTGTGGTGTCATTGCTGTATATCATATTATATTATTTATACGGAATAATCTTATACTCGATTTCCCTTTTAATTTTCGATTGTTCTTTTTTCTTCAACCGTTTTATTATTATTATTATTATCATTCGTTTTGAATGTAATTGGAATCTCGTTTACACCTGTATAATATCTATCTATATACATATATATTTATATATAGGTAGGTACGAAAACGGTCGCGCGACATATTGATGCACGAAATTCGATTTCACGTGTTTTGCAGCTGTATATTATAGCGGCTGTTATTTTTCTTTCTTTCTTTCTTTCTTTTTGTCTTTCTTTTTATGTCACATCTATAGAGTAGAAAAAATCAGTAAAATAACAAACGTCGCGCGACACTCGACATTATATTTTTTTATTTATAAAATAGTATGATTTGTCAACAATTATTATTATATTATGCTGCAATATTCTATACGCGTTTAATATATTATGCACTCTTATAATATACTTACGCCTATATAATATACAATCGTACGAAACTGCAAAAATTATCTACTCACTTGTATGACATCATGTGTGTGTGTGTGTGTGTTCAACAATAGGTATTTGGTTATGTGGTCCAACAATTTAAACGATCCATCTAACCGTTGTGCAGTGTCGCACACCATTTGAGGGTTCAGCGGTAGCGACTGCAGAATTTTGGACGGGTAGTCGTACTGGCGATACCATAAAAATATCTCTTTAATTTACGTAATATGTTAGACATTAAAAAGAAATCAATTATTAATTGATAATTAAAGAATATTATAGCTAATAAGCTAATGCTGATTTGGTGCGATTTTTTCGAGGGGGAGAGAGGTTGGATTGCATATTAACCATTCTATCGGCCTCAACAATTTAATTTCGAGTGTACGTCACTGCAACCATTGTAGTACATTATGACTATTTAAAAATTTTAAAAATTCATTAAACCAAACGATTATTGTACTCGAGTAAATAATGAAAATATATTATAATAAGGGTATATAAATATCTCGATTGTTTTAATTTTATCGAGTACAAAAATGATCTCGAATATTCAACGTTATTGTAAATTACTAATTGCGAACGAGTTGCAACTTATTATTTTTAATAACTGCTGTTGTTATAATCGAATAACATTTAAATATCGACATTTATCGGTGCTGAGCATTTTTTCGGTGAACATCCATTGCGTGTACAACACCCTCTTCCTTAAAAAAGCTTCACAAGCAGATATATCGGACCTTTCCCTGAACGTTTAGACTTTCCCCGGTTGCCTCCTCTTCCCATACGTAAGAGTATTTTCCCACACATAAAAGTATTTTCCTACACGTAAGAGTATTTCCTAAATAAATAATATTTTGTTACGAAATCTATTAGTTCAATAATGTATCATTTATTTTCTAGTGAACACACAGTAATCAAAATCCTACTATACTGGATGTCCAATAGACTTTATTATGTGTCCATAGGTTTTCTAAACCTCTTTAAAAAATACATTGGGAAAATTAACTTTCAGGAATAATGGCATTGGGAAAATGTGTCTTCGGGGGAGAAAAAAAAAATTGGAAAACGGTTTCCCCGATTTCTCAACATATAATTACATATTATCATATATTTTGTCAAGTACCTACCACCCATAAGTGGGTACTTATACTTACTTCTGTATAATATTTTCAGCTACATATACCACTATAAATGTTTTTTTTTTTTACATAATTGTTATTATTTTAAAGGTCATACCGAACATTTCACGTTTGATAACACAAAAACCGAAGTTACCTCGATAGCCTTATCGTTTTATTCCGGTCTTTTCGCTTATAACGGATGGTTAGTACTTACAATACCTATATAACTATATTGTTTACATAATATACAATTTTTTGATTATTATTATTATTAATCCTTAAAGCGGCGGCGGTTTCCTTATGTTTGATAATAATTTATTTAGACGCAAACGACCATTAAAATACTGCAGTGTATATGCGCATGCTACAAAAAAATTATAAATTACATTTAGGTGCCCGTAATTTATACATATATATATACGCATAACGTATAGATACACAAATAATAATTCAGCATGTAATATTATTATGATGGGCGAAACATTGCGTATATATATATATTATGGTCATGTATATTGTAATTGAATATTGCTCGAATACATATATTATGTTATAGATATAGCCGCATAGGTTATAATACATAAATGTAGATTGAGAAATAGGTACACGTATAATATACAGGTATATGTGCGCGTTCTTGACAAAAACGTGTGTATTATTCAATGAACGGGGGAAAAAAATCAAAATCATTTGTTCGTGCGATTTATCTGCAGCAGAAATCGCAACGAAACACCTGTATAATGCGACGACGCTAGAAAGTCTTAAAATGTATCGCGTGCATGAAATAGCTGGCGATTTGGGTTATTTTTCCGACGGCCAACGGGTGTATACGCAAAAACGCTCGCCCGCAATAAGGTATATTCGAATTTTTTTACTTCGAGACGTTATCCGATTCTATACAAATTAATACGTTTAACCCCTCCCCCACCATACAGATAATATATTATTCTAACGTCAGGGATTTTCGCCCATAATATCGAATATTTCAATTTTAAAATTTCGTTTTAAATCGTGGTAAAAGAATACGTGTGCTGTCTCCTTCTTACAAACGTTCCACATAGCAAATTCGCGTTCAGCAGGAACGGCTTTGAGCCGTTAGTATCGACATCAGAATGAATCGAACTTTCTTGGTCTCGGCCCAAGGTCATACCGTTAAATATCCTCTGCTACTTATCTACATTGACTGTCTATTTTGGATGCACTAATTTTACATCTCTCTAAACACAGTCTCTTCATCCCACCCGTGATCTTTCCAATAGCCTATTTCCAGTAAAATTTTCCTCAATCACATTTTTATCATCGAACCATGAGCCCAGCAGGCGTTTCCCGTTCATAGCAATCTTCTTTTACTAATGCCTTTATTACATCTGGGCGCTGAAACAGGTTCGTCGTTTTGAAATTTCCTCCATTCACTTATGTGAAAATCAAATAATATTAAATTATGTAAATAGAATTGACCAACTATCAAACTTAAGTACATTATCTATGCAATTGCGTAGGTTTACTCTCGATATTTTTTTTCAAGCGAGATATAAGCATTTTTAAACTGTCATATTTTACATACTATGGTATCTCGCTCAAAATCTAAAAGTTAAAAACCACAAAGTTGTCCGTGCTTAACGCAAATTTGCCATGTCGTACGTTTTGTCAAACGGAGATAACACACGGGGGTACCATGTCATCCTAATGGTTAATGATAAAAACATATCGTTTTGTTGTTGTTGTTGATTATTTTTTTTTTTAAACAAGCCGATTTTGTATGCGGTAATGCTTATAATATACTTACTATGCATGTGTCCGCGGTTTGAAATGTGTATTATATATTTGCGTATTTTGTTTTGGGGGGTTATGCAATTCATGCTTTACTGTATAACATTATAATATTATATTGCATGCGGTTACGATAATATGTTAACACATCTTGAAATACTATGAGTATCATAATCATTTATTATTCAAAATTACAAAGATATTTATTGTCATCTGGCATATATTTATAATGAATATGCATGAACGTATTTTTAGATGCAGAATTTACATCGTGTTTTGTTTTTGCAGGAACTATTTGAACTTTGTGATCGAAGAATTAAAGGATCCAATACGGTTCGTATAACATATTTCACAACTAAAGAAGCCGTTAAGGGGCTTTCACACCAAATATTTGATTTCCAGAGACGTATTTACATTTTTGCCACCCCCTCGTCAGTAGTGGACAAATGATTTTTTCATGGGAGGGGGATTAGGAAATTTGGCTGCCCCTGGACACTGTTCCTTTAGCGCCTTTTCATAGGAATAAATTTGCCGAACAAAACATTGGCATTTCGAGCTTATACTTTGCATTTTGTAAATGCATATTTTATGTTCCTAAAACACGCATATTTTAGGCCGTGCTGAGCGACTAGGTATAAACTGCAGAATGAGGTTAATACTTTAAAAAACCTACTATTTACTATTTCTTAAAAAATGATGACGTCTCTTGTTAAAATGCCCCCTTTTAAAATATAAATATTTCCCTGTTGTTTTCTATGTCTGTTTACGCGTAATAGAATTTCAACAAAGGTATTCCGTATCACTTCCATGATTGTTATATTCTCTGATGGTGCTGAATTTGGGGCAATATAATATACTATCCCTTAACCTAATATAAAAAAAAAAATATTTTTTAATGCAATTAATTAACATTGGATAAAAACAAGGAATATTAAGTTGTAAATTAAAAAACGCATATCTTGATAAAAAATGAAAATATAAAAAAAATAATTACAATGAACAACTACAGCCCGCGGGCTAAATCCGACTCGAGATCATTTTATTAGTTTTATTAATAAAATATTAAATCAAAATTGAAAAAAGAAAATAACACCAAATTTCAAATTTAACACTCACATTAAAAAAAGACATGTTTATACTTTACATTTTTTTCTCATTTATAACGATTAGTTTAAATTCCCTGCTCGCCAAAATTTTTTTTTTATGGCCTTCTGTAAAAAGAGGTTGATCGCCACTGGCTTAATACATATTATAATTATAAGTAATACGACAAAAAAGATAGGTATGATCTCTGCAGTGTGTCGCGTTGTCATTTGGTACGCGTATCTCTTCCACGTCTAGTCTATATTGCAGTTTTGCATTTTTGACTAGTTTGTCGGTTGGTTGATTGGCAATATAGTGGTAATGCAAATGATATAGTCAATAAAAAGTGGAAAACTCCGATGCAGGTGATGTGATTTGAGAGGGGTGTGCGTTTTCGAAAAACTGTGATCATACATATCGAATTTGTTGTTGGTAAATAATACTTTTCTGTATAAAATGTATAATATTGGTCCCATGCCCTAAATTCGAGACCAGAGAGTCATGGTAGTGTAGAATATGGATAACCTCTTTTGGTATATTATGCGAAAAACGGACAGAGAAACCAATAATGTTGGTGTGCAGACTTTCAGATCGTCGTAAGATAGTTTGATAATTCATTGTTAGTTTTTTTTTTTTTTCAGAAATCTGCCGAAAGCGATTGCGATATCGTGCATACTTGTCACAATCGTGTACGTTTTCACTAACGTTGCTTTTTATACCACTTTATCGCCCCGAGAAGTCCTTACTTCAGAAGCTGTTGCTGTGGTAAGTGAAATTACAAAAAAAAAAAAAATAATAATAATAATTTAAAAAAATATGAAATCTAATACAAACTTAAAAATTTAAATTTAAAATTATACGATGTATAAATAAAACAACATATTATTATATTGTACTGTTTTTCTCCCTTAAAATTTGTTTTGGCCAATCGAACGCTATAAAACTGATAAATATAAGTACCAATAATATGTGCATAATTTCTAAATACATTTTTTTAACGACGTTTTCATTGTTTTTTGTCTGTAGACATTTGCAGAAAGGTTGTACGGTCCGATGGCGTGGACAATTCCCGTATTTGTTGCTTTGTCTACATTCGGTGCTGTAAACGGTATTCTACTAACAAGTTCAAGGTAAAAAAAAAAACAAAACTGTGATACATTACATTATATTTTATCGAAGAAAAAAAAAAATAAACAAAATGTTAAGTCCGGACAAATTGAAAAAAAAAAAAAAGCCTAGCTACTATATTTGAGTTACAACACTAAAAAATGATTAAATATTATCGTTAATGTGAGCTGTAAAAACTGCAATAACTTGAAACGCATCGAACGTCATTACCTAAGTACGGTACATATTGTACAAAATCTTACAATTTATAACATGGCAATAATAATCGAAAAATCCGATAAAATAGTATAACAATGTTCGAAAAATGCTATTACATATGTATATATATTGCATGCATACCTCTATTTCACAAAACTTAAAGAATCGTTTCATTGTTATTATTTTTTCCTTGCTTTCACTGTACACAGTGATGAATCAAAAGTGCCCGTACAAATGTACGTGTACCAGTGATGTTATTATATTTTGATACACGAAATTTTTCACGATCATGCACGGACGCGTTAATTATATAGGAATTTTTGTATTTCGAACGTTTCCTAGTCGAGAATTGAATTCCAATCGTTACATAATATACATATCGCTGTATCAGTATCACGGACACGAGACGGAATTTTTTTAGAGTTCGGATTTGCGAATGAGCAGCTGAGCATAATAAATACGGAAATAATGTTTCGGAGGTCGAATTCGAAATTATCAATCGAATCGATAAAGTGTAGATAAGTGACGCATAGCAATGAAATGATAGGTGATAAAAAGGTGCCGTTAGGGGTAAAATGGAAATTCGATAAGACTGTTGGTGGTTAGGTGCAGATTCTCACGGAATAATGGCGGTGAGGCAGGCGACGAAAGAAGATAACATAAACGTTTTTTTTTTTTTTTGTCGTGTTTTGATACACGTCAGATCGATAATGACGTCCAGTAGTTATAGGTTAGATAAGGTTAAGAGGAGTTATACTCGTATATGGTGTGTCCGGCTTACCAACGCTCGGCATGGTAATGTTACGTTACTTAGAACAGAAATATCTGGTTTACACGCATGAAATTAGAGTTAACAACAAATAACGAAATTTAAAGAGGAACGTATTTTCGAAGGTTGTACGTAGCTTTTTTTGTAAACAGTTATCGTACAATAAGGTTGTAGCCATGTTAGTTTATTTATTTTTTTTAGCTGCAACTTTTTATTCGTATAACAATTTTTATGAAAAAAACTGCGTACAGTCATCGAAAATATTCATCTCTTTAAATTTTGCTATTTGAGTTTAACTTTCTAATTTAACTCTTCTAATTTACACCTAAACGCCACAACTAATGTGCTTGACGTAAGGGCTGTTGCTCGTTGGTTCGACCAGTATTATTTTACCATTTACTGTTTAACGAAACAGTAAATGGTAAGCGGGTAAGCGTTCTTTCAACCTGACGTTTACAACATTATGCTTTTTAGATTATTCTACGCTGGTGCTTGCGAGGGACAAATGCCGCAGATTCTCACGATGATCCAAATCACGCGACTGACGCCCACCCCGGCGGTCATATGCATAGTACGACCTATTTTAATTATTATTATTTTCTTATTACCGTGATATGATTTGTCTTTACACGTGTGTGTAATTTTTGTTGACATTCACAGTGCCTGTTGTCGTTGATATATTTGCAAGTGTCCAACATTTACGCACTCATCAACTACGTGGGATTCGCGACATGGGTACGCACATTATTTACTTAATAATTAATCATTATTGTATAACGCAAGGAATTAAAAATGTATCGGAACCGTAACCTTCAAGCTCCTCTTACTTAAATCGCCAAAAATCAACCAAACTCTTTCACGAATTTGAAAGTAATCACACGACTTATTATAGAGTCCGGCAGAGAACCTTTTTTTCTACTCGTGAACATAGCGTGTACCCTTCCACCCCTCAAATCAAATATTATACTGAAATCGTGTCGTTTCTTTTCAGTTGAGTATAGGAGTGTCCGTCTTGTGTATACCGTGGTTGCGTTGGACCCAACCCGATTTGCCGAGGCCGATCAAAGTCAACATATTTTTCCCTGTCATCTACATTGCTGCCACGCTTTTCGTGACGGTGATTCCGATAATCGCGAGTCCAAAAGAAACAGGTATGTAGACGAAATTATATTTTAAACAACACGGTTTTATACACTGACTCAAAAATTGTAATGTAAGTACGTGATCCACTAAAACTGTAACATAACTATAGTGATGATCGAACCAAGACCGTGGCCAAGACTCGGCAGTCTTGATCTCCTTCTTATTGTTGCACACTCAATATTGGTCTCGGTCTTGCAGGTATTATATTAGTAGTATAGTTTCAAATACACTGCACGGGGAGATGATCGGCAAATTAATTTTAATTAGTTCGACGAGTTTAAATATCTATACAATAAACAATATGTGTGATAGTTTGTTGGACGTTGTACGCCCTCAGCATCAGCAGGTTGAGGTTGGGCTCGAAAATAAGGGTCGATTTCATACTACTACAGGTCTGCGACGGGAAAACATTTTCTGTACCTAATTTTCAAACAATGAATCGATTTTCCAACTTAACCTTTCCTAATTCACTGTTGAAGTTGCTGGATGCGTTTTGTGGGTTTTGTTTAATATTTATGTAATGCCGAGCATGCACAGTGTACACTATAGACTATAGCACTACAAACTTTAACGGTTAATAAATTCTGAAATTCTTTCCAACTAGTTCCACAATAAAGTGCAAACATTTTCGCTATATACAACGGATTAATATTTCTAATGAATAATCTGAGTTATTTCCGCCCCTGAGTTTTAATCGGAGCGCGCCCCCATACCTCGGCCACTTGAAACGCCTATCGGTTCAAAAGCGGTGGAAACGTTTCAATATTTTAACAGTTGAACGTTTTAATCTTCAAGACAATAGAAATTACTGTTATCTGCAGCCATAAAATAGAACGAACGGCAAAATACGGTACGCCACGGGCTTTATTGTTGCCAACCGCCACTACAGCTCGATATTAATGATATATTTTGTAAACAATATCGCCTATCGTTTTTCCACTCGTCCGTTACATTACATTATTTTTACCAAACTATGTAATACGATACAATATGTTTGAAAATATATTATGAAATCTGTGCGCATTATGATGTTTTCAGGATATGGTTGTCTGATGATATTGACCAGCATACCGGTGTATGCGGTGTTCATATTCTGGAAAAACAAACCGGGAATGATGAATAAAATTGTCGGTAAGAAACATGAGGAGGAGACGGGAAATTTCGAATTAACTCTCACAAAAGTAAAAAAAAAATGACCTAGTCTTATTGTCGAAGGCGAAAAATTTCCATTTGAAAATTATTACCTGCTATAGTTCTTTTTTTTTTACTATTTCTGAGAGTAACTATCTGAAACTTCCCCTTATCACCCGACTGCTCCTATTATATTTTTGATCTCGTACAACAGGACCTAAAAAACCTACGATTCACCTTCGAACACTTTTAAACTCGAAGATAGAAATAACAGATTTCCATAAACAAAAAAAAATCCGTGGGGACGTAGCTCTTTATACACTACTTACCTTACACATTTATATTATTTATAAAACGTTTAGAAAAATTAAATATAAGTTAAAGTGTAAAAATTGTACTTCCATAAAACAATTTGAAATTAACAACATGTATTGGTTAGAGTGAGATCATTAGTTGATTGTTTGTTGTCAGCTTTACTATTGTTTCTACAAGAATTACATTAGTATAAGATAGGTACGTTATAAAAATTGGTACCTGTACACATTTGTAATTTAGGGGACGCACTTTTTTAGGCCCTGTCGTACACTCAAATCGTACATACGATAATATATTATTGTAATTTACTTTTTCGCAGGACTCGGGACGCGGTATCTGCAAATACTTCTGATGGTGACAACGGCGAAAAAACCGGACACGGTTTAAAAACCGCACGACCATAATAAACCTACAATATTATAATAATATATCCGAGTCATAATAATAATATAGTCAACATAAATATTATTATAAAATAAAAATACGAACTACCCCTACCTATATAATATAATACGTTACGATATCGCAATAATATAACTTTACTCGCATAATAATAACAATAATACAATTATTATATTAGGTCATTTTTTTTTCTCTATAGTATCACTCGCCGCCCCCCCCCCGTAGTATTACGTACCTATATTATAATATTGTAATCGCGCGTGATAGGTATCAATAGGAAAAAAAAAAAAATCATTCAAATCGGTAGTATTTTTATGAGTAGACGTAACGATTTATTATTGTAAAATATATTTATAATTTACCGTACCCCGCATTAAAATTGTGAACACCGTTCGGACCGTACGACCGCAGTAACCCGCAGCACCGCGTAGCGGCGTGACTGCGTATCCTGCACAGCAGCCGGAACAGCGCGTCAAGTTATGCGCGGCCCTTTACCGCATTATAGACACGAAAAAGGTGAAGTACCCCCGGTACAGCCTTAGGCCCGTTCTCGCCCACGTAAACGTTGATTTTTAAACGGAGTTTACGAGATAATCGACCAATCGTGGTCGGTTATCGGCCGTAAACTCAGTTTAAGAATCAGATAAACGCTTCTTTTTTTTTTTTTTCTGCGTAGGTGAGAACGGTCTTTAGTCGGAGCGCCCGATTCTCCTGGGCTCTGGTCGTTTTTAGGTTTTGTGCAATTCCACCGCATCTGTTTCGCGGAAAAAAAAAGAAAACTCCACGCCGCCACGCACGTACGCGCACTAATACGACCCCCGTAGGATCTTTGAGTTTCCGGGGCTCGAACCCGTCGGCGGATTTATCAATCGCCGACTACACCTGTTTACTATATTTCTCAGTCGTGATTTTCGGAAGGCTATAATGGCTATACACGCATAAGGTATAACAAAGACAGATCGTCATAACCGCCCCATAATAATATGCCCGTAGATAATAGACGCATCGCGTACAAGACCATAGCGTACCTGTATCGGCCGTATCTGTGTGTACGGTTCGAACGCGTGTTTTTTTACCGACGAATTTATTATGATATACTTACAATACTGTGCATCTACAAAACAAATATCGTGGCGAAATTAATATCGCGACGATAACTGGCGACAGTGCCGCGTTCCATACTATGTTCTTGGTCCGCGGGGAAGAATGGCTCGAGTCGATTTACGCGCATGGTTTTCGACGTACCGGCGAATCAAACTTTTGAAAGCTGCTGAATGATGTACGCGTATAATAATGGCTACATTTCTAAACGGTTCAGCTTGAATGTGGCTCGAGTCGTAAATGACATAAATCCACAATGCGATCGTGGCCACTTGAGATGTTTTAGTTTTTAGCATACCTACAACAGCGTGTTTGAATACGCGTACCACATTTAGACCGACAAATAGAGGGAACGAAATGGCGAAACGATAACGATTAAAAATTGAAGAAAAGAAAAAAGGCCGAAAATCGACCAGCACTTCTTTCCGGGGACCACAGATACAACACCTATACAACAATACACGTTGAACGCGATATTGTTATTATACATTTATACCGCATCAGTATTCGAAAAAAATGACAATAATTATTATATTACGATTTTAAAACTTTACCTGATAACATTGTAATAATATATTGTGTACGTTTTGTTATTGTTATTATTATTTTTTTTTTTTAAGTTTTAATAATTTTTACAAGGTTGGACAAGTCATAACGCATATATACGGTTAACTCGGTTACGTGAAGTATCCTGAATAATTCGAAAAAAATAAAAAGAATAATAATAATAATAAAACAATAACGGTTACCTAACGAGTTGATACGGTACATAAATTTCTAAAATCGTTACTGTCACCGTGAAAACGATTGGAATTGGCGACCCAGAGTCGGCGGAATTTTTTTTTTCTCGAAAACATAAGAACGGTCGACGGCAACTAGGGGAAGGCGGTTTATCCGGGGAACATCGGATTATACCAACTTGGATTTCGTACATTACAATATTTCACTCGGTCCGTACAGACCGCAGTGGATTCGATTTTCCGTGGACACTAAACGTAATCGAAATTAACTCGGAAGTTACAGGTATAATTCAAAATCAACTCGACTTCAAAATTTTCAAACCGTTAATGTCCGGCCTCGAGTTTTTGTTCCGATCAACAGGCGGTTTGTAATAATAGGTGTATTATAGGTGCACACTACGGTTGTTGAGCGTAGACGATATTAGCCTGTGTTTTTTTTTTTCAATATTTATCATTGAAAAAACAATTTTAAATCGTAACAAGAATAGTCTCGTAGTTTTTACTTTTAGACGATTTTTCCGGGTTTAAATTGAAATTTTCTCGTTTTGAAATTTCAAGACAAATGACACGTCCCCGATACAGAATGTTAACGAACAATCTATATAATGTAATTGTGTAGTATACATGGTGACACGGCAAAAGGGTCTAAGCGACACGGCTTCGCTGCTATTGGATGGAGAAATACGAGTTTCGTCTGTTTCTAGAGCGTGCGAAAACAGCTGGGACCATTTTTTTTTTTTTTAACGAACAATGCGAATTTTAAGTTTGACGTATAAACGACACTTTTTATTTCGCCTTTTCAATTATTAGGGTCTAAACGACAACAGAAGCTAATTAACAATGCGTATTCATATTAAGGCCGTACAAAAAATTTACCCACTTTTTAATTTAATTTGAGATTCGATTCTCCTGAAAGCTATGAATTGTGTCGCATAGACACGACCTTTTGCCGCGTCACCATCGATACATGATAATTATTGTGAACCGCATGTTGCATTTTTAAACTGCCCTTTTCCGCATTATTAACGTGAATAACGAATAATATGAATTATTATATATCATTGTACTTCCATTTAAAACTTTTTTTTTTTTAATTGTTGAAAAATCAATTATTTTTGTATATGTTTTTGACTTTTCGTTTTTTATTGCACAATCGAGTACATTAAGTTTTAATAAATATATATTATAATACATTTTGTTATACTTATACACAACATATTTTGTTATGGATATTATAATTATTAATGTTTTTGTTTATATAAGTTGTTACTGATGACTTTTGCGGTCTCAGTGAGTTTAATTTTGTGGTAAATACATTTTTTTTTTTTCCATGTTATAATAATATTGTACCCACCCGTCGCGTGCGTATTTGTATTTTTTAAGTTTTTCTACCGTGCTAAATAATAACAATATCGTTACGTTAGCGTCACCTACCTATATAATAATGTTATCTACCTCTAGTATATTATTATTGTATTTTATTTTTTAAATTTTAAACGAGTTGGTTTTTCAAATTTTTAGTTTTCCGTTGATATTTGTGTTTCGACGGTTTTAAAACGAATATCTTTATATTTTTTACGTTTCTGTCGCTGTTTAAAATAATATTATCTACGCTATATATACCCCAAACGAGTCGAACGTATCTTCCGGTCAATAATATACTCATTTACAATATCTACCCGTTATACATAAGCATTTTAGTTTATTAACTATATAAATACCTACACATATTTCATATCTGTAATAAAATTAACAGTTTCATAATGCTATTGTTATGTATATATAAATTTATAATACAAGGATGTACCTACTAATATAATTATTGTACAAAGGCTTCGTGTCGTTTGGCCACACCAAAGTCCCAAGTACTATTGAAACGACATAATCGCAGGGGCGCGTAGATTTCTTTACTATTTGCTAATAACCTAATTGTCATTCTTGGATGTAGTTTTTTTCTCAGTCATTATGGCCAATTGTCATCGTCTGGGTCTCTGACTGACGAAGACGTATCGATTACCTACCTACTTATTATAATTGTATTTGTAAAAAATACAATTATTTCATTATGAGCAGAACTATAATTGTTGCGCACCCTTATGATAATTATCGAGTTTGAATTTACGACTAGATACTCGTATGTAATAGACTTATCGACTACCTATATTATTGTGTTTAAGACGTGTGACAATATATAATATTATGAAACAACAATAAATTATTAATACCTAATTATACCGCTTGTTTGTATAATTAACATATGTTTACAGAAATTTTTTTTTTCAAACAATGAATTACAAGATCGAATGTAATTGATACAATAATATAAAATATACTATAACTCAAATATTATAATATTATATTTGTTTATTTGTTTGTATAAAAAATATTTTTGAAAGTTCAATAACATGTGAAAGTATAAAAATATACTGAATACTCTAGGCAAACTGTGGCCAAAAGTCATCTGGGCTTGTACACAAACACGAAAAAAACATTTGATTTTATTGACAAATTTTATCATGTCACTAGAAAATTGTTTACATTTTTTAAAAAAATTACAGTTTTGAACAGAATATAAAGTTTTTATACTTATTGTTATGACCATAAGTAAAACTGGACAATTTTATTAGAACAGGCTAAATGATGAATATGAAAAAAATGTTTAGAATTTAAAATGTAGAAATTAAGTTTTTAATTTTAATTTCAAATTCTTTTTAGTTAGTATTAGATCAGGCCATGATCAGACTGCCCTGACTCATAGTTTTGCCTATTATTATGAACAGGGTTCAGGACTTCAAGCATTTGCTTATTTTTTTGGCTAAAAATAAAATCTAGCAGATTGCTACAGAAATTAATGTCATGTTACAATAATCTCAAATATGAAAATTGAGTGTTTTTTTTTTTTTAGTTTTTCTGATTATTTTTTATTTTTTGTATGTCTTTGCTTAATTAAGACACGTGCCACTAACAAAAACCTAAACATTTTGGCTGATGACTGTTTTAGATTCTGAGTGAAACAAATTTTGGTTCTTTAATTTAAAAAATATTAAAAGATTAAAATAATAATAACGTACCAATAATAACAAAAATAAAATAATAATATGTTTACCAATGATAACTTTATTTTTAATCTTTTAATGTTTTTTAACCTAAAGAACTAATTTTTCATTGTTGTCGAGAAAAATCATATTTCATAGAAACTATAGGTTTAATTGACCTATCTTCACTCAGAATTGTTTAAAAAACTTGAAATTTATAATAAACATAGCTATAAGAAGTAAAAATGTTCTCATAAACTTAAAAATACTAAATGTTTTTGATTATTTTAAAGATACATTTATAATATTTCTAAGTGTAATAATTAAATGAATTTAAAAAAAAATTATGTGTTCATAGTTCTTGACATGATTTTTTTGATGATAATAAATACTAAAAATCCTGAATCCTGGTTATGATGATTTTCAAAATAGAAATTGATGAAACTATTAAAACTGATAATTATTCCGATTGACTATCTGATTAATCATATTATTATTGTACTTCAATACTTTAAAAAGAAAAGTTCAAACAAATATTTTTTTTTTTTTAATTTTTTGTATTTCTTTTTTGTATATCCTTGTTAATAAGGACAATAAAAAAAGTGTTGGAAAATCAGTTTTCCATTATAAACATGATGATAAAAATAATGGTAACTTCCTAAGGTTTCCCCGTGAAATGGGCAATAGAGAATTTATCAATAGTAATTTATAAATTACAATGTTAGTAGGTAATAATCTCTAGTAACAATAATCAAATAAAAAGTGAACAATATCATTATAACTATTAAATCATTATTTTATTCTGGATAATCAAGTTCATAATTATATAATAACGATATTATTAATTACTACATGGAGACAAAAAAAAAAAATATAAAAAAAAATTCATATTACTAATATGTAATCATTTACTTCTGTTCGTCTTCAAAAGGGTATGGAGGTTCAAAAGCATTGAAGAAACAATTATCTTGTAACTGAAACATAAGAATATAAAATGTAACTAATTCACATTTTTTAAATATCTTATTCTAGTTTAAGAATGATTTATTTTTAATTTAAAAAATATTTATATAACTGTAGATTAAATCTCATATTTCTTAATACATTTTTAAATATTAATTCACTTTGATTACACAAGGTTACAGTGAATATTCAATCAAATATAATAATAATGCAGGTGGCTACTAACATTACCATTTACCATATTGCCTATAAAGAATATTGTTTTAACACACTGGACATTTATCGACAAACACATAATTATAATTTATAAATATATTTATATTAATTTAAAAACAACTATTATAATAGTAGTTTAATATATTATACTTACAATGTAAATGGATACTGCGAGTGATACAATTCCACCGACTAGGACAGCGTTGTATTTGGCGTTGTTCTTACTGTAGAATTCTTTGTATGGTACAGTAGGAACCGGCATATCGTCCATTGACACTGCCGGGTACGATAAGTGATGGTCACTTTTGGATCGTACGGCCATCCTCAACACGGCTTTAAATGAAATTATTAATCATCATTAGTTTCATAATAATTATACAAAAATACAATTTATTAAATCGGTAGTTTAGTTTTCAGTAGTAGGCACTTACTGGTTGATTTTTTCAATTGCGATAATACTCGAGACATGATTACTTATTATGAAGTTTCGAAGACTGGGCGAAAAACTTAAAACAGCCTTCTCTTCTGGTTCGACCGTCTGAGCGAAAATATCTGAAAATCGAAAATTGACCTTTAGAGATAAAAAAAAAAAAATTATCGACTACTAACAAAATTGCAAAACAGCTGCAATAAACGCGATAGATTAATGATAATAATAATACGGTGGTCACGTGAAACATAGAATAGATAACGGCTGCCAGAGATAACTTGAATTTTGAGGCTATGTTGATAAACTCACATGCTACTGACTGATAAACATTGAAGACAGAATCACAGAATAGTGAATACTTAACAGTGAACAGCTAGAGTTTAGTTTCGTTTTTTTTTTAAACTCGAGTTTCGAGTTTACGTACAAATTTGTATTTATTATAAAATTTCAAAATTAAAAATGTCTGAAACCGCGTCAAGCACGGTGGTCGCCCGTTTCAAATCGGACACGGGAGAAGTCGTCAGCAATATGATGGACCTGCCTAGAAACATTTCCGTCAATCATTTACAGTTGATTTGCAATTCCATACTCAAAAAAGTAATAAAATTATCGATCGTTGATTTCGAAATCTATCCGACCGGCATCCGTATAGAGTTTGTTGTATTTTATCGTTGTTAGAAAAAAAATAAAAACAAAATTCATCTAAAAAATTTCAGGACGAAACTGTTCCTTATGCATTTTTCATCAACGACGAAGAAATTACAAATTGTCTAGACGAAACGTTGGAAGGTAAACAATCGTACACTGAACATGTATTAGACATAGTGTACCAAGAACAAGCAGTGTTCAAAGTACGACCCATTACTCGATGTACCAGGTCTGTAGTATCTAGTGCTAGTTGCATAGATTAGCGACATGTGATTTCCATTTATCACAGATAATGTTTTGGTTTTTAGCTCATTACCTGGTCACGCAGAAGCAGTGATATCCGTTCAGTTCAGTCCAGACAGTCGAAAATTGGCCAGTGGTTCTGGCGACACGACTGTGAGATTTTGGGATCTAGATATGCAAACACCATTACACACCTGTGAAGGTTTGTTGTAATCTATAAGATATTTGTTTGAAAATATTTTAATTTTAGTTATTTTACAGGTCATAAAAATTGGGTCTTGTGTATTGCCTGGTCTCCTAATAGTAAATATTTAGTTTCGGGTTGTAAAAGTGGAGTGGTCATGTCTTGGAATGCAGAAACAGGCAAACGAGCGGGTCCTCCAATGACTGGTCATAAACAGTGGATCACAGCCTTGTGTTGGGCTCCATATCATTTACATCCCGATTGTAGAATGTAAGGTGCTTGTTCAATATTTTCCTGTTTGATTGGATTCTAATACACATTTATTATTTGTGTTTAGATTTGCGAGCAGCAGTAAAGATGGAGATATCCGTATTTGGGATATTATACTCGGTCAGTGTCAAAGATCGCTTACAAGCCATACTCTTAGTATTACTTGTCTGAAATGGGGTGGATCCGGTTTATTGTACAGCGGTTCACAAGATCGTACAATTAAAGTTTGGAGAGCTGACGACGTGAGTTAACAATTGGTTGTAGTTAAACAAATAAAACAATAATTTTGTAATGTAAAATAATATGATAGCAATTAAGTATTTGGATAATTATTTAAAATGTTATATTTAGGGTATCTTGTGTAGAACATTAGAAGGGCACGCTCATTGGGTGAATACTCTCGCCCTCAGTACCGACTATGTGATCAAAACTGCAATGGTACCCCTACCGCCTTATAATGATGTTCGAAGTAAGTTATAGTCATTTTTTGTTTATATATTATTTCTATTTTCTAACAATTTTTTATTTTCTAGGCGACAATGTTTTAGCCGAAGCTAAAATACGATATGATTCTGCAGTAGCAAATGGAGGGGAACGATTGATTTCTGGTTCAGATGATTTTACATTATTTCTGTGGACTCCCGAAACTAGCAAACAGTCTGTTGGTAATGTGGTCTTATTTATTTATTTTATCAATATAACTTTTTGGGATCTATTTTCTGGCCATTTTAGCCAGAATGACCGGACATCAGCAACTAATCAACTGTGTACAGTTCTCACCGGACACGCGGCTAGTTGCGTCAGCTTCTTTTGATAAGTCAATAAAATTATGGGATGGGAAAACTGGACAGTAAATATTATCAATTTTTTCCATTTTAATTATTAACTGACGTAATCATATTAGGTTTCTTGCAACAATGCGTGGACATGTACAAGCTGTTTACATGATATGCTGGTCGGCTGATTCCAGACTATTGGTCAGCGGTAGTGCTGATTCGACGTTAAAAGGTTTCTTTTTTCACAAATGATATTAAGATTTATTTGATAAAATTATTAGTAGTATTCAATGTTTTTTTTTTTTTTAAGTTTGGGACATGAAAGCCAAAAAATTGAAAGGTGATTTACCTGGTCATGCCGATGAAGTTTTTGCTGTAGATTGGTCCCCGGACGGTCATCAAGTTGCGTCTGGTGGCAAGGATAAAGTACTCAGGCTGTGAGTATTTGAATAGTTCATATATATTTTTCAATAAAACCAGACATTAAATTTATTTTGTTTTTGTTTCAGGTGGTCACATTAATAAAATTAAAATTTTCTATTTTGCAAACATATTATTTTATTATGTAAATAAATATTTTTGTTATTAACAAATTGAATATTATATTTTTTGTATATTGTATTATACTACTAGTGTTCAGTTTTGTATTGTACAAACCCTTCTCTATCTAGTACACACTTCAAGGTAATTTTATGTTACAATTATATGTCTTATAGAACTTCTCAGAGTAATAAGTTTAATACATGGTTTGAAATAGACATACTTAATTTTTATATTATAATATCATTAAGCATTTTACAGGAGTAGAAACTTTTGGATTATTTAAACGGTAATCAACTAGCGAGTTATTGAATCTCGAAACCGATATTAATGTTAGAAAATGAACTAACACAATAATGTAAACTCATTACATAGGGAAAATACAGTTGGAACTGATGTAGTCGGTGGCACATCTGATTCATTTCCAATGGCTTAAAACAATAATAACTAAATAAATCCAAATTAATATTATTACTCTATTTAGTTTAATTCATAATAATATCTAAAACTTTAAACAAAGAAATATAACTTAAAAAAAAAATTGTATAATGTATTATATTATAATGAATATAATATACATATATATATGTATATATATATATTTATATAAAATATGTTATAATAACATATCTATATTGTAATAATGTAGTAACTTTGACCATTAAAAAATAATAATAATTAAACTATAAAATATTAATTATTCAAATTAATAATAATAAAAAATAAATAAATAACTACAACAAAATATATTTAAGAGGCACATTTTTTTTTTTTTTTTTTTTTTTTTTTTTGTACACCTAATAATTTATTGAATGGCACAATAATTAGGTCACAATAACATAAAATATTTTCAAAATAATAATAATAATAATAATAATAATAATTGATTATAAATAATGGTACCTACTATCAAATGACTTCGTGATGTGTTTTTTCGTTGCTTAATTTTATTAAAAATGTATAAATTTTAAACAATTTTAATTTACTCATATATTTTGATTTAACGACACAAAGTACAAGGTAGGTAAAGAATTTGTCTTAAAAAAATCATTATTATTTGTGTATATATATATATATAAATAAATAAATATATACGTTATTATTGAAGTTCGAAGCTAATAATAATTTGTATTATAATTATGCATTGTTTTTTGTTTTTTTAAGCAGTATAATGGCTAGAAAAAAAAAAAAAAAAATAGTAATAAAATTGTCATAGAGTTGTGAAGATTTTGTACAGCACTTCAATTCCAGTTTTGTTACAATAATATAATTCACCGATAGTATGGTTTTTTTCATTTAATTTTATTACCTAAACTATATATTTTCCTAACACGATTTAAACTACACTCTCTTTGTCGACAATCTGTTGCATATCAGAATACACTTTGCGCAAAGACACTTCGCTGGTTCGACAGGATGTTGTGGTACCGTTGAATAGTCCAAACAACCAATTTCTAATTGAATTTCTCGATACCAATTTTTTTCTATTCGGTTCCATTGAAATGTCTTCGAACGAATGCCATCTTTTGTTGTCTCCGTCCGTTAAAAGAGGGGTGTACTGTAAACTACCGTTGACCACAGTTTCTGTACCGCTGTCTTCGCAGCAATTTTCATCTTTTTGTCGTTGATCGCCGAGTAATTTTGAATCCTATGTAAAATATTAAATTTACGGTTAATAAAAAGTAACAGGACAAATTATTATCATGTGATAGAAATAAATTGTTTCAGTTTTCGAACCTCTAACGAACGGCAACTTCTTTTGATCAACGAGCTCACCCGGCTAATGTGTTTGTTTGGAAATGGATCCATTGACGTTGATTGGATCAGCCGTTTGCGGAATGGCTCTAGTACCATGGGCGGTATGGGAGACGGTCGCTGTTCATAGAGTACGGATTGACTGTCTCTGACGTTACGGTCGATAAAATGTCCTCGTGGCACAAATGACGGACGTCTGCTGGTATATTCGCCAAAATTGGAATACAATTTCGGGCTAAGTCGTTTTGATCCGCAAAACAGAGGAGGCAATTCGGCCAAGTCCACCTAAAAGAAAAAGAAGCAAAATAAATATTATATAGAAAAAAAAACCCACTAGAGCAGCAGAGTTCCATTACTAGAGTGAAATTTCCCCCAGCCAACTCAGTCTGTCGTTAAAATTATCATAATTATTTTCTGCCATAATTGATCCAAAATAATTATGTTCACCAGAGTTTTATTAAATTTATATTAAAATTTTGTTTAGTTTTTAATATAGCTCCTTATTTCACACGGTTCAGACGCTTTTACGTATTTACCTACATGAAATTAATATTCGAATCTATTAAACCGTGTATTTAAAAAATCTGTGAAAATATGCAATCATTCACGTGTTCACCTATATTTATGTATTTACATATTTAGGTATCTATTTCAGGTATTTCACTACATATTTACGTGAATAACACAGAAACATGTGAACACAGAGTCCATTTAACATAATTATCAAATTACGTGAACGTGGGGTTAAATGTTTAACACTTCCAAGGCATATCCTCGACAACATTGCTATTTACAATAAATATATAAAAATGTATATAAATTTGAATCCCGTTTCATACCTTGATAGGATATTATGTAGGGGTATTTTCTATGAAAACGTGAAATTTGAGCATATAAATGGTTGAGGAGGTGGTTGAAAATTGAAACCCCCAAAACACACATCCTCAATACATACACTATGCATATACAATATTTTATCCTCCTGGTCTTATTTGGGAGATATGTAAAGTTAAAAAATACCCTAATCCCACAATAACAGTGTAATTCATATTCAAATCCAATCAAAATTTTATCATTCCAATCCACCTATAAATCGCTCCTTTACCTCACCAACTTTCGAGTCCCTCACGTCTGATCTGTTCTATCACTACTTTTGCAATCCCTTTGCACACCATTAATTATAGTTGAAATAATCCTATACACCGCATGATGCGTCTTGCTAACGTCCACCCTTCGTTCTTACACTAATAACTGGTTAATAAATACCACTAATACCTAAATACCTGGTTCGGTTTTTCACTTTCGCTGAATTGTCTGCATGTTAATTTATTAAGTTCTACTGTACTTTGGGTCATGTCCGTATTAAATAAATAAATCCTACCGAATTTGGATTCATTTGATTTCATTTAGACCGAATAAAAACTAAAAGTGTCCAAAAGTAGCGCGGAAAAAAAATGATGTAAAACAGACACAATACAGAACAACAGACTATATTTTCGGGGGAAATTCATTCTAATTTCTTAAATGTTCTAAAAAACATTCCGGAAAAAGTCAATAATTTCCAAGATAATGAGTGTATTCACTTAAATGGATCACCCGGCATGCATATTTTATACGTACGTCTCTTCTTTTGATAGCATTTTCGTTTGTTCCTTCGAGCCAGTAAGTGAGCACTTCTCCTTTGCCTTTCATGTTAACGTATCCGCGTTCTTTAATTATGTAACCGCCCAACTCGTCAAGAGCGTTTTTACACTGTTCACTTATGTGGATCTTCAACGGTTCTCCGTTGGATTCCATCCGTGAGGCCGTGTTCACTGTGTCGCCAAACAGACAATATCTGGGCATTGTGAGACCAACGACCCCGGCCACAACAGGACCTATTTATAAAAATATTATTAGATAGGTAAGTCATATAATAACTATTGGCAAATAGTTACAAAAAATTAAAATCACAAATAATACCTGTGTGGATTCCTATTCGTAATTTCAATGTAGCCGTTGGTTGATGGGCTATTTTATGGTGTTTTACCGCTTCGAGTAGATTTAACGACATTGACGCTATTTCGCCGGAATGTCTATTGCCATTTTTAATAGGTAACCCTGACACCTATTTATATACGAAAATCAAATGGTTTGGGTTTCAATATTCATTAAAATTAACAAAATTATCACTTATATTAAAAATATAATAATCCGGATGGTAATATTATCAAAACCTTATTAATCCATATTTAAGAAAACATTCAATCAAACAAATCTATAGTTACAGGAGAGAAGGGCTTAAAGTCGTTCTTCTATAGTTTTCAATAGGTAAAAGCTAAATAGTAAATTTTAAGCTTTTCTTTTCTGGGACCAAAGAAATATCATGCAAGTTCTTCATTGATTAATACAATTACATTAGTATACAATATTATTATTTCATTAGTAGATTGTGGTTTAATATACTAAATTGTAATTATTAATATTTTCTAAATATGATTAATACACACCACCATATACGCGTCTCCAATAGTTTCAACTTTGTAAACATCGTAGCCTTTAATAATCTTGTCGAATAATGTGTAAAGATCATTTAAAAAATTTACCACCTAAAATATAGAGACACGAAATAGGTATATTTTGTATTTATAGTAATTTATTATTTTATTATGCTCAAATACAATATTTAATATAAATATTTTTCTTATAGATTTTAACTTTTTCTATAAAAAATTCTGACCTGTAGAGGGGTACTGACAGCTGACATTGCAGTAAAACCGACAATATCGCTAAAGTAAATGGTAACTGAATAATACGATTCCGGTTCTATACCATATCCAAGAGTCAAACGTTTTGCCACTGGTCTATAATAATAAATTTAAACCATTTGACTTTACAAAATTTAAACGACAACAAAACATTGGATATATTTATTTTTCGTATCAATGATAAAACGTACGCCGGTAACATTCGATGCAATAAATCTTCAGTTTTTCGTTTTTCTTCGTAAACTTCGTTAGTACGTTGAGTGACCAATTCTTCAAGGTTGTTTGCGTATTTTTCCATAATGTCCATCATTTGATCCATTATATTTTTTTGCCTGTAAAAAATACCATTGAAAAATACGAAAATGTATATATTCAAATACCAAGGCACTGGCAGTAGCATTCAACACATACTTTCCATCTTTCATTTTTTTGAGTCTAACACGTATCATAGAGAAGTCTGGCCGGTTTTCTGGGAATTCGTCCCAGCAATCCTCTATGCATTGGAGGACATAATCTTCGGCCATTTCGCAGTCCCTTAAATGGTGAATACTCGGCCTCAGGGGTACACCGTTTACTTCATCGTAACCTAGCTTAACCAGTCTTATGATTTCTGGTAATTACAAGCAAAATTTAAACATTTTACCTGGGGCCCATAGGTTTTTACCAAAAATTGTTACCTTTCGTGTATCTAACCTTTAGGTTCTTCGACACCACATGCGCCAAAGGGACCTCGCCGACACATTATCTCATGCATGATAATAGCAAATGCATACACATCCCCTTTTTGTGTACCCTTGATGGAAGCATTCGGTTTCCTCAGCAATTCCGGTGCTTTCCATAATAAATCTAATCAAATTGAAAATAATTTATATGAATAAATTTCCTTATTTCTATTTTTGTAAATAACTGCTTATAACAGTAATATTATGAATAACATGTAATGATGTTACAATCTATTAAATTTTTAAATTGAAAATTTCAAATAATAAAACCGAAATAAGGAGTTTGGTTAGAGATTCGATATTTGTATGCACAATGCACATTGTACCTATTAATGAAGTTACAAATTATAATATTACATTTTATTATTGATTATTTTATAGGTAATCTTTAATCAATAATTCTGCGTTATGATGGCAAAATAATAAATACTATTATTGATAAATATGTTAGTATTATTATGAAAATATAACATAATAAAAATAATAAATAACTACTATAACTGTTGATATACGCATTGAAATATATTTTTAAATAAAAATGAACACGAAAACTAAACCTCTGCCATCGAATCACAGAATCCTGTTTACGATGTTAATGTTGTTTTGAATATTGAAACATTTTAATTTGATTAGTTTGATTAGGGCTCAATAAAATATTGAATGTTCGATTTGGTCTTAAAAATCAGGATTTGTAGTACTATTAAAAACAAGCTTACTTCTAAAATACTGATGTTCGCCGATAGAATCATTCTCCGCACACTGTCTCAAATCGTGCAGGCCAAAATCAGTAACTTGCAATACCCACCGACTAGTCACAACACAATTAGATGATTTTAAGTTCCCATGACAACCTAAAGGCGAGTTGTGTATAAATATCATACCCTGCACAACAATGGGGTACACTAACGATTGACACGTTCAAATAAATTATAATGTTATTAGCATTAATAACAAATGAGTTATTAGACTAATATATAACCAGTAACAACTTACTCTGATAAGATCATGCACTAAAGACGTAATAAACATTTTGTCTAATTTAATGTCCTCGTTTTCCACAATGTCCTATATAATATACAAAATTAATATAAATCAATATAAATATATGTATATAATATATAATATATTTACATAGAGGCTTCCTTTGGCACAATAATCTGTAATTATGAGTATTCGTAACGGTTCGATTGTTGCGCCAATAAAAGAATTGACGTTGCTGTGCCTCAGATCTCTCAACAATCTCATTTCTTTCATTTGTTCCCGGGATATGTCTTTGCGTTTGGAAAATTTCAGTTCTTTAATCCTGACCATTATGTTACGGTAATGGCCAGTGGTCGCAAATACTTGAAGCCCTGCACGGGATTCATACGATGTAGCCGAAAGCAAACTCAACTAATTAGAAACAAAAATATTAATAATATAATACAGAGTGAATTAACATAAGCATAAAATTATAATCATTTTAATAGAGTGTGCCGTTACTTTGCTTGGTGACGAAACAATGTCTTTGTTGTAGTATCCGAGAAGATCTGATGGATCAATTTTCCACAGCAGTCCTTCGATTTCCAACTCTATCTTCCATTTTCTGTATATCGACAGAGTGATAACAAACGAGCAAAACAGTATCAGTCCTAAGACAGTGGCCACTATAATAGAACTTTTCTCAACGTCGGTTTTCTGGCATAGCTCATTATTAAAACCGCAGCTGGGTTCGTCGTCCGGTCGATTCTTGCCAGGCCAATCGATTTTCGAATTGGGAGAGTTTAATTTGTACTCCTATACTTGCGAGTGACGATAGATTATTATTATATGTGTAGGCACATATTATATTTATTAGCAAAATACCTACCACAATGATTAGTACACTTACCAGTAATTCGCCATAGAATTGAGCCACGGGAACCATGGAATACGGGCACGTGAATTGTCCTTCTTCAAATTGGAAGCGGTAGGGCGCTTGTTTCAGAGCCAACACTGAAAAGTTTCCTTCAGAATCTCCGTTTGCATCCAACTTGACCGTAGCCCCGGTCATGCCTACTCGTAAATTATAAATTCGGTTATTATTATAATATTTTAAACAATAAATAACATATGAAGAAAAAAGTAGCCTGGAGTGGAGTGTATATCTACGCATAATATTATTATTTGGCCCAGAGGTTGTGTTTTATTTACGGCCATTTTAAAATGTTTGTAATCGTTATAATGAACAAAAAAGTCAAAATAATAAAACTCGACTGGATATGAAAACGAAAAACCTACAAAACGCGAAATACGTAGAAAATATGTATTATTATCAATAAAATGTCGAGAGTATTGGTAGAATAATTTTTCACACACGAGGTACCCGTTGGGCGGGCTGTATTCTAGTTTGGTTTCGGACGCTAATGGTTTTTATAGATACCTAGTACACTAGTTTGGTTCCAATGAATTTTGGGTACAATACTGGTTGGGTCCTGGATTTCGATAGGTAATAGACAAGTTGGACTCGAACTTTTAAAATCAATACAAAATATTTTATTTTTTATTTTTAAAGACTTAAGACTCAGGATCGACTTTTCTAGTGATATTTCCCGTGATTTTATAATTCATATATATATTTTAAATACGATTTTGTTTCGTTGTTATCTAAACAATTATACAATTTACATTAATTAATAATAATATTGCGGTACTTAACGACTAGTAAACTACCCGCATAAACTCGGGACCCAACTCGGATTCGCCGAACGGGTGATGGTGTAGTCTAAAGGGTTTAGAACCTGTCCAGATAAGTAGGTAAACATTTAGATCTCGTCACCGAAGCACTGTCACTAAATAGTTGGGTCCTTTATTAATAAAGGTTTGTCGAACGGTTAACACACCATCACTGTAAAACACTTTCCTGTCAATTTTAAATAGGCCTCGAACACTGACTTCGTAAGAACGAAAGGAGATCAGTGAAGAAGCATAATAGAAGTGGCAAACAATATTAATGGTCTGTTTCAATAAACTAGAAAAAGAAATAAATGTTTCTATAGTATATATCCCTCGTGTTTAATTCTATCATTCAGTAAAATGCATTAATACTCCAGACTAAACTTTTTCTTCGCATTTATTTAATTTGTTTGCGTACCTACTATACAATGGCGTCATTTCATTTTTTTTTAAACACGTATGCAATTATGCAGGCCACAAATCCTGTACTGAATTTTCAACGCATCTGTTAAACCATATAATAAAACCTAACTAAGAAAGTTTCATTCGCGAATCATCACGATTGGAAAAAAACTCGATGATGTGGAACAATATCGTAATGTCCTAATCATGGTTTCAGAATAAATTTAAAAGAAAAACAAAATGTTGATTAACATAAATAAATGTACGAGTAGACACCGGTAATGCACAAGCTACTATCCACTATTCAGACCTAACAGTTTATAACACTGGGCCCAATTACTTTGACATTGGATTTTAAATACGCAAATGTATATATCTCGCGTGGTCCAAATGACACCACTGGTAGTCGATACTTTAACTCCTTAAATTTTTATTTGTTATCGTGTTACGGTTACATATATTGTGAAAAGTTATTTTACGTACTTTGGTAGGTAATGTTCTTGATGAGCGTTTGAATGACGAGGGTTCCGTTGTAGGCCACTTCGTCGATCATTTTGCCGGTCACTACTTGACCTTTCGCCTTGGTTTTGATCAAAAAATCCAACGTCCGCGCGTAGAGCATAACCGCGTCGTACAAATATGCGGCATAAATGGTAACAAACTGCAAATTAATCAAACGAATATAAATTAATTTTATAATTTCTATACAAAGTCATAATCGGATGATAAGTCTTTGGATAAACGAAAAATCTGACCACGGATTAATTATGACGGAGGATACATTATTATACGAACATAAGTCGTAGGATAAAGCGTTAATCGATATTTTGCCACAGTTTCTCAAAAGCCATTGTATTCAAAGACGAAAAGGAATAAATGCGGATGAAGACGGAAAATTGATTCTTGTGTTGCGTCGAAAATACGAGTGCATACAAAATTGCATGTCGACCGAACCACAAGTTTCGAAAGAATCTTTTTTCGATTGAAAGTTAATATAGATAATATAAGAACGGTTTAATAATACAATATAAAAGTTTATCACTCACCTTGTTAAAAGTTTTCGTTTTGAATATGCTTGGAGTCCGGTATTTAAACGGATCTTTGGTGGTGTATTCCGCCACTTGTTTCGTGAAAGTTTCGTATTGGCTCTGGGACGGCGGCGTGGCGACGACCACTAGCAGTGAACGGGCGCGTTTCAAGAAATTTTTTTCTAGCATACAATCGTTCATTTTGCCCGTCAAACCGCTATGTCCTGTTATTAAAAAAAAAAAAAAAAACGGTTAGGAAAGCCAACGGTTCCCGGGTTTCTAAACGTATTTTAAAGAATTAACTTTATAATTTGGTAACCTACTATATTATGATTATGCGTAGAAACCTAAATCAATTAATCAATTTTAATAGTCGATGAAACATTTTATAAAATTTTTTAATTTACTTACAATTTGGCAAATTTTTTTTGTAATGTCACTAGAATGCATTTTTATTTATTACTCATACTTAAACTAATAGTGATAATAAAATATAATGCTACGAATAATATATTATATATTATTATTTCTTTGTCAACCGAATCAAAAACCATATAACTATGTGCTATAGTAACTATAGGTAGGATGGATGGAAACAACAGGAATTTAAGATGCAAGGTTAGGTTTTAAACTTATGTTTACAGACATAAAATTACTGCTTACATTACGCTCAAATATTTTTTTTTAATATCAAGTACGACTTATTATAATAAGCGTATTGTTAAATTTTGAAATATTTTGGCTAGGCCGAAAAATTTTACTGATACAAGTAATAAAAAAAAAAAAATACGCGAAATTACGTGACTTTTCTATTAAAATTTGAATTTTAAACTTTTAACCACTTAGCAGTACAACTTCTAATGAACTTTATGTACATTTTGTTTTGATGCATTTCCGTTTGGTCAAATGATTTTATCAGTATATTTAATCTGTACCCTATCAAAGAAAAAACTAAAAATGTAACCACGTCTAGAAACGTCTAATAAAAGGTATTCTGTGAAAATTACAGGTATGTAAGACATTATGAACCGAGTTGAAATCGTAAATATTAAAATCGTAATAATGCTGTAAATTTTCTCATTTTTCTTACGGGTCTTCCCGGTTTTGCCCACTTATACAATAGAAATTAACTAATCTTACTCACCAACTATAGACAAAAATTTCTTTTAAAAAAGAGGCTACTCTTGAAATTTGAAGCAAGATTTCTGGAAGAAAACAAAAATCGAAATATTTTAAGTAATGAAATCGTTAGGGCCATACATTTGACAGGTTTTGATTTTCGTTTTTTCCCCCAATTATTATGAAAGCCGAAAAAAAAAATGACTCACTCAATGCATCAATTAGATCTAGAATGTATATAAAAAAAAGGTTTGTAGTAATTTTACGATTAGAGCAAAATTTTTGGTAGGAAAGTTGTACACACACAAACACACACACACATAAACAAATAATAGTAATAAAAAGCACACTTCATAGTGAAACTACTTAATGAAGTGGTTTCATTACTCATTGCGCTCTAAAATAAATAATAAAAAAACCAGTAGCTTTAAATGTTTAAATCAGTTTGGTTTCCATAATCTTTTAGTTTTAAAACCAATTTGTTTTGGTTATTTAATACAGTTTATTTTCAACGAATTTCTAGTTTTTAACGATTGATTATTAGTTTTATTACCTTTCACATATTTTTTAAATTCATAATAGCATATAGCGCTCATATCGTAGGTACTCATCTCGACAAGAAATAATAGTTTTAATTTTTTCACTATGGAAATAATATTAAAGCACGTATTGAAAAAAAACAAAAAAGTAAATATTTAAATTAAAGCCATTTATTTAATTTATAAAAATGAATCTGTGAAATTTAACTATATATTAAGTGGAGTTTTTTCTGTTCAAAACACAGTTTGATTAGTTATCTGTCGTTTTAAACACAATATCAACTGTGATTATGATTTATTTGTTCACTGAATATATTATATTATTTATTATGTATCGTGAATAATATATTACTTACTCCATAAATATTGGCCGGCTTCTTCTTTCTCCGTGTTGACTTTGGTGTCCGCGTAAATGACCATGTAATCACCGTTTTCGAACAATTGTAAAACTTGCATAGTAGTCATCAACTCCACCAGCGATTTGGACGAGCCAAAAAAAAGATAAACTGAAAAAAGTCAATTTTATTAAGTTAAAAAAATGTTAAAATTTCCAATAAAAAAAAATAAATAAAATTTGTGAATATAAACCATCGGGCAGGATTAATTATTCCGTATTTTTACCGGGATGGCGTGAAACATACGGAGTATTTTTTTACCAAACAAAATATAAGAATTAAAAAAAAAAATAAAACACCAGTTTATTGCATCAAAATAGCCTTGGGTTAATATTTACCATCTCAAAATTTGGTTGCAGGACATTTTGTACGGTCAACTAGAAAAAATGAAAACAGCGAACAGTTTGTACTATTTAAAAAAATGTATATATTTTACATAATTTGTTATTACAAAACACAGGTAGTTAACGGACATAAGTAATAATAAAAATAATAATAATAATAGTGATGATAATAAATTTGTGCTTTGCACAGGGGCTTCGTGAATTTTTTTTGTGCATTTCGATTTTTTTTCCTACACATTTTTTTTAATGACTAGCACATTTATTTAATTGCAATGATCTCAAAATACTCCAGAAATTTGGATTAATCGATCAAATCAATTTATTGAATGAACTGTCCATCCTTCACTAAAATTATTTTGTGAAGTATTAGTCATTTGGTGTTTAAAATTCACGTCTTTTCCGTTATTTTCCAGATTATTTCCACCGTACATAGTGTCCACGGTATGCAACTCAAATAATAGACAGTACAAAGTGTCCGTTAATACAAAACCTAGGAAAATATATATTTTCTCTACTTGTTGGTCATTTGTTAAATAGATATCTGTGTTAATTGTTACGCGTTTTCATTAATTCGTTAAGTTGTAACATTTAGAAATTATAAAAGTAAATGCTGGATTGTTATGTTTTAGTTTTAAAAGACTAAATTAGACTTTTTATTATTTAATTAAAAAGTGAAAATTGATCGTTGTATTTATTATCGAGTATCTATTTAATATAATATGGCTTAATATATTATTTTTTGTATACAATTTGTTATGTGTGAATGTTTTATTAAAAACAAATTTACCGGGTAAATATGAAAAACCCGGCATTTACTCAGAAATATACTTAATTAAATGTCCAACACTAGCTGTAAAATTTTGATTTTATATAACCGGTTGGTACTGAAAAAATTATAGTTATTAAACAGATTGTTTCATGACCGTAATTCAGTGTTTGAATATGAATGTCCTATACGTTTAGATGAATAGTAACTTATGGCAATTTATTAAGAAAAAGTTGGATAGGTAGGATGTATAAAGTAGTTTGAACGCAACGATTAACTAATGCTAACGAAAAACGATTCTGAACAGCGAAGTTCGGGTAGAACTTAAAATAGTAATCAAAACAAAAAAAAAAAAAATTGAATAAATAACAAATTTTTTTTTGAATACTAAGTACATTTATCTTTTTAATAAACATCGTGTTAAATATTCATGCACTTCTGTTTTGTCAAATGATTTTATCCACATAATAAATTAAGTATCCATCGTAAACAAAAACTAAAAACTGGGAACTGTATAAACCGAACAAATTCTAACATAAAATAATGGTTTCCTACTATTAATTCGTTACTACACAGCACAGAATAACGTTTCAGTGACAAGAAAATTAAATTACGTTTTTATGTGATAATATTATAATTAAATGATAAAGATATTGAACATAGAATCTTTTGTGGTTAAACACGTTTTACAAAACTCAGAATCAGTTCAACCAACATATCGATTCGTTAAATTTATATTTGATAATATTATATTATTTATAGAACCGATAGCTATTTATTGGTTCTTAAAGTTTAACGTAACCCTGCAGTATTAGAACCTATAACTACTATAAAGTATCGAAACAATTTATAAAACAGCCGTACTTCTGGTATTGGTCATGGTATTTTGGACTAACGAGTGCCAGTGTAGAGCGCTACAACACGGTTCATTCTTTTCGCAGCATACGTGCTCATCGTTAATCGACAGGAAATGGTTGACGGTCATGTTGGCCAGCTTCGCTTGAAGTTGCAACGAATCCGCGACGGACTTCATCGGCGCTTCCGTGATTATGCTAAACTTTTTCCAACTGTAATACCTCAACAGAGATATAATTGATTTGGTAATCTGAAGAAAACACGATACACCGATATTATTTCGGCGTCGTTCGAGAAATACAGAGGTATCAAAAAGTTCGGCGGGACTTGGTTTCGTTGAAATGAACCTTTCCCTTTTCCAACGATACACGATCTCACCAATCGTGTGGTACCAGGCCGTCTTCGACTGTGTTTTAGGTTTACACCTAGGAAACTATCAGTATTTTCTGATTTGAGAATATACACTTAATATTATATAAAATGCATATAGAAGTGTTATAAATGATAGAATAAGAAAAAAAAATGTATTTTACAAATCTACAGAGGTGGGTCGTACCGCGTCTGCAGCGAGTTGTCACAATAAACAATAGTGGAAAACGACCTGGGACGCTGTCGGTGGAAAAGACACAGTTTGGCGAAAATTGTGAGTTACTATCCCCTAAAAGTCAACGGATAGGGGGATGGGTTACCTGCGTGTCGGGAGGATCTGTTCGAGCGAAAGTTGGTATTGACGAGGCTTGGTAATCCGGACATTTCTGAAACAAAAATTTGAAAATAAAAACCAAGTTGAAAAATAATGGTAGATCGTTAAAAACCGTTGTAATAATTTACGATACACGAACTAATAATATTATAATTGATCAGACCACAATAGTTCTGTAAAGGTATGCGACACACATTATAATAATATTATTTATGTAAAATAAATAATAACGAGAAACCGCGAGGAACGACGAACGATCTGCGGCAGTATCTCGTGCCTCGAAATATATTCGCCCCAATCGGTATGAATTCGAACTTAAAATTAATATGAATTTTTAATAAGAAAATTATAATTTTCTTTTGATAATATAATAGAAGGTATATAGGCAATATAGGTACAATTATTACTGGGGAGGGGAGGGGGTCGAAATATTGAACTGGCAAAATCTTGAAAAAAAAAAAATCCCAGCCAAATCTATTATTTTTTTCAAAATTTAGCCGGAATTATTTATTCAAATTTTTGACGTAGACGCTTATAACTGGGTTAATAATAAATAATTTGTTTACAATAATTCAATATATCGTTGATTATTTTGAATCGCTTAATATATTAGTTCTCTATTAGCACTCTATTTTAAATTAAAAAATTTTAAAAACAATTTGCGGACTCACTATTATACTGTCATTTATTTTCATTGACATTTAAAGTTCAAATTTGTGTTGAAATTCGCTACAGACACAAACAATCGTAATTCATTTAGCAATTACAAACTAATAAACTGTAATTGTCAATTTAAATTAGTCGAAATATGTTTGAACAAACTTAACTTCGAGTCATTTTTCGTTTGCAACGATTTATCGTTACAAATAGAAATAATAAATTAAAATACCCCATACATATCTGCCATTATATTCTCAACTTACAACAGCAGCCCGTCCTGCACGGTGCGAATTTGGTAGGTACTTCGGTGTTTTATTTTTTTTTAAATTTGTTTAGTTATCATAATTTACCCAAATAATATTGTTGATATTTGCTATATAATGCCTTGTGCCCTTTTTTACCGGTCCACGCCCGTATACGGTGTAATGATTTTATGTAGACATCGAATAATTAGATTTGTTATTGGGTTTGAACGGAGGCGATAATTCATGATATATTATATTATACTCGTGCAGAAGAAAAAAAAAAAACCACGCGCACGCATCCAAGGGCAAAGACAATAATACTGTATATTAATAGATTTTCGTATAACACCGTTAGTTTCGAAATGCTAAACAACTTTACACAATAACACTTTGCACGCTGTAGTATAAAAGCGGAATTTCTAGCGAAGTAGTAAAAAGTGACGAGGCCTGAAAATAATTATCTCAAGATAATATCATAACACTCTATACTCTTATTCGAAATTATTATTTCTCGTTACCTATATAAATTACATAATATTTATGATATGATGTATAAACATTAAATACAATATTTTAAACTTAAGAGGACGCCCACACCGACATCTGCTGTCTCCGTCTTATAAATGCGAGACATAACAAAATTTGCGTTCAGCGAGACAGATTTTGGGCCGTTAGTTTTAATATTAAAGCAAATCATTCTATTACCGAACTTAAAGTCAAGAAGATTGTATACTCTTTGATAGCGTTGATGATTTTCGATATTTTAGTTTTTAAGTCAGATATATTCATTTTTAAATTGTGATAGTTCACATAATCATATCTTACTTTGAAATTAAAACATCAACGCTAAGGTATAGATAATCTTCTTAACTTTAAGTTTTTGTAATAGGTCATTTCGCTTTAGTATTAAAACTTTCGGCGCAAAATGTGTCTTATCAAACCTTAATTTGCTATATGTTTGTTAGATAGAGACAGTATAATATTTGGTGTCCTCTCAATATATGGATGAAGAAATTGACGATATCTAACTTGTCCGACCTCTTCACTTTTTGTTGAAACCGTCTTGAAATTTGGGTAAAGTCTATTGTCATTTATAATATATTAAAACAATTTGTTTAAATTTTTTGTTCGCTTGTAGGGCCCGGTATTTATTTTCAAATACACCAATGTCAATACATCCGTTCGTGTGGAATACAATATAAACTCGATCAAACAACTATTTTGGAATCGAACTATAAATAATAAGTAATTAATAACCAGTTCTTGGGTAGTATACTTTTCAAAAAGGAGTTCACGTTTATGTTAATCTTGATAAAATGGAACTAATTTCGGGCTCGTTCAAGGGTTCAAGGATTCAAGAAAGAATCTATCGTAATTTTTTTTTTTTATATTTTGATTGAAGCAAGATTTCTGGGAGAAAAGTTGTTTGCAGACAGAAAAAAAGCGCACATCGTCGCTGTGTTTAGAATCTAAAAGCGCGTTCAAATATCATATTCCAACTATTTGTGACATGTAATAAATTTCTATAGCACTGTACACTACATTCAATAGCAAACCTAAAAAAGCTGTCCTTAGATAATGAGGACGGGTGTAGCCACTGTTTTAAATAGGAAGTTGGGAAGGTAGGATCTATATTTTCTTTAATAATATTTGTTAACTATTGATCAGATTTTCTCGTTTTTCCCATGTTTTTTTTATTTATTTTGTAATACACTTAAAAATCGGAGCAAGATCTCCGTTAGAAAAGTTGTCTACAGATCAAACAAAAAAACATCTTTGTAAAACCATAAGTTTCTTCGCTCCACTCAGAATCTAAATAATACAAATTATAACATAAGTTCCGAATCCTGCGGGTAATATTACCTATTTGGGATTCATGTAAAATCGAAATTCAAAGTTCTTGACAACCATATCGTGTGGTCCGGCTGTTTTGTAGTTCCGTTACAAGAATTTGGGAAAAAAAAAACAACAAAAACCCCACCTCACAATGTGGTTCACGACCATAAAACACGGGTGCGCCTCCCGTGTACCTAATATATTGAAAACGGTTTACGGTAATATTATTATTATCGGCCTTGGCAAAAAAATATGCCCAGACGACTGTTCGAATATTCTATGTATAGATATTTTTCTTCACGCAGAAGAAAAAAAAAATTAAAACACAAACACACGACCGCGACCTTGGAATCGCCGTTATTACACCACTTACCGAATACTTATATACCTACACGCCTATATACACAATACTACCCCTGAATTATTTTACTCAGTGGTTATTATATTATTATCGTAAATGTGTGTGTAGACACGTAACTCCGTGGGAGGGCGACCTTGTTTTAAACGTTGTCGTCGGACGCGCCTATTCAAAATAACTCTTACATAGAACGCGCGCGCACGACGAGACGCCATTTCCAAACTGCCTGGACAGTATTTTATACAGGGCGATTCAATTATCATGATCTGACGTTTGTCTCACAGGATTTTTTAAGTAAATTCGATTTCTGTATATATATATATATATATATATTTTTTCCGAACGAAGTATTGGTTTCACTGCGACGTGTTTTTTTTTCTGTATCTGTAAACATATCTTTTCAACCAGAAACCTTAATCCGAGCTCTAGTAGCGTTTTTAATTTTGTCGGTGCGTTCGAGAAGGTCATTGTTTGATTTCCTCCGTAGTTTTCATAAGAAATTGGTAAACCCGGCAACAGATATAAATCAATTCATTTTTTACATTCTCCCTTCTGCACTTCCTTTTAAAACAGTAGCACACGCACACCCGTCAGCTGTTCATCTCGTGGTTCGATGTTATAAAAAGACCACGCATCAAATCCCGCTAATCGCTAGAGGCGATTGGCGATGGCAGCTTATGAATAAATATTAAGAACTGGTTTACATCAACTGTGATGCAGAGAGCAAGGGGAAACTGTTGCATTATTTCGGTACTGAGTGATAGGGTAGTGATAGATAATGGTGACGTCATGAGTTATGATGAATAGGGTTCCATTAAAATCACTGAAGATTTAAAATTAAGAGGGAATAGTTCAAGCTTTATTTCAACACTATATTCAATTTTGTAACCCTACTACCTATTTTTGATCATAGTAAATGAGTCGTGTTAAGTTTGATTTTAATTTCCGTTTTTTCAATACAAGCAATTATATGAGCTACAATAACAGCTACATTTTGATCGGAACAACATAGCTTAAATTGTGGCGTTTAAGTTGAAACTAAAATAGTTTAAAAGCTGATAACAATATTAAAGGAACCAGAGAACGTACTTTCGGCGTTGTTTTTCAAAAAAAGTGCCAAACAAAAAAGTTACAAAGTTACAGTTATTTAAAAAATATCAAATCTTTCACACGACTTTATTGTTTTTTGACAATATTTTTTATATAGTATGCTAATTTTACAACGTCGCCCGTTAGTTTGACCGATAGACAGTGAATGCGGTCCAACGCCGAAAAACTTATACTACTTTTTCAGTGTTTATTTAAGAAAAAATTACTTTACTTTTAATTAAATTGCAAATTTAAATCCTTCATTCTCACACAATGTGTTTCCGACTAAAGTTATCTTAAAAATATCTTATAGAAAATTTAAAAAAAAAAATCTTTTTTCTACTACACGTGAGGTTTACGCGCTGGACTTTATCGAGGAGACGACAGTACAACTTATAAAACTAAATACAATATTATTATAGGCTAGCGATATTATTCCAACGGAGACGGCGAGTGAATGAAAAAATACCGTCTTAAAATAAATAAAAGAAAATAATATTATAACGACCGGTTACGCAGTTTGTATCGCGGTGACTAATGTGACTATAATGAATAATACGACGGTGGCTTTTTTTTTTTACATTAGTTTTTTTTCTTTAGAAAAACGGCGCACACGACAAAATAATTTCATAATATTATACATTTACCGTTCGCGACACGCGCGCGTGATATATTTACTAAAATTACACAGAAAAAAAAATCATAACTACGCAAGTAAGCACCACTACTAATCCACTATTAGTAAGTAATAGTATTAGTTCGAGATAATATTTTTTTATATAAATACAAGTCGTGAAAGTAACCAAGAGCGCTCATGGGTAAAAATTCAGTGGGTGGACAACCCCGATCGCCATGAGAAATCAAAAGCGCTGAGCATAAAACTAGGGCTAGGAATGTAATATCCTATATATATAAATTATCAAGAATTTAAAAAAAATTCTCATTTATCCCTACAAATTCTAAATAATGCGCTAAACAAAATTAACGTAAGCTCTACGAGATTGCGGTGAAACAGAACACTGTTGTACGGTTCGGATTGTTCGGCGGTGGAACAGAAAAATAGAACAGATAATGAGTGTAGCGGAAATGCTTCGGCGGATGAATGAAGTGACGAGAGGGGACAGGATAAGGAACGAGTACATATTAGAGGTATAGCATACTTGGTAGACATATTTTCAGATTTTGCAATCGACAGTTTCAACTCTCTTGATATCATTGCCATAATAATGTCTACGTGATTTTTTTGAATTCATCGAACGTTAAATAGGTATGGGTAGAGAAAAGCGGAAGTTTTTTCACCTAATTTGGAGAATCAAAATCGACACTTAACCCGAGGCGACGGTCTAAATTTTATACGAAACCTGTTTTTACGACAATTCATTCGTCCGTAGAAAGATATTAATCTTTCGTACACGGTTCAAATATAATATTTGCGTCATATTTTAGAATAATAATACAATAAATCGCATTTTGGAAAGTTTTGTCAAAAATATCGATTTTAGTATGGATGTGTTTTAACTTATAACGAACATTCAAGTTAAAAATAACAATGAAATATTTCTCTATTTTTATTTTTCAAAACTAATATAGCAATACAAATTTGACGGACTAAAAAATTGTAATTTATTTAAATTATGATGACTTCGTATCAAATTTCCAAGCATTATTGAGATGTTGCACAAATTTTATAAAATTACAAATAGCTATAACAAAGAACTAAAAATAACCAGATTATTTTGAAAATGGCTACTATACAGAAAGTTATCGATGGAAATGTCTCTATGATTATTTTTAACAAGAAAAAAAATCAACATCCGTTATTGTATAAATTGTGCTTTGGTTTTTTCTCACTGTTGAAAAACTACAAGAACAATCAAACTAACCAACTAAACATTTTCTACAAAAAACGTATCTTGTCGTTTTTTTTTATTGGAGTAAGATTTCTGTTAGAAAATCAATATATATATTCCTTATATGTTACGTTCAGAATAGAAAAATAGTATAAAATTGTAACAAAAACGATGACATTTCTTTGGTGCCGTCAATTTCCGAAACTTTTCCAGTGTTTGCCTCTGAATATCACCGAAAATAACTTCGATATACTCGGAATCTATCGTACAGATGTGATCATATTATGCTGAATTTCATTTCCATGTATAGCAAACAATATTTACAACGTATTATAAATCGCATTTCCAACTTCTTATCCTTCATCTTAAACTCACTTGTTCCTAACTTTCAGTTGATCCGATCTCTTACATCACCACATACACCTCTTATTATCTTATACCTTTTTCTCTTCTTTTGTCCAATATTAAATCCACGCGCTTGCGCTACTTTTTATGTACTCGTTACTTATCCTATCCTCTCTCATCTTTCACTCATCCACCAAAGCATTTTCTTTCTACTGTCCAACATTCCGAACCACATAACATAGTCGGTCTTACCACACTCTTAAAGAACTTGCGTTTAAGTCTCATTGGAATTCTCTTGTTACATAAAACACCTGCTGCTTCACACCGCTCGATTAAAACACACTTATATCTTATGTTTCACCGTTATTTCATAGCTGTTTTTTTTCTGTTTTTATCTTGCCTCTTTAAATATTAGAAACTGTAGAAACTATTTTTTTTTTTTAACTAATATACATATATGTATATTTTGCTTGTTTGTATTGTTTTATCGAATATAAATATTAAATTAAATATAGCAAGTGGGTGTATTTTTACTTTTGTACTAAAAATAATATACCTAAATGTATTTTTATAGGTATGTTTCGAGCGAACAATGGAAAAGTAATAAAAATAAAATAAAATAATTTTTTAGAAAAAGTCGTAAACGGTTTTATTATTAGTTTTACACTTTAGCCTATTACCCAATAATAGCGTATCACGGTATATAAAAACTATAAAAAAAAAAAAAAAAAATCTATACAACTATAAACCTAGGCACTCAGAGCGATAAAACGAATTTTAAAATGTAATAAATTCGAGTGGGCACGTGTCGAAGGAACAGTTTAACTGTCGTGTAGTTACATTCTTTGTATATTGTCAACCCATATTAAATTGTTTCAATATTAATACTGTTATTATAAGGTGAGTAATATTTCAAACATGTTTAGTAGATTATCCGTCGTAATTATATTGTTGTCAACAAGTACGAATACGTCCGGGGAGGGGGGGGGGTTGGTTTCCGAGGGAGGGTTATGAAGTTCGAATAAACATCCACCGACAAGTGTTCAAAATTAAAACATATAGTATGAGTATGTAATATAAAATATTACGAAACTGGATGAAGTTTCTGTAGTACTTCGTACTGCACGTACACGAAGCTACACTGGATAGTGTTTAATATCGCAAATTACTATGCAACTACGACACCTGGTAGTGTGAGGCCTGTGATTTTCAAGAAGGCCGTCGTGTGGTCACTGAACATCACTGCCTGCTGACAATACGATAGCGAAAGAAAATCGAAATTTCTGACGAATGAGAATATACGTAATACACTGTTTTTTAATTTGTCGCTGGACTCCGATGATCATTTTGCACTGTGTAGTATTGGATGTCTACCTTGAAAATTTTACGATTTACGAAATCTATATGATAAATATACACAAAATGTATGCGCAACGGAATAATAATATAAATAGATGAAGTCGATTGGTCGCGATAGCGGAATGGCAAGAGCCTACAAAAACAAATCGGACATACTTCGCACGGTCTGTGGGCCACTGTTGTATTGGTCGGTAAAGTAAAGGAAAAATTTAATATATATTTGGTTATAAAACCGATTTCGCTCCGCTCAGAGTCTATATAAAGAAAAAAAAATACCTTTTTTGACTTACTGGTTTAAAAATTTAATATCAAATCATAATTCGTTATCATAATAATAATAATATTATCGTCACTCGATATATATTACACACCCGCATCGTACGGGTATTTGATCCTGAGCGGAGCGAGAATGTATTGGTTTTACAATGATGTTTATTTTTTTTTATGTAAACACTTTTTATATTAGAAAGCTTACTCCGATTATCAAGTATAGCACATTTTCTGAAAGAAAATGTTCTCTGGGTGGTAATCTTTGAAGAAGTAATTTTTTGAAATTCTCATATTCGAGGTAATCAGGAAAACCTGGTTCTTTAGGTTAAAAAAGAATGAAAGATTTAAAAACGATTGTTATTAGAAACCATTTTTATTTATTTTTTGTTATTGATTTTTTTTTATCATAAAAGATCCCAACACAAGCGTCTTTTGAGACGGCGGGCGGGGTTGTCAGGTAACGTGAGTGAGGATAGATGGGATATAAGAGGATTTTGGTGTTATACTAATTTTCTGTAAAATTTAATGTAATATTGTTTGGTTAGTTGATCAACAGGTTGGATTTTTATGTCTTAATGGAATGTGTTATATGAGACATACCATAACGCAAAGGTCAAAAGACGAAAGGTTATGGACTGATGCCTGGATTGTTTGAGTTTGGGATGAGTTGGCGCTTCTCCAGATTTGTGAACCATTATTATTTTATTATTTTAAACAATTATAGTTGTCATGAAAACGCACATTGAACTCATTTTACCATGATATGATATACATTGAAAAAGTAACACTATCAACTTAATTCCGCTCAGAATCGTTTTTTCGTTAGCGATGGTTTATATCGTTGCTTAAAGATATATATTAAATTCCCGTCTGTATCCTACCTTCTCAAATTTCCACCTAGAACAGTGGCTGCACCCACATGCGAAGTGCGTTTGTCTTTTTTTTTGTTTTTAATCTAACTGCACGTAATGAAGTTAGTCCATCCGTTCGTTCCGCGTCAAAATCGCTATAGTCCCCTCCCCGGGTCTACGCCGAAATAAATTACGTACCGATAGTGTATTGTCATCGTACAGTCCAGTGAAATCGGTTCGTGTCCGACAATAACGCGCGATCTCTTTTCTTATACGTACCTAATTCAAAAATATTATAATGTCGTCGTATACTCACATAACTGATCATTGGAATGTTCCAGGCCTGTGCGATTATCGCCTCGGTGTGGCACGTATTGCCCTCGGGCCCGATGAACACGGCCACCTGGTCGCATATCATCTCCGTGACTATTCTGGTCGCGATCACCGTCTCGCCGAACGTGTCGTTCCATCTGAGCACCAGCGACACGTTGGGTAACAGGTTCGGGTCTTCTTCGATCTGCGCATTATAATACAACGTACGGGTAGGTAAACGTGGAATAGAATAACTCTCCCTCCTCCCCCCCCCCTTTCGCCCAAAACACCGGACTGGACGACGAAAAAACAACGCCTTCGGCTGAGTATATTATAATATATAGTTGACGGGGGACGTTTCATACAATTTGAGATTCGGGACTTATATAGTATAAGCGTTTGTTTATTAGTTATTATTATTTTTTTTTTTTACGCTGTTATCGTTTTGAAATAAATAATTATAGTTTATGTTAAGGCACAATGGTACGGGATAGATCCGTAATACATATATAAGTACAGCGAATACAGTATATAAAGTACGTGAAAAAAAAAAAATTGAGGACCTATCTGTTCTAGTAGTTTTTCTTTTTCTTTTTTTATTTTTTTGCATATTTTCACATTGTTTTCATGTAAGCCGTCGACGTCGACGCAAACCCCTCGAGGATTTAAAAATAATTTCACCTAGGTTTTTGGTATAATCGAACTAGTGTTTGTTAATTATTTTAGTTAAATTTTTTCTTGTCACGTCGGTCGTCGCTGCAGGTCACGGGGGAAGATGAAAATCTGCGAGTGTAGTTTCTTAAAACTATTCAAGAGTTCGAATATAAAATTAGACAGTGCTTTTATTTGTCGATTTTGATGGATAAAAAAAAGAAAAAAAATTAAATACACATTATGAAGTTTTTTCAAGCCGTTTTTTTATCGATTTCAAGTACTATACAAGTCACGAACCCCGTGTTATAGTATGTAGCTGACGCACGCCGATTTGAAAACGAATCCGGTTTACACTAAATTTCAGAAAATGACAGGGTTTAAATACGTTTGCCAATACAATAATATTACACGTGTGAATATGATCGCTGATCGGTTTTCGTGAGAGATAAATATAGATATGTTAACATTGAGGATGCCGCGATTATTATTGATAATTGTGGACGTTGAATATTTTTTTCGTACTATATTTCGTTGTTTTTTGTTTTAAACCTTTTTACCTGGCTGTAGTATTAGTATTCTTTATTTATTTTTTTTTTGTTGTTATGGGCACGCGCCTGGGCCCAGGCAGAGTCGCTTTGTTGTCGGGAGGAAAGGGGGGAGGGAGCGACTAGTCGAAATTTGACTGACTCGTTTTCCAAAAATAAATTACTTCGTGTTTTCCGATCGTTCAAAAGCAGTAATTTTGGTCGATTTGGGTGAGTTTACTTTGAGGGGGAGAGTGGGAAAGTCCCTCCTTACAGTGCTCCTTTCCCGACTGATTTAATTATTGGGAACACGGAGGTGAAGTAATAGCTATATAGGCTGCGGCCGAATATACTCACGTGTTTCAGCGCCAGAGTCAGAGCCCCCGAAATGGCAGTGCCCTGCCGGAGGCCCAGGTCACCCTTGGCCACGGTCAGGTAACCGATTGTCAGGTTCCGGAGTATGTAAGAATTGACGGCGTCCGGGGCAGTTGTGTTGATTGCGGTGGTGGCAGCGGCGGCGGTGGAGTTTGTGATAACGGCGGCGCTACTGTTGTTGTTGTCGTTGTCGTTGTTGTCGTTGTCGTTGTTGGTGATGGCGGTGATGGCGGTAGTAGTGGTGGTAGTGGTGGTAGTGGTGGTGGTGGTGGTGGTGTCGTTAACCGAGGAGCTGCCGGCGTGCGTCACCGGCGTTCCGGGGTTAGTCAGTACGAACAACGCGAACAACGGGATGATGAGCGCCGCCTCCAGTCGACCGTTCCGCATTTCACCTGTTGACACCCACATTTTATTCCGATATTGTTCAACAACAATGCATTATAATAATATAATTGTATTATATTCGTGTGACATTTTGCAGTTTTAGTGATTAAAAATAAAAAAATACATAGTTCGATGTCAAACAACCAATAAACATATATAAAAGCATATAAACATCTGCCCGTAATTATAACTCATAAACGGTACATTTGATATGAAATGCGTATCGACATTTCTACATTAATGGTCATAAAACTCTAGGTAATGAACTTAAATCTAGTATTAACTCTCTTATGGACCGGTTCGATGCACTCTCTCTTGAAATTACTGAACTACGTAATAAAATCGATTTTCTTGAATCTAAAATGCATGCATTAGAGTCTGAAGCACCCCCTGCCACTAGTACCAGTAGCACCTCTGTCTCCGATATTATCCATGAGTTCACTGAGCGTGACCGGTGCAAGTGATTGCATAGGACATATCGGAATCCTTTTCAACCAACTTCTCGGCCAAAATTAATGACGAAAAAAATATCCGCGGTATCTTTTCTCAGCTTTCTAATGCTATACCAATCTAATTTAAGCCTATTCACCTTGGTAAACCATCCTTTACTACTTCATGGCCAGTCAAAGTTATATTCGCTTTCTCTGATGCAGCTTCTACTGCTTTGACGGCCTATAGTTTAGACAAATAGCGTAGTCACTTATCTCCACTCTCAAGCCTTGCTCGGGATAAAACTTCACTCGAGCAACAATTACTTCGGACATGTCACCAATAACTCGATAGTCATGTTGCTGCGGGTGAATCTATTCTCACTATATCTTTTACCAATGGAACATCAAGTGTAATCTCCCGGTGAAAAACTACAGCCACGGTCGACAACTTCCGTAGGCTTAACGAGTGATCCGGCTTCTCCAAGAACCCATGGATACTACCAAAACTGTCACGGCCATAGCACAAACTTCTCTAATCTTAATTGTAATGTACCTTCTTTTAACTCTATTTTTATCGCTTTTACTAAAACATGGCTGATAATTTCTGAAATTGTAAACTTGAATTTTCTAGTTATAATATTTATAAGTATGATAGGTGTTCCTCCATCAGTTCATGTCTCCGGGGGGGAGGGGGGGAGTCCTCATTGGTGTTCGTAAGGACTTACATTCACGTTTTATTATAATTCTCGAGACGAACAAAAAACATATTTTCGTCTCTTTTTCTTCTAGTGCCTCCAAATTTATTATCAGTTGTGTCTATATTTCTCCCCAATCTTCCCCTGTTATTTTGAATCCCATATAAAATCTGTTGAGAGCCTTTTAAGTTATCATCCAAACCACATATTTATCATTTGCATCGATTACAATATACCTGAGGTAACTTGGGATAATGACGACAGTAGTCTCACCTACTCATTCTCCTCTCATTCCCGTGCCACTGCATTTCTGAAGCATTTGCAGTCAGTAGCTTTTTTCAATTATATAATGTATGAAACCACCATAATTGTCTTTTAGACCTCATTTTCTGTAGTAATAATCTATTTTATGTCAAAAAGTCTCTAGAGCTCATTATACCTATTGACTCTTACCACCTAGCTTTGGATATCTCTCTTCCCATATCTTTTTCCCTATCTCATGGTAATCTTGACCACTCGTACTTCAACTTTTGTAAAGCAGATTATGAAGTTATCCGCTTGTTTTTGGTATCTTTTAACTGGCACTCTACCTTTTCACCCTGTGACGCTGATACAGCTTTTAACCTTTTTTATGATGCTTTACATTAATCAATACTCAATCTCGTGCCTAAAGTCATGTTTAAAGAGTCAACTTGATTCAATAAAGATCTAAAACGCATTCTCGGCCTCAAGAAAAAATCTCACTTCTTCGTGTCAGATTTAAATATGAATCTGAAAGACTTTATCATCGTTCGTTGAACAAGTTGAACTTTCGCTAAAGCACAAACTATACGAGTTTTGGAAATATGTAAAGAATAATCGCTCTCGTTATAAAATCCCCAAAGAAATGTACTTTAATAACATTATCTCTACTATTAATCAGATGACTGCTAATTTATTTTAATCCTATTTTTCGTCAGTTTACTCCTCTGATCGTACTCACTTTGATATCAGTGACTTAGGTATTCTCACTTTTGATCTACCGAACAACATCGTTTTTACCATCCATGATGTATATCACCACCTATAAGCCTTGAAAGAGATCTGGTCCATTGGCCCTAATGGCCTTCCAGGGATCTTCTTATATCAATTAAGGGATGTCATAACCTTTCCTCTTTAGACATTATTTAGATTGTCACTTGATGAGGATATTTTTCCCTCTATGCTTAAATTTAGTTCTATAACGCCTATCTTTTAGTCAGGTATTCAGGGAATTGTCTCAAATTATCACCCCATTTTTATTCAATAATTCACTTCAACAATTATTGAATTTATAGTTTTATACAATATTGAGACATTCATTAATAATATTTTCATAAAGAAACAACATGATTTTCGTCCTAGATAAGTCGCAGGTTGATGTTTTATACATTGATTTCAACAAGGCTTTTGATTCTGTGAGCCATAATGTATTTGTCTCTGTCCTCAAGGTTTGGGTGAGCCACTATTGACCTGGATACAGTCCTACCTTATCGATATCAGTGGGTTAGGTGTTCCGGTATTAATTCCTATGTATTTTTAGCATCTTCTGGTGTTCCACAAGAGGGCCACCTCTAGGAAAAAAAAATACAAATCAAATCCACTTGAAATCCGGTGATAAAACCGCTGGTCAATGATAAATGGACTGCCCATTATAATACGTGTATAAAACAATGTTGATTTTTGAAGCGTACTCGGGTTTCTTGCAAATGGTCCGAAACGTCCAAAACGGTGTGCTCGTACATCGTATTGTTCACCACTATCTTGTATCCTCAAAATGAGTGCTTTTTTTTGCGATTTATGAATTGAATATCTTGTTTAATTCACGGATATCTAAAACAAATAGACGACTGACTATACGAGCCAATCCGAAATTTGACAGCCTGCTGTAGCGTACACCAAGATGACAGATTTAATAGATCAATTTGTAAAATGTTTTTTTATACCTACGTGAACATTACGCGATAAGTATATTATGATGTGATAATAGGAAAAACATTTGAAATTAATCGTAAATTTATGACCTAAACAAATATTTTGCGTGGGTTAATATCAATACAATTTGCCGTTTTATTATCAGTATTGTTGTTTTTTTTTATGATTGACTAAGCCCGGCACCGGATAATTTTCAATAATTATGTCGTTGTAGATAAATTAACTTTACTGTTCCACGAGATTATAATACATAATGTTATTTATGAAAGAAAACAGAAATTTCCTACACGACCTAACAGCTCAATTACTGACTGTTAAGAGAGCACGAATTAAGATAACGAGTTTTATCTACATTATTAATTCATGTGGTTTATACGACACTATACAGGTAAAAAAAAAAAATATCTTTAATCTACGAGTATACACTGCAGGTTCAATAAACGGAGAAGAGATATTAATATCATAATTACTTATTATGTTTACTATTTTAGCCGTCACGTGCTCTGACGAGAAAAACAAATTCATTTTTCATTAAAAAAAAAAAAACTAGTTTTTTTAAAATCGGGAAGTGCAATTTTCGAGTGTATATCTACATGACGCGGTCCTAACCCAATAATATTAATTTAATTATTCGACCCGAGATGCAAATATATTTTATGAATTAATTTTCAGAATACATAAATATTATTAGGTATGTATAGGTACTAAATCGTTTTGAAATCGAAACCGCGAATGGGCAGATGATTTGAATATGCAAAAGAAGTGGAAATGCACACGACATACGCTGAATATTAAGTAAATATAAGAAAAAATCTTATTCGTTTCATATCATATTAACTTCTCCGATATCTGGAAATTCGTTTAGGGAAAATATCGGTGGCAAAGATTTTGAGTTTTGAATAAACTGAGTTAAATCATAAAATGTTAAGGTATACCACGTATACTATATTGATTGTAAGGTTAGTCTGAAACAAAAGCTACCAAGGGAAAATACACATACAAAAATGTTTTGAAAGTCATTACATTGTAAGTTTAGTAAATAATTTAGAGTTGTAGCTGCCACTGTCAATGTCCTCCGATAATCGCTGTTCTAGATCTTTTCCTCCCGTTTTTTTCTGTCCTCCGCAGATTTCCATTCGATGGCTGCTCTAACTCTGCAGCTCGTTTCCTTCGTTCCCATGGTTTGTCCCAGACAATGAAGTCTTTGTTACTTCCGACGACTATTGTCATATAAGACCTTTTTTGATTTCTACGTTTTTCATTCTATACCCAACAGTTAAATAACCCATCGACGAAATCTGATCAAGTATATTATTTTAGATTCGGAGCATAGCGAGAAATGTACTGGTATTACAATGATGTTTATTATTACTTTTTTTTTTATCTTATACAACTTTTCTACTAGAAATTTCGATCCAATTTGTATGTGTACTAATTTTTCCAAAAGAAAATTGTATTTGGGTAGTACATTGAGGAGACCATTTTTTAATTTTCCCTACGTTTTTTATAATAATTGATAAATACCGGGAAAAACAGAAAAATGTAAAAACATATATAAAAGAAACTCATTTTTCGTTGGTAATAGTTTATCATCGTTGCGTAGAGATATAAATTAAATTCTCCTCTATATCCTATATCTTCCCAATTTTTCACCTACAATAATGACTCACCCAATGTGCAAAGTATGTCTATTTTTTTAACATATTAGTCTCATAAATTAATAAATTTCTTTCCACACGGTTATACTTTACACTCGAAACTATATATATATAGATGCACTTGTTTTCCGCTTTACACATGCGAATGACTACTTGTATTTCAACAGTTCAATCAGCGTTTCCGGCGACTGTTCGCCCTATGTACAAAAAATTCGAAATGTTGAGTTCTCTTAAACATACAATCGTCTACTGCGAAGTTTTAATCCTCACCGCTTGTCCGTTTTTACATATACCTTTCGTTTTTTCGTCGTTTATCGTTACACCAACAAAAAATGAACGGGGGGGGGGGTCATTTGTTGCAAAAATAATATCCCGTACGACGGTAGCAGAAAACGATACGAGTAAAATCTACTGAAACACAACAGCTATGATGGTACGTGATGCCTAGACGCGTAAACGTTTTTTTTTTCGTACAGTGAAAGTATATATGGAATTCAGTATATAGAATTAATTCTGTTCACAAAAAAAGAACATGCGTATCGTTTGGATCTATATAGGTACACACGAAAAGAAACAATAAAATTTAAAATGCGCTGTACTATGCGGTATAATAGTTGCGTTCGCATCGACATTATAATATTAGCATAATATTGTATATTATTAGCTTGCGTGTGTAATATAATATATTATGCGCGCGAGCGAATGAAAGTTTCGTTTCATTATACATAAATTAGATAACTCGCGTTGAGAAAGGTCAATGTTATTCTGTTAAGTGTAAACGTGAAATAATAACCGCAAGAATACAAATTTTTATACGTATTTATAATTTGACAATTATTATTATACTCGGCGGTTTCGTATAAACGAGAACATTACTCAACAACGTAGGTTTTTTATTTACATATTTTCGTCAAAATAATATTTATTCGGTTTCGTTTAGATCGTACGTTGGAAAAAATAAAAACATCCGCAAGCAGCAGAGCTCACTAGAATCGAATTTCCTTTCGCATATATTTTATCTTGTAGATACGTGTAAGAAAATGTGTAACCAAATAATATATAATAATAATACAATGTATACACCTTCTGTTCATTACCATTAATAACAGTACACTCTCTGTCATAGTGAAATCATAAAATATATTATACAAATATTATTATAATTTTAATTTTTTCTGATTACGAAACCATAAGTTATTTACTATTTATACCCTCTACTAAAACATTAGGTTAGACAATGTACTTGAGGACATATTACACTTATACCTAATAATGATATAGTTATAACCTATAACTTATAGTACACCTTCTGCTTTTTTATGACTATAGCACTGAATATAAATAATTTTAATCATTTTAATCCGCTAATAAAACAACTCTACTCTATTTGACCCGGAATGCTAAAAGTATCCAAAAGTAACTGGAAAAGTATATAAACACGTAACAGATACAATCAGTGTCTATTTTTGGCGTAAATTACGAACGCTTTATTCAGATATTTTTATTTTTTGTAGGGACACACTGAACATTTTAATAAATTCCAAGTGTAACAGTTCCACAGATCTCTGCAGCTTTCCTTAGCTGTAGTGACAGTTGCCCAACGCGACATTTGTGCGCAATGTGACAGATAGTAAAATACTGAATTTAATATACTGTCAACCGAAAATGTTATCGGCCCGATAATAATATGAACGAGTATAAAAATATATTGAACGTATTTAAATCGTTTACTGTACCAATTTTGCTGTCAGAGCCGAATAAGCCAAAGTATAGCCCTATGAGCGCATATTTTTTTCGATTGCCCGTTAAAATATGACTGTTGTAAGAAAAATTTACATTTAATTACTGTTGATATTCTGTCTCTAGTGTCACGAAAAAAAATAATATAAAAACACACAAGTAATACAAATCAAACTAATTGCCTATATTAAATGCTATTTTGCTATAGCTCTTTGCGACCTGCAAAATCATCTATACTATAATAATGGTAATATAATTTATAATGAGCACTCGGAACTTTAGCTGTTTTATTATCATACAAGCTGTGATTTAATTTGTATGAAACAAATTATATCGATTTAAACATTTTAATTTACTTGATTTCGAGATGCCGAAGTCACTGAAATCTAATGTTATTTTATAACATCACTTGTAGCGGTTAATGTAAAGTCACCGCTATTTTTGTACCGGAGTATAGTATCCGGTGATTATTACTTTAGAATCGTCTGCGAAAAATCACTACTACTGCTATTTCATGCCGTCACTACTACCGTACACCTATAATAACGAAGCGCGTTTTGGTATAACCGTTTTATTTCGTTAAATTGCATATCGTTGCGTCGGGTCTATTACTTTGACGCCGACGCGGCGGGTCCGTACATAGTAAAAGTACAAAATATCGGTTTTTTTTTTTTTTATATATATAAATATTATTATTATTATTATTATAAGTACGCAGTTTATTTTTAAAAATAGCCACACGGTTTAAACGTTATAATTTAGAGCGGCGCGCGAATTATAATAATAGGGCGCACGAAGCCATAAAAAGCAGAAAAAAAAAGTTTCACGATTTTGTTTAATAACGCTGTACATATGGGTATTATAATGTTTCCGCGATAACGTGTAATTAATATTTATTGATTTTGTTGTTGGAATCGTCGTAATTATATAATATTAATAATAATAACATTATCGCGTCGCGGCCGGGAGCGATGAAAGGATTCGCATATTTATATGCTCTTAAGGGAGCCCTCAGCCCCCTCCCTTCCTCCTGAGCGGGTTTTACGAATTTTTCTGATTTTGTAAAATTTTTAACGACAGTCTTCTTATTGTATAATGATAAGATTTTTCGGCTAATCTACTGTCCATTTGGTGGTGGCGGAAAGGGTTACCTTATTATATACAGCCACAAATAGCCAGGATATTTGTAGTGGGCTCGATTAAATTAATATAATAACTTGTGTACATTAATTATTATATATTTACGGGGGGCTAAACTAGCATCCAGTGGCGCCAAACCATGTTTTAAGAAGGTGGACAGGTAAAAAGTTGTGTAGACTACCATCCTCGCTTACAAAACAAACTCCCATACAACATTCTTTGAATTAATATTTCATACGTACCAATTCGATAAAAAAATTGGCTCACCACCCACTCATTAAAATACTGCTGGTTTCGGTGCCACTAACCGAATCTCCCTCTCAATTGGCACCAATGATGAGTGTGGCCGTTGTTACGGACAAATATGGTTTGAGGGAGAATAGGGACGTCAAAACTATGTTGTCAATTTAATATTTTTGGTGCGTCGTTTATTTTTTAACTGCATCAGATAAACAGCAACATTCTACAGCTACTGATTTCCGATTTATATTATTATTAGTTTTTAAATAACAGCACTAAAAAGCCGGTAAAAAAAAAAATCTTATGTACATATAGGAAGCATTCTTTCCGACAAAATCGGACGGTAAAAAGTATTTCCCGTAAAGCTTGTTTTTGGGCTAAGGTACCCAATTATTACGCATATTAAATCAAAATTATTATTATAGACATACCTGCAAACCAACAACTCCATATTATTATTTTTCGAAAACAACTCAAATTCACGCATCACCATTTCGACTCTGTAAATAACAAATACACAAAAATAAATAAATAAAATTAACGTGTAAAAGAAAAAGGTAACAACAACAATAACAACATATTAAAACATTCGTGGTTGAAATAATAAGAATCCAAGTTTTCAACGATAATGTTATTTATTTGTTATATTTTGTGTTAATTATACGGTTTCCTACAAACGTTTAAAATACCGATTCTGTTATTTTCGAGTTGAACTCTCAAATTTGCGCCCGGCCAAAAACACATGACTGGGAGGTTGGATTTTTTCTAGGGGTAGGCCGATATATAAACCGGTATTCGATATTAGCAGGTTTTTTTTCTTTCAAACCAGAAATTTCCGGAGAAAAATCTCTATAAATAAGTACCGATAATATCACTGCAACAAAACATAAAAAAGCTAAAAAAAACCCGGTTGTATAACCGATTTATCGGTTAATTTCAATACATCGTAACTAGTTATGGTTTTCGATTTTAAATATCGGGTAGGTATCGATGGAAAAAATAATTTGCAAAAAAAATAATAAATAAATAAATAAAAAACCACTACCTACTGGGAAGCACTGGTCGAGATAAATTATTATACACATACAGAGTCTATTTTTAGACTTTTATTTTGCCACAAGCGTATCTGAGGTCAAATACGAATCCTACGCGGTCTCCACACACTCACGCGTTTTTTTTTCATATATATATTTCATGTAAGTTATTATTATTATTATTATTATCATCATTATACAACTACTATACAACCTACAACTACTTAGAATATTTTTATACACCGCATGTGTGTGGTACGAGCGAGTGTGATGCAGTGCGGACATTGGCTGGCCCTCTCCTCTATAAACAAACACACACACACACACACACACATATCGCATACTCACGCGAGATAATATTTATAATATTATACAGAAACAAGGACATTTAGTTATAATAATATCGCGAAACGTCTAAATCGATTTCTTATCGCCTTTTTTTTTTTTAATAATTATTACTACATATTATTATTATTATTATTATTATTATTGTGTGCATGTGATGTTCGCATGCCATTTATTCCCCCGTCCGCGTATACACTCGCGAATAATTACAATACAGAATAGAGTAGGCAGGTACCTGTATTGTTATTATTATTATTATATTATTCTAGTGATAAAAAAATAATGTATAATAATTATTTTGTTAGGAATTCTTTTCCGTGACGCCGCCGCAACCGAAGAAGAAAACAATGGTCTAGCGCACGAGTATGTGATGAGGTACCTCATACAATTCGGAGAAAAACGGACAATGTACCAAACCAATCACGATGTAATAAAACGTGGACACCGCTCGTAGGTAGGCCACCGGCGTAGGTGGGTAGTAGACAATTTACGGGATGTACATGGTAATATTTTATAATATTATAACATAATGGGTATACCGGGTGCGACGAAAAAACGATTCCGAGCGGCAGAGCACTATATAATAATAATCGGGTTTATCCTCCCCCCACCACCGTTGATAACCCCGCGGAAATCGACAAAAAAACGGCGGATAAAACGGACTCGTCCTTATAGGAGTGAACTGACAAAAGCCGTCAACGAATGTCACGAATATTATGTATCGCCGCGGTAGAAATCTGCAACGTTTTTACAGGGTAACCGAAAACTTTTTTTTTCGAGTGAAAATACACAAATATTTGTAAAACTTTGTAGCTTCACAGACTCCCATAATAATATGAACATCAAAAACATTATACACGAATAATGGGGGCGGAGTACGAAGACAGAGAATAGAAGAACTTTGTCTACTCCACGCGACACCCTGTATATTATTACGCGCTCCGGGCAAGTACACGGCGGTATCTATTATACATATCGTCCCAAACAATAATTAAGAAAAAATTGGGTACCTATAAAATAGCGAAAAATAAAGAAACCGTTAAACTAAAACAAACACCGATGAGGAGTCTGTTTGCGCGTGGTTTACCCGTGGTCGTTCAAATATAAAAAAAAAAAAACATGGCTACCATTTTTTTTTTATAGGTTCATAATACGACTATCATTGTCATTATACTGTGCTCAGACCGGCGATATTATAATATTATAATTACGGTAAGTAAACTTGTATAAAAGATTAGACAGCCGAAGAAGTGTAACAAAATTAGATACCTGACTAAAGTGTTTTGAGAGATACCTATCCCGCACGAGTTTTTAATCGCTCCTTCAAGTATAATATAATATATGGGGATACGTTTTTCGAGAAGTTGATACATTTTTAAACACACATGAGCAAATGCTCAAAGTCGTTGAAAAAAATCGATAAATACACACGATAGTTTTCGCTCAGGAAAACAGGCCACCCAAAATCATTTTATAAACGAATTTTTTTTTGAACGAGCCGATTGACGGATATTTGATAATATCAGAAATTAACATTATTACAATATTGACTTTTTAATTTTTAATAATAAATGACAAGAAGATAGGTAACAATAATTATTTTGGTCATTATTGTGTACAGAGACTTCAACTTTCTTGAAAATTAATTTTCTCAAAAAATGGATTTTTCATAATCCAACGGTTTAAAATTCTGTACTACTGAGTATTTTGATTTATCTCCTTGCATTGGTTTTACTACGGCGAATATTTATTAAAAACAATAATTTTCTGTCTATGAACAATTTTTTACCAGAAATTTTTTTCAGATTATCAGCTGTAAGGGTAATTAATGGTATAAAATTTTTTCTGGTTGACGAAAAAGAAAATATATAAAATGTCGATTATAATAGAAAAAACAGACAAATATGCGCATTAAGTGTTTTTGATTTTGTTTTTAATTCGATTAAATAAACGCGGAGACATGAAATGTTCACATAATCCAATTATTATAAAAGTGATACGATTTTCAAACCATTTCGGCCATTTTTGTACTGCCATTTGAGTTGTTCAGGCTTTCTTTTATTTTGGCTTTAGGCGGATATCAAAATTAAAAAAAAAAAAATCACGGCATTTCAAAAAACACGTTTAACGCCTCGGATTCGTTCAAGCACAGTTTCTCACGAGAACTGATAACATTATCGACTGTAACTTGCAGCTACCGATACGTTTTTTCCACTATTATTTTCGCTAAACGCGCCGTAATAATCCGTATACGCGCGCGCGCATTTTTTGTTTTTAACGTTTCGCCGTCGTCTTTTCCCCTCGTCGATTGGCCAATCAACTTTCAAATAACCTTAGCGGCCATGCCAAAAATCCGCCGATGTTTGACTAAAAACAGCGCGTACCCACCGCCGCCTCCGGTTTACATCACTCGCGCGGTACCCCGCCTAATAATAATTATTCGCCCCCGATCGCCGCGGTTTCCCAAAATTAAAACAGCGCGCTCTCGTTGTGATATACGAAATATTGTTACCGTGATTTCGGCGTGTTGATATTTACGCGTATGGCGGTGGCGTTGTTCTCGAGGGCGCGCGCGCGCGTGGCGTTCGGCACACTGGCTCGCGATAATAATAAATCCGAGTGTACAAAAAAAAAAAATAATAATAAAAAAACGTATAATGATAATCCGACGCGTGTATAATTTTAGGTCTCGAAAACGAATTTACGCGCGTACGATATTTACACGCGAGATGGGCGGCGAACGCGACGATGTTGCTCGGGAGGAATTATTATATAGTGTGGAAGAAAAAAAAAACGGTTTACTGCGGCGGCGCTCCGGGCGAACGCGCGTTTATATTATTACGATATTTTCGTGTTCTCGGTTCTTTTAATCGTTTTAAACGATTGCGTCAAAACTTCAAACTCCGTTTGTATAATTTATTATTAGTCGCTATATTTTTATAATGTACGGGCGCCGCGTACCTATCGGCGGCGGCGGCGGCAGTGTGTACTGACTGTTTAACGAACGTAATAATATTATTATTATTATTATATAGGCGCGTTAAAAAAAAAATTAATAATAATAATACGATTTCACGACGAGTCCGTGTCGCCGTGTAAAAAAAAACGGAGATTTAAACAAATTTGTTTTAATTTTCTTCTTTTTTACGGTCGACACGTAAATAATGAAGTCGAAAACGCTACTGTATATTTTAAAGAATAATAAAACACTCGCACGGCCGGCCGGGTATGTACGTTAAAAAAAAAAAAAAAACAAACAAACAATCGAAATTTAAATTTACATAGCGCGTTTCACGAGTATTTTGAGCGGGTTAGATAAGATTATTATTCTATTTTCGATGTACGTTCAGTATGCGGCGCGGAGAAGAGAGTAAAAATAATAAAAAGCCGGAAACGCGTCTTATACTTCACACCACGGAAAAGGAATAGCCGGATAATTAAGTTTGTAATATTATTAACTGAAAGCAACGATGATGAATCATTGTAATCGAAAAAACATTCTCAGCGGGGATCGGTAAACTGGCAAGGTTATAGTCGTGATTTTGCCCTTGTAGCCCCTGCAAATGTAACGGAATACGATGTAGTCCAGAAATCGATAAAAGTAAAACCGATTTATCATTTAAGGTACTGTGTGAAAAAATCTGATCCATTTTTGTTAACAGATAGACACATTTTATTAACACCACTACACTCGGAAACTCCTAAAGACTATAATATAATATTTGTGTCAAGTGTAAACGCCATAATAATAATATACCTATTACACAGTAATCTATGCACGGTGTTATTGTGAGACGATTCACTTGACGCGTAATGTTAAAGGTATTATTGTTTTATTTTTTTACGGTGACAGTTTTATATTTACATGCACATGTAGTTTATTATCTTCAGACGTGATTCCGACCGCCTGGTATAGGCATACATAATATTATCATAAAAAGAAATGAAAATGTGTATTTTTTATATTATATGCATGAAAAAATGGATAATACGTATGTAAAATACGATTACAATGTGTCACGTTATCGTCCGGTACCTATATATAAATATATATATGAGCACATCTTTCACACACATCGGCCCAAGTCGTAGTTCTGCCTCACTTCTGATTGGTCGGTTCGTATATACGTAATTGTACTGGCCGGAAATAGCGGCGATGTGCGATGTTAGTCAATACGAAGTGGAGAAATATCTTATAGATATAAATAATACAGAGTGGATAGTCATTTCTGAACGGTCCCTGATTGTAAGCTGGCTACAATACGTTTGGACACTATTTTATATTGTTGATATTAAAACACGTTTAGGTACTATAGTCTATAGGTATACTATAATATAGTATGATATACTATAGTTAGTTATTATAGTTAATAAATATATGTATAGGTTTTGAAAAACATTTTTGAATGTACAGTTTTACTATCCACACCTGAATATACACCGTGTAGTAGATGTTTTAATTAACATTTGTGCAGAAACTGTATTAAACATAAATAATGTAAAGGAAAATCAATTCAATTTTTTAAGAAATTATAATTTAAATAACATTAACCCAAAAATTAAAAATTATAGATATTCGATATCAAGGAAATACAATATAATTATAATAATTATATGTGTATATTATTTATTTGATTTAACACTAGTTATTTTATTTTTTTTTATATTTGTATAATATACTTATATGTATATATTTTATATACTTCTTAAACAAAGGTCAACACTTTTTTCATTTTAATACACAAACGTGCTATCTTTTTAGGGATATTGAGTGCCCAAACGTTGTATGGATTTTGAATATGGAACGGGTAAAAGTTGTATAAATTAAAAAATGGATTATCACTCAAAAATTGCCTTATTATTGGAACAATATTTCCAATAATAGGTATATATTGACATTTAAAAACTATACTTTGACGGATAATCTAGCCGTGAGGGGAGAGGTTGGTACCCCTGCCACTTCTACAAACACGCCTATGATGGATAGTGATAAGTAGTAATGGTTACACAATACAATGTAACAGTGGCCAACGGTATCGCTGGGACCCCATCATGGGTATTTATCATGGCATATGCCCATTATGTATTATTAATCGATTCAGGCTTAGTGAGAAAATATTAGGGGGGGAGGGTATGCAAAACTTCAGAGATCATTCCTCTAATTATGTATCTATAAACTATTTCGTCATGACATTATAGCATCGAGTCTACAGGCTACGGGAAACTCGCGTCGAAAGACGCTGCAAAAACACCGCGGCGCACAGTTCTGGATTTGTTAAACGGATAATATTTACAACTAATTTAGTCGTTAGAAAAAATAAAAACTGCGGTGGTCGGCGTACGAACAATATAACAATATAATATATATTACATGGCTCCGTTCGTATACATGTATAAATATTATTTGATTTATTTATCATTATATAAACGCCCGTTCCCGAACGTTTCTTCCTGGGCGTTTATTTTTTATTATTACTTTTTTTTTTTTTAATTTGTACGTGAGCCATGATTATAAATCCTGCGCCTGTAATTTAAGGGCACACGTAATATTATAGTTACGATACTTTTGTATACGCATATTATATATACAGTAACTACGGTATGGTATATAGGTATGGGTTACCTACCTACACCAACGAAAACACCGCGCGACCGGTTCGATTTGAATAAACCGACCGACCGATTACGAAAAAAAAAAAAAATTGGTATACAGTAATAACAGGTTTTTGATTTTGTTAGGACGACAACGACGACGACGACGACGATGATGACGACTCGGCGGCGACGGCAGCGGCGTATATGATACGCGCGTACAAGAATAAAAATGAAACGTACCTATTGGATAAATAAGAATAATAATAATAATAATAAAGTAATACAAATCCGATAAACTGGTTTTTACGGTTTTTTTTTTTTGCACTCCAAATGGATTTTTTCCCATTCAATAATAATAATAATAATAAAAAATAAATTGTTAATTGAACCTATAACTCTTTCCCGTTGATTTTACTACAACAAAGAATATATCTTATCGGCCACGGGATTATGTGATTTGTGTTTCCATTTTGTAATACATAATACAACTATTATAATATTTATAATATAACTGATAATATTATCAGTATTTATCATATTATTTAGAATACAAACACAATATAATCACTATACCAATATTTAAGGGGTTGCGTATAGGCAATTTTACTGAATTTTATGAAAAAAAAAAAAATGAACTTTGATCGAAATGATTTCAATTTCTTATCGTATTGAATATAATTAAAAATGTTCCTTGTAGCGAGTATTAAATTGTTTCATCGTGAAGTTTTATCAGAAACTTGAAAAAAGAACTCCTTTCGAAATAATCGTTTAGAATTTTTGTACATTACGAAAATTTAACAAAAAACAAATACACGATCAATAAATAGTGCTTGACAAACCTATTGATTTCATTTAGAAAAAAAAAAATGTTTATACCCAGAGTTTTTCAAATAAATGTACGCCCACCAAGTAGGCTGTTACATACACGATTTAAAAAATCGTATTCATTTCAATAGGTAAAACGATTTTTCGATACAAGGTTTTTATATGTTCGCCCACGCCGACACCATCATCCTCTTAACCCTCAAAACCGTCGAGGTTATTGTCAAGGACGTAGCAGCAACAGCAGTAGTAGCGAGTTGGCGCGAATAGCGGTCCTTCCCGCTACACATTCAAGGAAGATACAAAACGGTACCTATATTATTATGGCGCCGTGCGTTTTGTGCCCATTACCTTTTTCGTGGTAGTTCTGGCCGTAATCGAAATCTTTACCTGCTGAAATTATATAAGGCGAACTATTCACTCAAAATTTAAAATTACGTAAAATTAATAAAATATTGTATAAAAAAAATATAATATTATATTACGAGTACATAATTGTCAATTGTCGTCTATTATATCTATAATTTTGAGTAAATAGTCCGCCTTACATAATTTAATTAGGTAAAGATTTCGATAATGGGTGCAAAATGCACGAAAAAGGTAATGGGCGCAAAACGCACGCCACCAACGAACAATATAACGCGCACAGTAGACACTCGATCAGCTGAAAGATTTTCGTTTACTTGTGATCTGAGGTTTGAACCGGTGATAATATAGGTTTGTTTCCGAACTGAGTCAATGATAATACAATTGTTCCCCCTCAAAGTCAAACGTTTATTTAACACAGATAGATATGGTACGTTTATACACATAGCCTGATAATATCGTCGGCTTAGAAACAATGCACCCATTGAAAACGATTTTCATCTATCCCGAAAAAGTCGCAATAATTGGTCAATACATTTTTCCGGTTTTTCCGGAGATATTATCAACTATTAGGTACTAATAAATACAAAAAAGCATCATAATATTGTTCGATGCCCGCGACCACTCCTCGACGAACAATATGAAGAGAGAATACAAAACGGATTTCCGATTTTTTTTTTTCCTATAGAACATAATAATAATATAAATATATAGCAGGCAACTGCGCTATATTTGCTCGGCAATTAAAATTTTACTGAGATTACCAATATTATACGTAAATATAATAGTATTAATAACGTTTACTGTACGATTTAAATTTAATCGTGCTTATATATAAACTTTTTTAATTGTTATTACGTAAATTTATTCGCTACATCATCGTTGATTTTATAAAATCAATAGCTATACACATAATAAATATAATGCTATATGTATATATTAATAAAACTGCATGATGTATAAAATATAAATAGTTATTTAATTGCGCACAAGTAACATTAGTAAATCCTATATAGACGGGGAATACGAATTTAATAATATCATTTCAGAAGGCAGAAAAAAAAAACAACCGTTTGTCGAGGTGGTAAAATATTATAATATTATTGTAAAATTCGCCCATACTCGAACATATTATATTTTTTTTTTCTACAAATTACAATGTCTTTCAATATAATATCGTTGTCAATGAGAATAAATTCGAGTTAGTAGGTTTAAATGTTCGGCTAGCTGCCAATAAAAACAAAAAATTGTAATCCATGGCCTTCGCCCCGGCGTGAATCTTTAGAATTTTTTCCACGAAATACAGTTGTTTTTAAATAAAAATAATAATAATAATACAATAATATATAATACCACCTATTTATAAACGACATTTTCGAACGTTTAACGAAATAATATACATAAATTACTATACAAATTAACTTGTCGCAATATAATATACTTTTTACAATAATTCGTTTCGTATAATGTAGGTATGTAATTTATTATAATTTATAATTGGTTCGTCGATCTTCAAAAGGTCGATCGGACAATAATAATAATACTGCCTGGCAGCCACATAGAAGTAATCAAAAGCAAAAATACAACAGAGTGATGTTAGATATTATAAATATTTCAGAAAAATTAATTTTTAGTTCTTAATTCTGGTTAACATTAATTGAGTTTTCTTTTTGCGATTATTTTATTCTTCTTTTTCTTGAAATATCAAGAAGGATTACCTAATACATTTAGTTTGATGCGGTTCTCCGTCGTAACAGGTATATTATCTCTTTGTCGTAGGACTTGTAACTTGAAGTTCCTTTAAATCCTTGTTATATTTATGTCCTTCATCGTGATTATTGGGTCATATATTTATTCTGCCCTTGAGCCTCAGTCTTTCTCTTATCACGTATCTCTTTCAATATTACTGGTTTTAGTATAAGCATCTTTTACGTCCTCATGCAACACGTCTTATCGTCTATTTTTTTTTTCAATTTAAGACATTTCAATAGTTTTACATAAATATTCCCTTTATTCTGTTTTTGTTAGTTAATATTTCAGTTCGTGATAGGATTTTCAGAATTTTTCCTAAGTATTACAAAACTATCCAAGGCCTCCAGTTACTTTTTTCAACCAATTGTGCAGGTTTCACAATCAAACAGCGTCACACACTCTACATAGGTCTTTACGAATTTTTTCCTTACAGACAGACTGACACTACTATAGTAATTAAATTTTTCTAAACTTCTCATGATATTGTGAATCTTAAGTCACAGAGCAAAAAAGTTTCGTTCTCAATTGTCGGGAGAAAACAATTTTTTATTTTTGAGTTGACCAAGTTGTCAATTTTAGTTTTCCTCCGCTTAAATATAAACCTCTTATTAGATACTGCAGCAGGTGATACTGGCCAGATAATTATCTACTGTTTTGACATTTATCACTATATAATAAATCATTATGATCTGTACCATAAAATAGTCGAGACAAGCGTATATCTACATCGAAATGTGTATAAGGTTCTGTTCTGACATAATCGTGTGTTTTTTTTTCTTTTACCAGTAAGTCAGTAAACATATTTGTCTGTCTAGAGTACACAAAACATTTCTCATACGAACCTTTCTATACCTTACTCCACTTTTATATTTGAAAATAACGATCGAATAAAAAGGGACAATTTTCGAACAAACACATCCCGTTCTAATATAACTGCGACAGTATATTTACTGAGTTATTTATATTGTTATCTTGCCCGAGTTCAGAAATAATATAACTACGGTAAGTGATATGCGTACTTGAAAATAGAAATATAATATAATATATTTTCTGCGATATAAACCATTGTGATTTTCATTCAAAAAACTACGATAAGTTTTGAAATTTGATTCCAATAAAACATTAAACATCTAAGTATAATATTATAAAATATTGGAAAAAGTGTAAGCCGGGATAAATTTTAACAAAGTTTTCATTATCGGTCTGATTTGAAAACAGCGGAACGAGCCTGCTCCGTGTTCGTGAATCACAGATTGACACCTCGAAAATAATAAAATTCGAGGAAATTAGGCTAACAATCCGAGGTACTAACTCCATTGTTTATTTCTATAACTTATTAGAACAACCTAAAAAATTGTTTTTTGTATGATAAATAATTTGTTTAGCCATATGAAACGAGTTTACGATAAATTATAGAATGAATTAAATTACTATTCAGAAAAAATATTAACACTTGATATATACATCATTTTAATAAATAGGATTCATCACCCTGGTTTTTTTTCATCGTATAATTATATTACCACATCGAGAATACATTATAATTCCCAGGATATTACCTGGGAATAATATGCGAATTGTAATTTTAATATACCCACATAATTAAAACGAAAGTTATAAATTCGCCAACGCAGTCATAATACGCGTGAATTTATTCCTTATTTTATAATTAATAATAATATACATTATACCGTTTGACTTACGATGTGTATAATAATTGTAAATTATTATGCATGCGTAAACACGTTTCAAGTTCAACTATAATATTACAATATAGGCAAACAAACTCATGAACATGATATGTAGGTAGGTGTATAGGTATATTGTGTTGATAACAGCTGTGTATATTATAATATTCGTGTTGTTGTATACGGTTTGACTTGTTAAAAAAAAAAAGTACCTACATTAGCTATAGATAATTATAATATTAACGTATTTACATTTCTATATTAAAAGTCATTATCACGGCATTGATTTTAGAATGTAGTGCGATTTCGTTTTTATCATATGATCCAAAGTGATAATTAACAAGTATGTTGCATTGGCACCACAACTTAAACTATTTTCTTTTAAATTGGTTCTATACTTTAGTAATTGATTCGCAATCATTCGTAATCACAAATTTGGAATTCGTAACCTAAATCAAGTAACATAAAAACCGTTTCTCCCAAACGGGAACTGGCGTAGTGTTACACCAGCACCCGCACATTTAAAACTTTTGAAAAACTTCCAATAAAACCGTTTTTCCGCTGGTGTTATAATCCTTAAATCTTATTGCATACATTTTCATATAAACGAGCATATACTTGATCAAAATACATAAGGATAGTACCTATGTACCTATGTACCATACGTGTCTAGGAAATAGGGTGCATGGAAGGGCTAGAACAATTTACTTCAATAATGATACAAGTTTAATTTTTTTAGTAACAACATGCCAAAGTTGAGTTGCTCATTGCATCACAGATTTGAATAAAGTTTTATTTAATCTGTGATGGTATGAACATTAGAGAAGAATCCTCTAGTGTTCAAGGCTAATTTTTAATTGATCATTATTTTCATCGAAATTATTATGGTGATCTAAGAATAAATAGTCGTTATAGGACGTGTTTTAATATTTTAAATCGTGTTGATGATTATCAATATTGTATGATTATCAGTTTATTACTTAAAAAAATTAATCGTGCTTACAACAAAATAATATCACATAATATCTCTATGATTTATTATACGAGCATTTTAAAGTTTTAATATTATTACATTTAAATTTTATAGTAAGTAAATTGACTCTAATATTAAAGCTAACAGCATTTTGATTCAACAAACTGATTCCGCTGAACAAAAATGTGTGATGTTGTATGTGTGTAATGTATGTATGTGTGGAGATGCCTTAATCATACGAATTTGGCGTCCTCTTCACTCGTTGATTTTTTTATCATATACAATGATAGTCCATGGAATTACCCTAGATTAGGTTAGATTTTTATCACAATTTAAGACAGTATCTTAAATCATGTGTTATACACACAGCAGATACAATAATAACGACAATACTAAGAAGAATCTATAAATAGATGTGTGCTATACAAAATAAAAGTAAACATTGGAAAATATTGTTTTCGTGGGACGAGTAAAATTTGTATTCGCAAGGTAATTAATTAATAAATAAAATAAAAAACATTTAAAAAAACAAAATAATTATAATAAAAAAAACTACCACCCTTACATATTCTGATCCAAGTATATCCTCGTTTAGATACAAATTTATGTTATGGGTATAAGAAAGATTATAACACCAGCGGGAAAATGGTTTTTCTGATACATGGTTTAAGTTACGAATTCCGAATTTGTGGTTATGAATGATTACGAATCGGTTATTAAAGTATGGAACCAATTTAAAAGAAAATAGTTTGAGTTGTAGTGCTAGTGTAATGTACCGATAATTAACACCAAACACTATATGTAAAGACATAGGTACAGTAAAGTGGAAAATACAGAAAAATAGAGAACTACGGGGATAGTATCAAAGCCCAAATACTGTGAAAAATATTATAAAAAAGAGACAAAAAAGGGAAGAGCATACATAGGGTAAAAAGAGATAATTTTTAAGAACGGTATACTACAAAATGCGTCACATAAAAAAAACCGCTTAAAAAGCCACGACTAAGATTTGAAGGAAGAATCACTAGATAGGAACAATTTTTACTATGATGTGTTTTTTTTTTTGTCTGTATACTACTTTTATATCAGAAGTCTTTCAACTAACAAAAACTTTATTGAACATTTCTTATGGCATTTTTCTTATAAATATGAAAAATTGGAATTTTTTGTAGATTCCTGGGTAATCTTGATAATAAAGGAAAAAACGA